ACTATTTACCCATTGGGTTCTTGTAACATCCGTAGTGTTTTATGTTTTTTAGTATCTAACACTGTGATATATTTTGTTCCTCTCTCACATAGTTCAAAGTACGGTTAACAATATTTGCTATCACTAATTCCTTTTGTTTTACATATGAGTATATTTTAGTCTGTGTTAAATGCATAACTGACTGTGATATTTTATACTTGTGTTTTATTCTTGTTATCCATTCTGTTAGTGGACCCTTTGGTCTTGAATTTGAAATAAATAAATAAATAAATATCTGTTTCCAATATTGAATTGTACTTTAATTTATTAGTAACTTACAACATAACAAACCTTTGTTTGAAGTTGGCGTTTTGTTTATGAAGGCTATACGCCATTTGTGTAGATTGATATCTTTTTATAATGAAATACAAACATTCCATCGACTCAGCAAAATGCAACAGTTCTGTACAAAAGACTGAGTTAGATACCAATTAAAGTATATCAGATAAACGATTCGCCACTTACGCTTCACTCAAATATGCAAGGAGAGTAATTGAATTTCAGCTGGTCTATTTAACGTTATTATTAATGTTTCTGAAAATTAAGTCGGTATGGAACTAGAACAAACACATCACGGCATTATTGCATCCATGAAAGGTAGTTGTACTAAAAGTGGATTACTTTTGCAGGGCTAGATGGTTTGCGTTTTTCGCGTTGAGTTAATTGTTGCTAAAATTTCAACCTGCGAATATTTATTTATAGATTATATAAATGAAAATAAAAAGAATATATTGATTTCGAAACCATTGCAAATGCAAAACAAAACAAAAACATTATCACTGCAGTTAGTTTAAAGAGTCCAAACCTTAACATTTCCACACCCAAAATGTTTCACTTTTAAAGAAATCATTACTTAGTGTTAGGAACGGTTACAATATAAGAATAATTTGAGTAAGGTAAATCAGGAAATCAAATACAATGGGCACGATGAAGGTACTTTATTTGGAAGGAATTTAGTAACGATGTGTTTTACTGTTATAAAAATTAAATATCACATCAAGATATGTTTTAAGCTTTGATGAAATGAAGGCTGCAAATTCAATAATTGTAGTGAACAACGCACTTTTGGATCTATACGTAGTCTATACACACCTGGCATTCGAACGGTGAATAAAAAGAAACCAAATAAAGATATTATCTATACAATGGCAACAGTCAATGCACGTGCAAAAATTGTGCAAGAATGTCTCGACGAGGATGATTATATCATTGTATGGCAATTGCAATTTCCGGTTTAAGAGTTTCTGAACAGAAAAACCGTAAAATATATCCTTTACTGATTAATTAAATCAAGTATAAACCCTTGTATAGTTGTTACAAATACAATCCTATATTGCAATACATTAGAGACATGTCATGGTAACATTTGCATTACTGTTTTAAAAAAGATTTCTGAACAATTTCTTTTTTGCGTCGCTGTGGCTACGGGGCGGGGTTTGTTTTACCGTTATGTGCGGGTTTATTTTGCATAAATTTACCCCTTTGTTTCATCTTTGGTACTTTGAATTAAAATCAATGTGTTGTAGATGCTGCTTATAATTGTGCCATTCTAGTTGTCGTTATTTTTACTTGTTTCAACGTCAACATTTTATTATTACACGTCAAACCTCTCGCTAGAGAAGATTCTTTTTGGTGTTCCCTCTGATGGAAAATTTAAAGAAAGGGAAGTTTTTGTTGGGAAAATATGTATGGCACACATGAGCATGCATCGTCTGATAATGTTAAGCCTCTGACATTCGAAATTGAGTTGAATTGAAGAACACAGAAAGTTGGGTAGTTATACAAAATGATCTAGGATCTCACACGAGAGTGTTACGTTGCAGTGGGAGTAATACGGGGTCAGGGAAACAGATATGATAAAAAGCCACTATGTGATAGATAGTCTTTGTTAGAGGGCAAGTATAAGTATAAACAATCACCTTTATGCTAAAATGTTCTGGATCTATCACAACACATACCCTCTTGTGAATGTAAAATATGCTGCACTCACAGATCCTGTTGTTATGGATTTGACATTCCTTGCTCTACAGTTTTATCCTGATAACCTTAGTCATTATTCGTGATGTTTGTTTCACGTTACGTTAATTCCATCCAAAATGTTAGCTAAACCAAGTGGATAGAATTGAAACGACATAATCATTTCCTTCATAAACAAGGTTTGTGACAAAGAACGAAACCTAAGAAACTTTACTTTCGTAAAGTATTGATACCACAGCACAAGCTGAACTAAAGCTGCTTTGGCGACTCGAACTTTTGGAGTTTCCATGGAGACTATACATTCCAACTCTATGAGACCTTCGCCGTTCTGCAGGATGAAAGGCGACAGAGGCCACACGGAGGAACAGTTTGTTAGTGCATTCGTTCCCATTTTCCGGGAAGCCAGATGATTCAGTAAGAAACATATTTTTCTTTCCATACTGATCCAGGCTGTCGAGCAAGACAACATGCCTCATCTTCATCAAATGCGATCTGCTGCTTCAAGACACTGTGTATATCATTTATTAATAGTCCCTTGACGACCTTGGCTTTTCTCTCGTTGATGGCATACGTAATGAACACTTTATTCATGGAAACGTTTGATAGTAGATGACTGCTGAGGTATCGTATCATTCCTGACCGGAAAGAGTAACAGACAAAGTAAGAACTTATGAATAATCCAAAGAAAACGCAAAGTTACCAAGAGCTGGTGACTCATTGACGACTGTCGATCATCAGATAGGTAAGATATTTTTTTCTGTTATGTTAAGATTGGTTAAACTCGGTTTAGAGTCCAATTTAGAGTATTTAAACACGTGACCCTATGAGAAATGTATGTGAACATGTGTGAAATGCATGCTGAAGGCGGTATGTTGTTGTATCCGTCTGACTTTGAACCGATGTCGACCTGATGGTAGAATGAAGACACAGAATGAAATAGTGTGTAATTTCCACGGTTTATTAATTAATCACAAAATTAACAGTGATGCGATATTATGTAGTATGTCGTTTATGGTGAAAAATAATCGTTTAACGTGTCAATCAATCAATCGTTGCATATCAATACATCATCGTGAATACTTACTGACGACAAAATGTACATTTTATAAGAACCCTACCGCATTTATTCAAAAACATTCTTGAGGACTAAAATAAAGAAGTCAACAGGACAAATTAAAGTTCTTTTAATCAAATAAAATATATGCATAATTCATTTACAGTTGTGGGATCGCTCAACGTTACACGATGTGCGATGTGTGCACGATGTGCGGAATTTGCACGATGTGCGGTGTGTGCACGATGTGCGCACGGTGTGTGAACGTTGTGTGCACGATGTGCAAACGATAAAAAGAGGACGATTATTGCTTGCGGACATTTTTGCGCACGATGGACGAACGTTGTGCGATAACAATCGTGGTTGGGTTTAAATTGAGGCATTGCTGAACAATATATACGGTTTCGTGTTTACACATATAAACCTGATTTTTAAGTATTTTTCTATATTCTAGCTACATCTATAAGCTTTCTCAAATTTAGAAACTGTGTTTTGCGGTGTGTTTTTTAAACGACCTTAATCGACACATGTAAAATAACAACACAGTCACGTATACAGGTAAACATAGCCACTTTGTACATGTACCTCCCTCGCCCGGGGCACTTACGTAACTCGTCGGGGTGTGAAAAGCCACGTGAAGTGGAACTATAAGTCAAACCGAATGCAAATAACAAATACTTAACGTCCAGTTGTGTTTTTATAACGGTCTTACGGTATCACATATCAGCTCTTCCCGTCAGGCACAGGTCAGGTAAAACTCCGGTCACTCATCAAATTGTTATTCACCTGTTCTGTTGCCATAGAGTCAAACCCATTCTTGACAGTCTAACGGTCGCTGTTATACTATGTTACACGCATTGTAGAATTGTACATAATCTAAATTATTGTGATGAGATATTACAGTAATATATACAGTGTACATTATTGTATACAAGTTTTCCGTATATTTTTCATTCCGTCATATTGATTACAAAATTGTACCAAATCGCATAGTTGTGCGGAGAGAAGCGCACAACGGGGCGAACGATTGGTTAATCGCACAGTTGTGCGCACCATATGTGGACAATGTGCGGACGGTGTGTTAACGATGTATGCACAGTGTACTCACGCTTTTTTTGTGCGTTGTGCGGTCAAACAACTGTATCTTATATATCCATTTATTAATTATAAATTTATGTTTATAATCAATTTGTTGTATTTATAAATTTCTTATTTCTTATCAAATTAATTTGAAATATACTTCAATTAAAAAAATACATTCTGGAAACCTCGAAACGAAAAAAATGAAAGACATTTGTTTTTGTTACTTTAGAGAAATTAAATGGAAAGATAAACCTAGCAAAATTGAAGATTTTAGAAATCTGGTAAAATTAACATGATACCTTAATAAAGATACTTTGTACATTTTGTATTAAATAATATGTATACAGCTGGAATGAATACTTTTTCATATTGTCTTGGCGTAGACAATGATTGTAATTACGTAGAACCAGTTTGAACACAATTATTTACTCAAATATCCTGGTCCCACTGCTCTGTGGTTTTACCTATAAACAGTAACCTCTCCTTAACTTCCATTTGGATATATCTTTAGCACAGTTGGGATAAGACACTTCTATTGACCAGCTAACTCAATCAGTTAGAGAAATAGTGAAAACAATATAAAGTATAGGAAATGCAGGGTTCGGATCCTGGTCTAGCCCCACAAATATTTTTTTCACATTCGGAGCAATCTTGTTTATTATATTCGTAAATTTCATCTCATTTATTTTTCAAAAAGTTCCGAAATGTATGTGGTTCTTTTAAGAAATGATCTATCATAAGTTATAAGTTATAGACATGCCAGAACACTTTTATATTTTGTATATTTGCCTTATAGGTATCTTCTTTTAATTAAAAGAATTATACAACTACACGTAAACAGTTTATTTTTTATTTTTTTTAAGCAACTCAGTGAATCAGAAACCCATTAAACATTGTAAACGTTGGGTAGATGTCTGCCACACCGCTATGGTCCTTTCCCACCCGTACCCAGACCTGATCGCCGGGAGCCAGCATCGTGATAGCTGATGATGCGCCCGTTGTAAAATAGGCGTCGTCTCCGCTCATGGCTGTCCCAAACACCACACCGTTACGTACCAACTCTGTAGTTATCCACTGGGAGCTCTCAACCTTGACCATCCATGAAAACTGGTATACGCCGACTTCAACACAGGTAAAAACACCGGTTGTAGATCTATAATGGGCTCCGATATTGGTGATGATGTGGTCAAACGTAACGATATGTTCTGCAGCAGGATCTCTTACAGTATGTACGAGAATGGCATGGAATGCAATAATGCTGTCGGTAGTGGAATCTGTGAAATATAATATCCTTAAATAAAAGATGAAGAAACCTATTCATAAAATACATGTGCAGAAATATTATTGCAGTAGTTTGTCACATATCAAAATATGACTACGCGCAACATGGCTAAATAGTATGGTGGTCAAAATGTGGTGAAAAGAAGTTAATGGTATTTTGTTTTTGATTCAGGCGATATAATAGCTTATTAATTGAAACTAAGCGTCCATCCATTAAGTGAGAAACTAAAAACGAACATTTAGAACCTGGATCTTAACTCTTATAAGAACCAAGTTTCGGCAAACAAAGATCGGTGATATGGGTTGTGATATTTCGGGGGCGGGGGCGTTTTGGGGTTGGGGCCTAGGGTTTAGCAAAAATATTCTTTGTTAAATCAAGCTACAGCGAAACATCATTTACATGTTCTTCTTCTTCAATATGATTTAAATGTAATCAAACATACATATTTCTCAAATCCCGGGCTAGGTAAAGACAAAACATGGTACGTTGAAAACAGAACATGGTTTGTTGTAAGAAACATGATATAATGATTCACTACCTTTGTATTAACAGTTCTAATACAGTAAACGCATACGGCACTTTGCTTATGAGTAAAAATATTTGTTCTAGAAAACGTGTAATTGGTATATTTTTTTCATTGTTTTAGATGTCGTGATCGTATCGAAACTACCTACATAGAAACAATACCTAATCCCGTTTACAAATATAATTTCATGATATTGTTATCACTTCATAAAAACTGACACAAATAAATGCAGACAGACATTGCTTACCAACACGAGGGTTTACTGTCTTAACGGCTTCATCTGTAATCAGAAAAGGTATCGAATTGTCAAGGAAGAGAATACACGGTAACCACGAACTGATGATATACAGGCATATACTGAATTGGTATCATAACATGAAAGAATCTTTAATTTCAACATCAAGACTGTGTGTAGGTCTTGATTTTTTCTTGTCTTCTAAAGGGCAAATCAGTACATATAAAAGAAAGGATTGGCTAGTATCACATTTCCTTTCTTTAGAAGCCCATGTAAAAAGTAAGCTCCATATGAATTTAAAAACAGATCAGGTAGACGTGTTGTACAGACAGTCTACATTGGATTTCTTAATACAGCATGGACTGTTTATCAAGACCTATGAACTTCATTTACCAATGCTAATTCATATCGTTATCCTCTATTTTTGCTTTTCGTTTTGAAATGTGCCGTGCATTTAACGGTATATTTAAAGTTAAGGAAACAATGTAATTTCATACCAGGGTTTCTTTTTGTTGATTGGGACTTTCCGTCAGATATTGCCGAACCATCTGGTATACCGAGTATGTCTGGGCCTGGTTTGGTGTTGTTCACACGGTCAGATTTCGGCTCAGGTTGTTCTTCAAATGTCGGTGTTTTCTCTTCAAGTGTCATGATTTTCTCTTCAAGGGTAATAGCTTTCTTTTCAAGGGCTATGATTTTCTTTTCAAGCGTCATGGTTTTCTCTTCAAGTCGTACGTTCTCCCTCTGTAGTGTTTCTGTGAAGGTAGATTGACAAGTACTCATTACTGATAATGGAAAGATCGGGTTTATCACTATTTGTAGGCTTGTGGCCTGTGCAAGTGAATATTACGCATAGGTATTACTATAACATTAATTTGCTGTAAATATAACATATCTTACAGAATTAAGGTTATCCCACAAGCTTTTTATTTTTATGCCGATTTTTGTCAACTTGTTTTCTTCATTTAGGAAGTATTAAACAAGTGCATGATGTCTACAATAAATGTCTGATAGCTTCAAAACATTAGCTTAAAGCAAGAATGTAAACATAAATGTGGAGCAGACAAACACGATGTATACACCTGTATTACCTATTTGCGCTCCATGTTTGTTAAGGAGAAGTCTGATTTCACGCAATTCTGTATCGGAGGTCCCATCACCAGTCACTGAGGGACTGGCTACCGCAAAGGACGCGTCCAATAGAAGGTTGCATATGGCCAGAACACAGAGCAATGACATGTTTACAATAGTTTCAGTAATGAGGTGTGATCAAATGCGCAGCTTATTTATAGTGGGGCATGTACATTGTAGGTCAGATAAGGCGTTAGCGGCACACGACCTTAAAAGAGATAATAGGGCGAAGTGTGTATACATAAGATATATAGAAATGCTCAAAACACACTTTCAAATGTATACAAACATAAACCCTCTCTCTTTTCTAATAGGTTCTGCAAATAGAAGGTAAAAGGAAAATTTGATTAATATAGAGGCACGGTAGTTAAGTAGTAGGATGCCGGGCTCGTGACTAAAGGGTCGAGGATTCGAATGAATTCATGGCAATGTGCTGTATCCCCGAACAAGATTATTTACTACGCGTGTTCCTTTTTACTTAGCGGTAAATGAGAACGTGTTTGGGCAGTGCTAGAATCGTTGAATACTACACAGCCGTGTGCACCTTAATGGCAGCACCGGCTGTATGCTTCCCAGGAAGATATTGGCTGGTTGCAAAGGCCCTATAACCAGAATCATAATTTGTGAACCGCATTTACACGACCCAGGTTGTAATAAGGCGGTATATAAGAACCTCAAATTATTATTATTATTATTATATATATGAATTTTAAATTTAATGTTAGGTAACATAAAAATATATAAGTCGTTTATCATAGTATGCTTTACGATACAATGAACTTTTTGGGTCAGACTTCACTTTCGTCTTATTGTCTTTTGGCTTGTAGCACATATTAAGGACCGAAATTGTAAGGCAGATACGATTATTTAGAATCAAATAAATTAACCTACAAGTGTAAATTGCTTGTTTGTTTGTTTGTTTTGGGGGTTTAACGGCCTTTCAACAACTAAGGTCATATGAAGACGAACATGCAAGTGTAAAACTTGCTTTAACAACAAAACAAAACAAAATAATCTATATTTTATCTGTATCCTTCGTAGCACCTGTTACAGTAAAATTGATACCATTTGCCTTACCTGAGATACATGTTTATCTATTGCGGCAAGGAAACAAATATGTTATTTTGTTGTTTTAGCTCAGTGAATCCGGAATCGGTTATACATCGCAGACATAGGTTGGATGTCACTAGTATGGTCCTTTCCCATCCGAACGTAGGTCTCATCACCGGGGGTCAAAATCGGGAGAACTGAAACTGCGTTTGTTGTCCAACAGTAATTGTATCAACTCAGAGCTGTCCCAAACACATCATTCGTTACGAATCAAATCCACAATTATGAACAGCTTATCAAAGGTGACGCATGCGTTTACTGCATTAGTAGAGTAAATACGCAAGTTGTGAATCAGGGTATATAAATTATGTCTAAAATGGATCATGTTTAGTTCTTACTCGGGCTGCTTAACGAACAGATGTATTTCGTATATACATTATCGGATTTATATTGAAATAGTGAGAGTAAAATATGTAGTGCTGCTGCTTGCTTTGCAACAAAGTTTGATACTATTTTCGCCAAACTCAGCTCAAGAGATACCACGTCCTTGTCATCGAGGGATCTACCTTTGAACGTGATGGCCGTGGATTGGCGAAATTCTCTACAGTACAAGATTCAACAACCAGGTTCGATATTTACGTTTACATTTTCTTAATCAACATTTGGCCTTACCGTGAGGAAAACAATGCTGTATTGCCCGAAGTAAAAACAAACTCCATATTATTGTGAACATTAAAATATATGTAAGCTGCCAATGTTTTGTCACAATACTCGTTTGATGAGTACCGTAGCAGTCATTCCCTGCCACGTGACCGGCTTCTACCGTTTCATATGTAAATGCCTTTTTTATGTAGTCGGAATTTTCTTCCATACGTTTGAGATATGTTTTTATTATCCACAGCCGACAGTAGCCTTACTGCATTTCATGCATACAGTAGGTGATCAAGCATCAGAGCGTATCGTTCCGTTTGAGCAAATCGACAAACATATCAGTGCCCATTTCAGCTAAACAATCGACATATTTACCTGTGTATAAGCTGGCGTATACAATTGTCATTGCTATTCAAAATACTGCTGGGCAGTAAATGAGAACGGAGTAAGTTCGTAACGGTGTGTTGTGGTTCAGCTCTGGGTGGAGACGATACAAATTGGATAATGGGCACAGCATCAGTTGTCACGATGTCGACCCCTGACGATGAGGTCTGCGTACGTGTACGAGTTGTGACGGGACATATCAGCGGGGCAGACATACACCCCTCGTTCAGAATGTTAAATGGATTTCGTTTTCAGTGACTTAATCCAGGAAATATAATTTTCGTTTACGTTAAGTAATAATCGCTTTATTTCGGATTAAACGTCTCTTACAACAATCCCACAAAACATCCAATTTAAGTAAAACCATTTAGACAATTAACACTTGATCAATTAACGATACAAGTATGCAGATGAGTATAAACTATGGCTTGCTCTCTTGATTTAAATACGTTAATTTATGTCTCTTCCTCTGACAGTGCCCAAATAACCGAATTTTCGCCGCCATCCTCAAGCTCGCTTAAACCCATAGCAGGTATTGGGCTGAAATGGTCAGCTTCAGACATAGGCCTCGCCATGAGCGGAAGGTTCGAGTACTCATTCAAGAAAAAACTTGTATGTGATACTTTTTATGCCTAAAATGCGATCTGCAATCCGTCGTTTTGACTTCGTGTTTACTAGAGCGACCCTGTGCAGGTTCGAGGACTGGGTTTTCCCGGTTTATCATTCTGCATGTCGTAGGAGGCATCCAGTGTTGTAACAGGCGACTAATGTGGGGGCCTAAAGACTCGGGGTTTTCTTCTGTGTCTTTTACTAAGAGGACATGGAAAAGACCAAAATTGATATGTTGCCCCCATTGCAACACTTGAGATTTGTCGTTACTTCTCTTTCCCCCTTCGTAGGCCCCCGTGCCCTTATGACCTTAGTTGTTTTGAGGGCGTTCAATCCCCAACCATAGAATCTTGATAATGTGCTTGGTTGTTGATTATACAGTAATTAAACCGTAAATTGGGATAAACACACTTCAATGTTATAATCGAAAATGAATCAGTTTATCAATAACAATGATAAATTTTTGACATTATTATATTTAGTATGTACTTATATATTTTAGAATTCATACTTGTAATATTTTTATTTTGTCATTACGCTTCAACGCTACTGACATTCTAGTTTAAACATATCGCTATGACAGCAATGATATATTCCTTCGGTGATTTTTACTACGACATATATGTAGTATATATAATTTATGGTGTCTATAGAATCTTCCCTAAGGTAATCACGCTCTTTAGAATATTTCCATAGGTTAAAGAGCAGAAAATCGATTGTCACGTCAAATACTCAAAACGGTAATCTTATGTTAGCGCCTTTTGCGTTTGAAATAATGAGCAAAATTATGAAAGCGTTAAATGCAATTCATAGATTTTCTATAGAATATATTTAGGTGTCCTACAATATAATGTTAACTAAATATTTGTATTCACAGCCTTAAGTTTTCGGATGATGGCAGCTTTGATATATCCGTATCTGGAGTTTACTTCAGTGTACAAGCCGATTTTGGTAGGTTGTCTTTCATGTTTGTCATCCAAAGTCACTCTGAGTGAAATGCTAATAGGGATGTTTTCCAGCATAACAGTAATTTTTAAGGGCAAGCTCAACGTATGAAACCCGGGCCTATACCTGTTCTGTAGCATTTTATTTATCTCCTTTTAAGTATAAGTAATAGATATGTCAGCGCCACAAGAAGTCAGATAGTCGTATGTAGGCATGAACGACATTAAAAACTGTCGATTGCCTTAAAAGACAATGACAATGTTATAGAACTTGAAAATAAACAACTTGTTTTGGGGATGAAAGGAAACTGATTTCCTAAAGAAAGAATATTGTTCAATACGAGTGGTCTGTATTAATAAGTATGTATATGTTTGTCATTATGTCATATCGGGTCAAACACATGATTAAAAGTTTTATAATATATTTATATATATGTAATAGTTAAGCGATAAAAGAAACATGTATACATGGTACTTTATAAATCAAAAGGACCTTTCTTCACTGACTTCCCTTGCTCTAAATTCAAAACCGAAACCAATATTACTTATACATTCTTCTTATTAAGTACTTATAGTGACAATCAATCTTATGGGACTGATTTGCATAATGTGTTTCCGGAAGGAGTGGACATCACTGAACGCCCTAGTATCAGCGCAGGACCGTGCACAAGTGATATAGGAGGTGTGTCCATCAAGTTCCACGGCAAATGGGCATGGGCATACAATGCATTCCAAGGGCAATTCGAAGAAAAGATTAAAAGCCTACTCAAGGATAAGGTAAGGTTGCGGATAGTTTAACCTTGTTTTCTTTAAACAAAATGAACGTCAATAATTCTTGAGAATTAATAGTTCACTTAGACACATTGAGCATTTTACTTATTTTAATTTTCCACTTTTTTTTCTCCATATTTCTATATTAGCATGTATGTAAATTAGGCACATGCCATTTAATTGATGAAATAACTTTGCATGATACTTTATGCATTCTGTGATACTCTCAACTAAGAAAACTGTTATATAACTTTATATATACATCATTATGTCCATTAAATCAATACATACGTAACTTTTAACTAGCACATGTATTTTACTAGCAAGATAATCATGTGGAAGATTAGCCTTTGGCTCACCATTAGTTTATCCTCAATAATTAAAGTTTATTATCATAATTATTTCATTTGCATTTTGGCTTTAGTTAACATATTCTTTAGACGTTTTTCAAACAATGGGAACGCCTAACATCATACAAGATTTTGATTCTTTGAGTGATGCTTTATTTGTTTATTTTTTTATATTTTGTTAATCTTGATTTTAAAAATGGATGCCTGTTAACAGTAGTAAGATCATTCTACATATTTAGAGCGCACTTAGAGATCTGTTCTACTTCTTAAGAGTAGAAATATTAACGTGTATTACCTAATTGTTTCAAGAAACTTCAGGGTATATTTGGTTTTCCTCGAGGAAAGGTAAATGCATTTTCAACGTGGCCAGAACAAGAGGTAACAGTTGGATATAAGGAAAAGATTGACAATTCTTACATGAATATCAATTATTCCATGATGTCAATACTAAGTTAGGTATTTTTGACATTTACAGATGTGCGACCTGATCAGTCGCTCTCTCAACACAGATGCAGAAAAGTCCCTGTCCTTGTTGAAAAGTAAGTTTTCGTTGAAATTCTAATAAAAGTGGTATCAGGCAATTTGCAATGCGTAAAAGTCATATCTGAGTTGCCATACATTTAGTGGTTTCCAGGTAAATTTCTTTTTTACTTTTAGTTACCGTGGGCATCGGAAACATGTTTGAGTTGAGCTATAAACTTACAGGGCCACCAACGTTTACCTCTGACTATATGGAGACCTATCACAAGGTAAGGGATACCGTTATAAATAACCTCTTTATCTGTGCTGCAGATGATGGTTTCTATTTAAAACAATTTTATTTGTAATTGTTTAATTTTCAAAAGTCTGTCTATATATATAATGTTAATGACAAATGCACACACACATCCACACAAACTTTTTCATAGTATTTATTTATCACCTTCGCCGTCTTCATCATTGTCATCATAATCATTATTTATTTATCATCATCATCATTATCATCAAAATAATCTCAAAATGATCTTATATCATCATCATCATCATCATCATCATCATCATNGTACAATTGTACTGTGTTTGAAAATATTTGATTTTATATGGATGTGCGTTTACACTATCAATGTATACCTTATATGGTATACTTATGTTCTCATTTCAGCTACCTGAAAGCGCATGTGGAGTTTTGAATACGACGTGTACCAGTTCGCTATGTATCTGCAACTTTATTCCAGCGGTCTGTAAATTATACTGGAAGACAAACTATTTTTCTTTGACAATATCATTTCACATTTCAATGTTAATGTCAAAACATATATATGCTCATAAATTTCTATATTTGGCTAACTGTTAAATGGAGATTTTCAGTACAAAATGTCGAAACGAAGTTTTAAAACTTTGATTTTTAACGAGAACGTGACAGTAAGTACATAATAATGTCAATAATGTTTTCAATCGATCGGGTTACATGTAAGATTACAAAAGGATAACGATACTTATTTATTGATGACCCGAAAGGCTTTTAAATATTTCACAAAATAGTAGTGTTGACATTCTTGAATTATTATTGTTTTATTTACTTTTTAGCTCTAGCAGAAGTATCCCAATTGTCAGACTGAACTACGAATGAGAAGTACAACGATGCCGCATATTTCTGTTGTCGACGGTTCCATAGAAACCAAGATGGCCGGATCAATAGCCCTATATGTCCGACCGGTGTCAACTTTGTCAACCCTCTATTTTAAGCCAGAGGACATAGAGAACGAACTAGGCAGCAGACTGGAGACTAACACCAGGGCATCTACCGACTACGTACTTACAATGAATGCGGTGAGTACATCACTATTTATGTTTACACTAACACCAAGCTCTTATTGAACATTGAAAATCATATACTCCATGTTATCCAAAAAAATATATCATATTTATTTATTTCCATACCGTTACTCTATAATATCCCAAATGTATTTCATTTCAGCATATTTCTATACCGTTACTCCATGTTATCCCTGACATATTTAGCCACTATTGTAATCTAACAATTTAATACAAAATATTTACAGTATGTCTATAGTATGCTAAAGGGAGGCAATTTCTTTACATGATAAACAAACTGAAATTCAAATATATCACATACTGTGCTGATTAACATCATTTAACATTGCTGAGGATAAAATTTTAAGTGGTTGCACGCTAATAACAAAATTTCAATGTCTGATCTTTTTAATTCTTTTTTAATCAGATCTTGGACAAAAGGGAATTCCGCTACCACTCGGAAAGGTGTCATTGAAAAATGCCAAGTTAGTGCTACTGAAAGTGAGTGATGGCTAATACAGTTTATAAATTCTTGTCTAACCTATTTTGAATAAATTAAAATGAAATAGCTCGCTCATCAATAAACGTTAACAAAATCGGAAACGGAGTCATTATGCACAAAAAAGTATTTATGTTCTTTCAGACATATAATTCATGATAAGTGGCTAAGTTATAATCATGCATATACCTGTTTGCAAAACATGTATTTTAATGTAAATCACATTTTAACAAGAAACTAATTATACATGTTAGTTGGTTTTATTTTGCATTAGACCAATTAACAGCTAAAGTCACTTAACGACGTTCTTCCTTTGTGATGTGTATGCGTGCTTGTGTGTGTGCGCGCGCACAGGAGGTAGGGTATGTTTGTGTATTTGCCTCCTTGTGATAGTTCCGATACGATGCCGACTTTATAGTGTTTTCCCAATGAAATACCATGCCGAAGGTACCCAGCACAGCATTCCGCCTGGTCACATTTTTCTGACAACTAGTGAATTAGTTGTTGCCATTCCTCTAAATGCTGAACGTTCTGCAAGGTATGCTCCGGCCTGGAAACCGAACTAATTGCCCGCCTTACATAGGCGAAGTTCAATATTAAAGCCAAACGTGAGGTGTTGCCAAGCAAAGCGCATGGAAAAAATATAGTTATAAGTAGAAAGATTTATTTTGGTCGCTTGTGTGTCCCTAGTTAAAATAAAACTTTGATAAAGGCAAAATCATATGTAGCTGAATTTAAAAAAGTGCTATTGAATAAAGACGTTAGGATAAGACGTACATATGTATTGATGGTTATGACGATGACGATGACGACTATGATTATGACGACGACGACGACGACGATGATGACGACGACGATGATGACGACGACGACGATGATGATGATGATGATGATGATGATGATGATGATGATGATGGAATATTTTATAGGTCAAGATAATTAATAATTTAAATATGAAATTGGTTTCCGAACAAACACAAGAGTTTCCTTGGACAAAGATAAACTCTAACTTATTTTTTTTATGCTTCATAAATCAGAAGGTCAAGGGTTAAGGTACGATGCATCTATAGCACACTGTATACACTACTTCCATACGTAAAGTGCATACATGTATTTACAAATGTAAGAATTACATTCGACAACACACGAAACGTATCGGTATCAAAATTCAAACCAAGTCGACTTCAAAACTGATCGGGAGGAGATAGGGTGATTGTGGCGGCAGGGGATTTGTATTGCCCTGTGAAATCCAGGATATGTACCTGGAGTCTCAGATATGTATGCCAGTGTTTAGATCGTATGTGCTCTACATATCTACGATTACGGATATTTTCTTTGTGTTACAGGATGCTTTCGTCATTGCGACAGACTTGGTGTACCATCCCGACAAGGAATAATAATTGTGACATCACGCGGGACACAAGGGCCCATGCCTTTTGGTCACAGAAAACAAACATCTGTAAGTGTTGGGCATCAGAACCCGACACTTTCAAAGACATGCAAGAACAAATGTTGAAGTAGAACGTCTTAACTAGCGATACAATGTTCACAAATATCACATTTTCCCACTCAAGTGTAGTCAACCTTTTAAATTGATTTGCATATGTTTTTCTTTTATAAATTTTGTGCATATGAACATTTGATACATTATGTAATTTCGTAAGCACAAAAAATATTTTGTTTTTGATATTGCTCTATTTCTTTGCTATACTTAAGTACTCACGCGTGTTCGTGTCTCAGCATTTACCATGTACTACAAAAAATAGTTCGGATGTTAATCAGATAGTGATTCTGTTTTGTCACTATTTACCCTTTGGGTTCTTGTAACATCCGTAGTGTTTTATGTTTTTTAGTATCTAACACTGTGATATATTTTGTTCCTCTCTCACATAGTTCAAAGTACGGTTAACAATATTTGCTATCACTAATTCCTTTTGTTTTACATATGAGTATATTTTAGTCTGTGTTAAATGCATAACTGACTGTGATATTTTATACTTGTGTTTTATTCTTGTCATCCATTCTGTTAGTGGACCCTTTGGTCTTGAATTTGAAATAAATAAATAAATAAATATCTGTTTCCAATATTGAATTGTACTTTAATTTATTAGTAACTTACAACATAACAAACATAACCTTTGTTTGAAGTTGGCGTTTTGTTTATGAAGACTATACGCCATTTGTGTAGATTGATATCTTTTTATAATGAAATACAAACATTCCATCGACTCAGCAAAATGCAACAGTTCTGTGCAAAAGACTGAGTTAGATACCAATTAAAGTATATCAGATAAACGATTCGCCACTTACGCTTCACTCAAATATGCAAGGAGAGTAATTGAATTTCAGCTGGTCTATTTAACGTTATTATTAATGTTTCTGAAAATTAAGTCGGTATGGAACTAGAACAAACACATCACGGCATTATTGCATCCATGAAAGGTAGTTGTACTAAAAGTGGATTACTTTTGCAGGGCTAGATGGTTTGCGTTTTTCGCGTTGAGTTAATTGTTGCTAAAATTTCAACCTGCGAATATTTATTTATAGATTATATAAATGAAAATAAAAAGAATATATTGATTTCGAAACCATTGCAAATGCAAAACAAAACAAAAACATTATCACTGCAGTTAGTTTAAAGAGTCCAAACCTTAACATTTCCACACCCAAAATGTTTCACTTTTAAAGAAATCATTACTTAGTGTTAGGAACGGTTACAATATAAGAATAATTTGAGTAAGGTAAATCAGGAAATCAAATACAATGGGCACGATGAAGGTACTTTATTTGGAAGGAATTTAGTAACGATGTGTTTTACTGTTATAAAAATTAAATATCACATCAAGATATGTTTTAAGCTTTGATGAAATGAAGGCTGCAAATTCAATAATTGTAGTGAACAACGCACTTTTGGATCTATACGTAGTCTATACACACCTGGCATTCGAACGGTGAATAAAAAGAAACCAAATAAAGATATTATCTATACAATGGCAACAGTCAATGCATGTGCAAAAATTGTGCAAGAATGTCTCGACGAGGATGATTATATCATTGTATGGCAATTGCAATTTCCGTTTTTTAAGAGTTTCTGAACACAAAAACCGTAAAATATATCCTTTACTGATTAATTGAATCAAGTATAAACCCTTGTATAGTTGTTACAAATACAACTATATTGCAATGCATTAGAGACATGTCATGGTAACATTTGCATTACTGTTTTAAAAAAGATTTCTGAACGATTTCTTTTTTTGCGTCGCTGTGGCTACGGGGCGGGGTTTGTTTTACCGTTATGTGTGGGTTTATTTTGCATGAATTTACCCCTTTGTTTCATCTTTGGTACTTTGAATTAAAATCAATGTGTTGTAGATGCTGCTTATAATTGTGCCATTCTAGTTGTCGTTATTTTTACTTGTTACAACGTCAACATTTCAAACCTCTCGCTAGAGACGATTCTTTTTGGTGTTTCCTCTGATGGTAAATGGTAAAAAAGAAAGGGAAGTATTTGTTGGGAAAATATGTTTGGCACAAATGAGCAAGGATCGTCTGATATAATGTTAATTCTCTGACATTCGAAATCGAGTTGAATTGAACAAAATGATCTAGGATTTCACACGAGAGTGTTACGTTGCAGTCGGAGTAATTCGGGGTCAGGGAAACAGGTATGATAAAAAAAACTGTATGACAGACAGTCTTTGTTAGAGGGCAAGTATGAATATGAACAACCACCTTTATGCTAAAATGTTCTGGATCTATCAAAACACGTGTTGCTATCAAACATACCCTATTGTGAATGTAAGAAATGCTGTACTCACAGATCCTGGTGTTATGGATTTGACTTTCCTTGCTCTACGCTTTTATCCTGATAACAATAGTCATGATTCGTGATGTTTGTTTCACGTTACGTTAATTCCATCCAAAGTGTTAGCTATAACAAGTGGATAGAATTGGAACGACATAATCATTTCCGTCATAAACAAGCTTTGTGACAAAGAACGAAAGCTAAGAAACTAGACTTTCGTGAAGTATTGATACCACAGCAATACCCGAATTAAAGCAGCTTTGGCGACTCGAACTTTTGGGTTTTACTGGAGACCATTCATTCCAACTCTATGAGACCTTTGTATTTCTGCAGGATGTAATGCGACAGAGGCCACAAGGAGGAACAGGTCGTTGGTGTATTTGTTCTCAATTTCCGGGAAGCCAGATGATTCAGTAAGAATAATATTCTTCTTTCCATACTGATCTAGCCTGTCGAGCAAGAAAAAGGCCTCACTCTCGCCATTAAGTTTCGATGCATCGAGTGCGATCTACTGCTACAAGACACTGTGTATATCATCTATTAATAGTCATTTGACGACCTTTGCTTTTCTCTCGTCGATGGCATCCGTAATGAACACTTTATTCATGGAAACGTTTGTCAGTAGATTGTTGCTGAAGTATCATACCATTCCTGACCGGAAAGAGTAACAAACAAGGAAAAAATGTATGAATAATCCAAAGAAAATGCAAAGTTACCAAGGGCTGACGACTCATTGACGACTGTCGATCATCAGATAGGTAAGATATATTTCCTTTAGATTAAGTTTGGTTAAACTGGGTTTAGAGGCCGATTTAGGGTATTTAAACACGTGACCCTATGAGTAATGTATGCGAACATGAGTGAAATGCATGCTGAAGGCGGTATGTTGGTGTATCTGTCTGATTTTGATACAAAAAAAAACTTCTTTTTATTGTTTTTGAAATATTATGTATTACAATCATTCAATAACAATCAATCGTTGCATATCAATATATCATTGTGAATATTTACTGACGACAAAATGTACATTTTATAAGAACGCTACCGCATTTATTCAAAAACCTTCTTGAGGACTTAAATGAAGAAGTCAACTGGACAAATTAAAGTCCTTTTAATCTAATTAAAGATATATATAATTAATTTATCTTATATGTCCATTTGTTAATTATAAATTTATTTTTATAATCAATTTGTTGTATTTATAAATTTCTTATTTCTTGTCAAGTTGATTGGAAATATGCTTCAAATGAAAAAACAACATCTTGGAAACCTCATAACGAAAAAATGAAAGACAATCTTTTAGTTACTTTAGAGAAATTAAATGGACAGATATACCTAGAAAAATCGAAAATTTTACAAATCTGGTTAAATTAACATAATACCTTATAGATACGTTTTACATTTTGTATTGAATAATATGTAAACAGCTGGAATGTATACTTTTTCGTTGTGTCTTGTCGTAGACAATGATTGTAGTTACGTAAAGCAAGTTTGAACACAATTATTTACTTAAATATCCTGGTCCCACTGCTCTGTGATTTTACCTATAAACAGTAACCTTCTATTTGAATATATCTTTTAGCACAGTTGGGAAAGGACACTTCTATTGACCAGCTAACCCAATCAGTTAGAATGCTGGTATAAAAATATGAAGTATACGAAATTCCAAGTTCGGATCCTGGTCTAGTCCCACACATGTTTTTCAAATTCGGAGCAATCTTGTTGATTATATTTGTGTATTTCATCTCATTTATTTTTCGAAAAAGTCCCGCAAGGTATGGGGTTCTTTTCAGAAACGATTATCATAAGTTATATGTTATAGACATGCCAGAAAGAAAAAGAAACTGTTTCCTACACTTTACAGTTTTTGGCAGTGGGACGGGGATCCTTATATTTTTATATTTGCCTTATAGATATAGTCTTTTAATTAAAAGAATTATACAACTACACGTAAACAGTTTTAAATTTTATTTTTTTGGCACCTCAGTGAATTATAAATCCATTAAACATTGTAAACGTTGGGTAGATGTCTACCCCAACGGAATGTGCCTTTGCCACCCGTACCCAGACCTCATCACCGAGGGCCAGCATCGTGATAGCTGATGCTGTGCCCGTTGTCCAATCGGCATCGTCTCCGCTCATGGCTGTTCCAACCACCACACCGTTACGTACCAACTCTGTAGCTACCCACTGGTTAACATAAACCTTGACCATCCATGAAAATTGGTATACGCCTACCTCAACACAGGTAAAAACACCGGTATTGGAGCTGTAATGGGCTCTGATATTGGTAATGATGTGGTCAAACGTAACGATATGGTCTGCACCAGGGTCAATGATCGTATGTGCGAGAACGGCATGGAATGCAATAATGCTGACGGTTGTGGAATCTGTGAAATATAATATCCCTAAATAAAAGATGAAAAATCCTACTTGATAAAATACATGGGTACAAATGATACGACAGTAGTTCGTCAAATATAAAAAAAAATTACTACACGCGACTTGGCTACAGAGTATTGTGGTCAAAATGTGGTGAACAAAATATACTTGAATATAATTACGTATATAATGTTAAGTTTTTGATTCAGTCAATGAAATAGCTTTTTTAAAATAAAAACAAAGCATCCATCCATTGAGTGAAGCACTAATAACGATCATTTAGAACCCGGTTCTTAACTGTTATAAGATCGAAAGTTTCGGCAAACAACGAACTCGGGAGGATTGTGGTCGGGGGCTCGGGTTTGGCAAAAATATTGAATTATTTGGCAAATCAAGCTACATCACCACGTCATTTACATGTACTTCTTCAATAAAAATTAAATGTTGTCAAACATACATGTTTTTTTTCTCAAATCCCAGGCTTAAAAAAGACAAAACAAGGTAAGAATAAGTATGCAATGTTTCACTACCGTTGTATTCACTGTTCTAATATAGTAAATGCATATGGAATTAACTTATGAGTGCATAATATGTGTTCTAAAAAACGTTCTATTGACTATTTCTATTATTTCTTTGAGATGTCATCAACGGTTCGAAACTACCTAGAAACAATAACGAATCCACTTTCTGGAATGCGTGTTGGATTTGATTTTTTCTGGTCCTCTCAAAAACAAATCAGTACACACATAAGAAAGGATTGGCCAGTGTCACATTTTCCTTCTTTAGAAGCCCGTGGAAAAAGTAAGCTTCATATGAAATTAAAAACAGATTACTTGAAGTATTGTACACACTAGTACTGACTGCAATGGATTTCTCAACATAACGAAAACTGCTTATCTAGACCTATTAACTTCTTTTATCAATGCTAATTCATATCGTTATCCTCTTGTTTGGCTTTCCGTTTTGCAATGTGCCGCGCATTTAAGTGTATATTTAAAATTAAGGAAACAATGTCAGTTTCATACCAGGGTTTCTTTTTGTTGATTGGGTCTTTCTGTCGGATATTGCTGACCTGTCTGTTTTACCGAGTACGTCTGGGCCTGGTCTGGTGCTGTTCACACGGTCAGTTTTAGGCTCACGTTGCTCTTCAAATGTTGGTGATTTCTCTTCAAGTGTCTCGATTTTCTCTTCAAGTGTCATGATTTTCTCTTCAAGAGATATGGTTTTCTTTTCGAGTTTCATGGTTTTCTTTTCAAGTCGTGCATTCTCCCTCTGTAAAGTTTCTGTGAAGGAAGATTGAAAAGTACTCATGCTTGCAATACTGCTAATTGAAAGATCGGGTTTATCACTTTTTGTAGGCTTGTGACTTGTTAATTTAACATATCTTACAGAATCAAGCTTTAACCTACAACATTTTTTATATTTATTTGATGACGATTTTTGTCAGCTTTTTCTCCTCATTTAGGAAAAACAATGATGTCCGCACTAAATGTTTGATAGCAACAAAACAAATAGTTTAAAGCCAGAATGTAAACATAAATGTTGAACAGACAAACACGATGTATTCACTTGTATTACCTATTTGCGCTCCATACTTGTTTAAGAGAAGTCTTATTTCTCGCATTTCTGAATCAGAAGTTCCATCACCAGTCACCGAGGGGCTGGATACCGCAAAGGACGCGTCCAATAGAAGGATACATATGGTCAGAACTGAGAGCAATGCCATGTTTACAATCGTTTTAAAATCGAGGTCTGATCAAACGCGCAACCGATTTTATAGTGTGCCATGTAACATGTAGGTCAGATAAGACGTTAGTTGCACACGACCATGAACGAGATATAAGACGAAGTGTGCATACATCAAATATTTAGAAGTGCACTTTCAAATGTCTATAGATATTCTGCAAACAGAAAGTAAAATGGACATTGGATTCCTATAGAGGCACATTAGTTAAGTGGTAGGATGCCGGACTCGTGACCGAAGGGCCGCGGGTTCGAATCATGTCATGGCACTGAGTTGTATCCCGTAACAAGATACTTGACTCAGCTTGTTCCAGTCTACTCGGCTGTAGATGAGTACGTGGTTGGGCAGCGTAGAAATATTGCACACCAGCCGTGAGCGCCTTAATGGCAGCAACAGATGTTGCGAAAGATATTGGCTGGTTGCAAAGACCCGATAACCAATGATAAGAATTTGTGAACCGCTTTGAGACGACCTAGGTTGTGATAAAGCGATATATACGACCCTCAAATAATAATCATTATTAGCTATATAAAAAAAATCTGTTAGGTTACATAAAAGTACCGAAGTCGTTTATCGTAGTATGGTTTAGTAAACCATCATACCATTACTATTTTGGGGTCAGACTTCACTTCAGGCTCAATGTCTATTGGCTAGGGGCACATAATAAGGACAGATTTAAAAAATAAGCTATTCAATCTATTAATTAAAATTGTGGGGGAGATAATATTGTCTAGAATCCAAATGATTAACCTACAAGTGTAAACTGCTTGTTTTTTTTTGGGGGGGGGGGGGGGGGGGTGACGGCCACACAACAACTAAGGCCATATGGAGACGAACCTACCAGTGAAAAACTAAAACGTATCCATAATTTATCTCTGTCTATAAGCGCCTTTATAACAACACAACTGTTAAAGTAACATTGATACTATCTTACCTGGGATGCATATTTGTCTATTGCAGCAAGAAAACAAATATGTTATTTTGTTGTTGTGGGACTCGCACAACTCAATCAGCCAATCAGCAAATGCTTTATACGATTCTAATAAAAATCCTGGTTAATACAGTGCCTCTGAGTAATTTAAATAGGTCATTGTTGACATATTTTACATTGAATGAAATCTACAAATATTGAACTTTAGAAATATTTTTAGTTTTAGTAGATTTTAAAATGTGATGGCGGATTGATATGGGGTCAAATGTCGGGGGGGGGGGGGGTGTCCCGTCCTATTTCACCGGTTTGGCTTGTAAACTTCCGGTTGTCGAAAGCAGACGCCTGTAGCGCTCTTATATGCCACCAAACTCACCAAAAATGCATTTTAACTTCTTTGTCAGTTATGTATCTGTGAATCTAGACAGTTGTCACTAGTGTTGAACTTCAAATATCAACGCTATTAACTCAAAAGATTAGTAATAACATATAGTAAATGGTTTAGTTGTGTGAGCGATTTAGCTCAGTGTATCCGGAATCTGTTATACATCGCAGGACAGAAAGATACGAAACTATCACTTACAGTTATAATACACATATACATTTTTCTTCACTTTACGAATTTGATGGACATGACTACATATATGATATCACATGTATAAGTATATAGTTCACATTAACATACACTATGAATACAATTTAATGTGTTTTACCAGGCACCTGAGAAGGATAGGCAAGCTCCGTCCTGCTCAGTAGCATAGTGTGAAAGGAATGAGGGTGTTGACGTGCGCGTACGAATACGACACACAGAGTGGCGTACGTATGTAAATACTTGTGTAGGTCACATTCCCACAACACTCCACGCACAGGTTATGCCACTAGTACGGGCCAGACAACATCCTGTTACACTATCAGATTAAAACTTTTTTTTTCGAAAACAATATCTATGATTAACCCTTGGCATGGATAACGAGTCGACTCTACTGCAATTAACTGCATATACATTATTTTTGAAAAACGCACTTTTTTATCAAAAGCTGTTCCTGTTAAGGGGCAGTGTTGACGGTACTAGATTAATCATACGATTACCATCTGTTTCAGTATCACTGTTTTCCTGCAAAACTCCCGAATGTTACTGTAAGTACAATCAACAATTAAGTTATCTTAGTTAAAATGTTAAAATAAAGTAAACCTCATTATACCATGGTGTATATGTCCACAATCTCAAAAGACTTTGTTCTTACACAAATTCTTTCAACTAACGCCTATTTCAGGTATAAATATTTCAGTGTCTGTCTACCAAAATTACGTCATATTACATTTAATGAAATATTTAGTGTCCCTTCTGAACAGGAAAGAGCGCTGAAATTGCTCATCAACAATGCCATGGAAAGGTTCATCCAGCCTAAGGTTGATTGTATGTTGAGGTCATAAACACTTTTCTGTGGAGGTATCACAGTAAAAGATATGGTTATCATTTTGATCTATTTCTATACCGTTACTCTATACAATCAAAATAATTTGTCATAATTACATATTTTTATACATTAACACTATATAATCCCAAAAATATGTCATATTTATCTATTTATTTACCGTTAGTCTATTTAATCACGAAAATATGTCAAATTTACATATTCTATACCGTTACTCTATATAACTCCAACAATATGTTATATTTATCGATTTCTTTACCGTTATCTATATAATCCCAAATATATGTTATTTTTATCTATTTCTAAACCGTTTCACGGTGTTATCTCAAACAAATATCATATATAGCTATTTCTTCAGTTTTACTTCATGTTTCCAAAACAATATGTCATATTTATTTATTTATATACCGTTACTCTATAATATCCAAAATGTATTTTATTTCAACATATTTCTATACCGTTACTCCATGTAATCCCTGAACTATTTACCCACTGTTGTCAACTAACAATTTAATGATAATTTTTTACAGTATGTCTACAGTATGCTAACGAAAGGCAATTTGTTTACAGGATAAACAAATTGAAATTCAAATATATCACATACTGTGCTGATTAACTTCGATTAACATTGATGAGGATCAAATTGTAAGTGGTTGCACGCTAATAACAAAATTCCGATGTCCGATCTTTTAAAATATTTGTTAATCAGATCTTGGAAAGAAGATAATTCCGCTACCACTCGGAAAGGTGTCATTGAAAAATGCCAAGATAGTGCTACTGAAAGTAAGTGATGTCTAATACAGTTTATAAAATCTTATCAAACCTATTTTGAATAAATTGAAATGAAATAGTTCGCTCATAAATAAACGGAGGAAACAGAGTCATTATGCACAAACGAGTATTTATGTACTTTCAGACATATTATACCTGATAGGTGGCTAAGTTATAATCATGCATAAGATATATTTTAATGTAAATCACATTTTAACAAGAATCTAATTATACATGTAGGTTTGGTTTTATTTTGTATCAGACCAATCAACAGCTCAAGTCACTTAATGACGTTCTTCATGGGTGATGCGTATGCGTGCTTGCGTGTGTGTGCGCGCAGGAGGTAGGGTGTGTTTGTGTATTTGCCTCCTTGTGATAGCGCCTTTATAGTGTTTTCCCAATGAAATACCATGTCGAAGGTACCCAGCACAGCATTCAGCCCGGTCACATTATTCTGACAATGAGTGAATTAGCTGTTGCCATTCCCCCTAATGCTAAACATTAAGCAGGGAATAGCAACTACCATTTTTAATGACTTTTGTATGCCCCGGCCTGGGAACCGAACTAATTGGCTGCCTCACATGGGCGAACGTTCAACATTTAAGCCAAAAGTGAATTGTTGTCAAGCAAAGCGCTTGGAAAGAAAAGGTAAATGTAGTTATAAGTAAAAAGAAATATAAAGATCCCAAATATTGCCATTGGGACAACAGATATATTTTGGTCGCTTGTGTGTCCCTAGTTAAAATAAGACTTTGGTATAAGCGTGATCATATGTAGATCATATGTAGATGAATTTTAAAAAAGTGCTATTAAATAAAGACGTTAGGATAACACGTACATATGTATTGATGGTGATGGCGACGATGAAGATGATGACTGATTGTTTTGAATAAAACAAACTTTAAAAACGTCTTACATGTATTTATTGATACGTCTATGGGCTAAATCTACCCACACTTCAAACAGCATATCCTCGCTGAAACGGCTTGTTTGGAATATTGCCTTGCAGGTAATATAATTTTAAATGTCAAGATCATTAATAATTTGAATATGAAATTGGTTTCCTTGGACGAAGATAAACTCAAACTTCATGCATTGGTTTTTTTTCACCAGAAGTGCTTGTTTGGTATGCTTCATAAATCAGAAGGTCAGGGGTCAAGCTACAATGCATCTATAGCACACTGTATACACTACCTCCATACGGTAAGTGCATCCATTTACTTACGCATTATATTCGACATCAAATGAAACGTCTCGGAATCAGAATTGAAACCAAGTTGACTTCAACACTGATCGGGTGAAGGTAGGAATATGGTGGCGGCGGGGGAATTCGTATTGCCCTACTATTTCGGATATTTCCTTTGTGTTACAGGATGCTTTCGTAATTGCGACAGACTTGGTGTACCATCCCGACAAGGAATAATAATTGTGACATCACGCGGGACACAAGGGCCCATGCCTTTTGGTCACAGAAAACATCTGTAAGTGTTGGGCATCAGAACCCGACACTTTCAAAGACATGCAAGAACAAATGTTAAAGTAGAACGTCTTAACTAGCGATACAATGTTCACAAATAACACATTTCGCATTCAAGTGTAGTCAACGTTTTCAAATTGAATTGTATATGTTTTTCTTTCATAAATTTTATTCATTATGTAATTTCATTTCGTGAGCACTTGATTGTAATTGCGGTAAAATATTTTGTTTTTGATATTGCTCTATTGCTTCGCTATACTAAAGTACTCACGCGTTTTCGTGTCTCAGCATTTACCTTGTACTCCAAATAATTAGTTCAGATGGTAATCAGATAGTGATTCTGTTTTGTCACTATTTACCCTTTAGGTTCTTAAAATATCCGTAGTTTGTTGTGTTTCTTAGCATCTAAGACTGTGATATATTTTGTTCCTTTCTCGCAGAGTTCAAAGTACGGTTCACAATATTTGCTATCACTAATTCCTTTTGTTTTACATATGAGTATCTTTAAGTCTGTGTTACATACATAACTGACTGTGATATTTCATACTTGTGTTGTATTGTTGTTATCCATTCTATAAGCTGACCCTTGGGTCTGTTAAATTGGAAATAAATAAATAAATATATATCTGTTTCAAATATTGAATTGTAGTTTGATCAAGCTTTTATGAATGTTTTTTGTATCATTTTCAACTTACACCATAATAAAAGTAACCTTTGTTTGAATTTGGCGTTTTGTTTATGAAGACTTTACATCATTTGTGTAAGTTGATATCTTTTTCTAATGAAATACAAACATTCCATCGCTTCAGCAAAATGCAACAGTTCTGTGCAAAAGACTGAGTTTGGTACCAGTTTGATACCTTTGGGATCTATACGTAGTCTATACACAACTGGCATTCGAACGGATAATATAAAGAAACCAAATAAAGAATTATCTATACAATGGCAACAGTCAATGCACGTGCAAAAATTGTGCAAAAATGTCTCGACGAGGATGATAATATCATTGTTTGGCTTTAAGAGTTTCTGAACACAAATACCGCAAAATATATCCTTTACTAATTAATAAAAGGAAGTATATACCGTTTTATAGTTATTACAAATACAACCCTATATTGCAATACATTAGAGACATCTCATGGCAACATTTGCATTACTGTTTTAAAAAACATTTCTGAACGATTACTTTTTTGCGTCGCTGTGGCTACGGGGCGGGAATTGTTTTACCGTCATGTTCGGGTTTATTTTGCATGAATATACCCCTTTGTTTCATCTTTGGTACTTTGAAATAATATCACTGTATTGTAGATGCTGCTTCTACTTGTGCCATTCTAGTTGTCGTTATTTGTACCTGTTAAAACGTCAACATTTCATTATTACACTTCAAACCTCTCGCTAGAGACGACTCTTTTTGTTGTTTCCTCTTATCGAAAAATTTAAAGAAAGGAAAGTATTTGTTGGGAAAATATGTATGGCACACATGATCATTGATCGTTCTGATAATGTTAAGACTCTGACATTCGAAATCAAGTTGAATAGAATGACACAGAAAGTTGGGTAGTTATACAAAATGATCTAGGATCTCACACTAGAGTGTTACGCTGCAGTGGGAATAATTCGGGGTCAGGGAAACAGATATGATAAAAAGCCACTATGTGATAGATAGTCTTTGTTAGAGGGCAAGTATAAGTATGAACAATCACCTTTATGCTAAAATGTTCTGGACACATACCCTCTTGTGAATGTAAAATATGCTGCACTCACAGATCCTGGTGTTATGGATTTGACATTCTGTGCTCTACACTTCTAACCTGATAACCTTAGTCATGATTCGTGATGTTTGTTTCACGTTACGTTAATTCCACCAAAGTGTTAGCTAAAACAAGTGGATAGAATTGGAACGACATAATCATTTCCTTCATAAACAAGCTTTGTGACAAAGAACGAAACCTAAGAAACTTAACTTTCGTGAAGTATTGATACCACAGCAATACCCGAATTAAAGCAGCTTTGGCCACTCGAACTTTTGGAGTTTCCATGGTGACTATACATTCCAACTTTATGAGACCTTTGCAGTTCTGCAGGATGAAAGGCGACAGAGGACACATGGAGGAACAGGTCGTTGGTGTATTCGTTCTCATTTTCCGGGAAGCCAGATGATTCATTAAGAATCATATTCTTCTTTCCATACTGATCCAGGCTGTCGAGCAAGACAACATGCCTCATTCTCGCCATCAAGTTTCGATGCATCGAGTGCGATCTACTGCTACAAGACACTGTGTATATCATCTATTAGTAGTCCCTGTCAGTAGATTACTGCTGAGGTATCGTACCATTCTCGACCGGAATGACTAACAAACAAGGTAAGAATGTATGAATAATCCAAAGAAAATGCAAAGTTACCAAGGGCTGGTGACTCATTGATGACCGTCGATCATCAGATAGGTAAGATATTTTTTTCCTTTAGGTTAAGTTTGGTTAAACTCGGTTTAGAGTCCAATTTAGGGTATTTAAACAGGTGACTCTATGAGTAATGTATGTTAACATGTGTGAAATGCATGATGAAGGCGGTATGTTGGTGTATCTGTCTGACTTTGATCCGATATCGACCTGATGGTAGGATGAAGACACAGAATGAAATAGTGTGTAATTTCCACGGTTTATAAATTATTCACAAAATTAACATTGATGCGATATTGTGAAGTATGTCGTTTATGGTGAAAAATTATCATTTAACGTGTCGATATGCAGTCATTCACCAAACTTTGAAATTTCAAAAGTTGAAAAAAAGAATTAAATTAGTGCAAATGGCATGCATACTTGCTGACTTTTCAACAACTCGATTCAATTTCCTAAATATGTTTTAAAGATTTCCACGTTCACAAAATAAAATAGAGTAGTGATTCAGCCCATACGTTGTAGAGGCTACTGGCCTCCCTAACAGAATGGTAGGCCCATATATGTTTTTACCTCAATTAAACTCCCTGTAACAACTATTGCTTTAATTTCTACTGAAGCTCTTACATGTTATTCAAATCGTTCTGCAGGGAAAAAAGTTGAAAGTGCAACTGTAATTTAGCAGAGGTTTTCTTTTTTTTGTGGGGTGTCTATTTTGGAAACAAAACAAAAACAACTTTTTATTGAATATGGGTATCATGTTTCACAATCAATCAATAATAATTAATTGTCGCATATCAATATATCATCATGAATACTTCGACGACCAAATGTATATTTTATGAGAACGTTACCGCATTTATTAAACAACATTCTTGAGGACTTAAATAAAGAAGTCAACAGGACAAAATAAAGTTCTTTTAATCTAATAGAATATATACATAGTTCATTTACAGTTGTGGGATCGCACAACGTTACACGATGTGTGGTGTGTGCATGATGTGTGAACGATGTGTGAACGATAAAAAAAAGTGGACGATCATTGCTTGCGCACATTTGTGCACACGATGGACGAACTTTGTGCGATAACAATCGTGGTTGGGTGTAAATAGAGGAATTGCTGAACAATATATACGGTTTTGTGTTTAAAAATATAAACCGGATTTTTAAGTATGTTTCTATATTCTAGCTACATCTATAAGCTTTTCTTTCTTTCTATACTTTCTTAAATTGATAAATTGTGTTTTTCGGTGGGTTTTTTAAACGACCTTAATCGACACATGTAAAATAACAACACAGTCCCGTATACAGGTAAACATAGCCACTTTTTACATATACTTGGACCGTAGTTCTCCCTCGCCCGAGGCACTTTCGTAACTCGTCGGGGTGTGAAAATCCACGAGAAAGGGAGCTATAAGTCAAACCAAATGCAAATAACAAATACTAAACGTCCAGTTGTGTTTTAATAACGGTCTTACGGTATCACATATCAGCTATTCCAGTCAGGCACGGGCCAGGTAAAACTCCGGGTACTCATCAAATTGTTATTTACCCGTTCTGTTGCCTTGGATTCAAACCCATTCTTGACAGTCTAACGGTCACTATAATACCGTGTAACACGCATTGTAAAATTGTACATAATCTAAATTATAATATAAACTTTATTTATTTTACAACAATTATGAAACAAGTTATTTCAACTTATATTGGTCACTCTTGTTGGCCCGGATGTTAGCGTGTTGGGGGAAACCGGAGTACCCGGAGAAAACCCACGTGGTCGGGCAGGTGACCCCAACCTTTTCACGTACGATCGGGGAATCGAACCCCGGCCGCCTTGGTGAAAGGCAAATGTGCTATCCACTGCACCACCCGACCAATCTAAATTATTGTGATGAGAAATTACAGTAATACATACAGTGTACATTATTGTACACAAGCTTTCCGTATATTTTTCATTCCGTAATATTGATCAACAAATTGTACCAAATCGTATAGTTGTGCGGAAAGAAGCGCACAACGGGGCGAACTATTGTTAAATCGCAAAGTTGTGCGCACCATGTGTGGACGATGTGCGGACGGTGTGTGAACGATGTATGCACTTTGTACGCACGCTATTTTTGGTGCGTTGTGCGGTCACACAACTGTATCTTATGTGTCCATTTATTAATTATAAATTTATTTTTATAATCAATTTTTTGTATTCATAAATTTCTTATTTCTTAGCAAATTGATTTGAAATATACTTAAATTGAAAAAAACACATCTTGGAAACCTCATAACGAAAAAAATGAAAGACAATCGTTTTTGTTACTTTAGAGAAATTAAATGGAAAGATGAACCTAGCAAAATTGAATATTTTACAAATCTGGTAAAATTAACACGATACCTTAAAGATACATTTTGTTTTGAATAATATGTATACAGCTGGAATGTATACTTCTTCATATTGTCTTGGCGTAGACAATGCTTGTAATTACGTAAAGCAAGTTTAAACACAATTATTTACTTAAAGATCCTGGTCCCACTGCTCTGTGGTTTTACCTATAAACAGTTACCTCCCCTTAACTTTCATTTGGATATATCTTTAGCACAGTTGGGATAGGACACTTCTATTGACCAGCTTACTCAATCAGTTAGAGAAATAGTAAAAACAATATCAAGTATAGGAAATTCAGGGTTCGGATCCTGGCCTAGTCCCACAATTGTTTTTCACATTCGGAGCAATCTTGTTTATTTTATTCGTAAATTTCATCTCATTTATTTTTCAAAAAGTCCCGCAATGTATGGGTTTCTTTAAAGAAATGATCGTTCATAAGTTATAAGTTATAGACATTCCAGAACACTTTTATATTTTTTTTTATATTTGCCTTATAGGTATCATCTTTTAATTAAAAGAATTATACAACTACACGTACACATATTTTTAGGTTTATTTTTTAGCAACTCAGTGAATCATAAATCCATTAAATATTGTAAACGTTGGTAAGATGTCTGACCCACCGCTATGATCCTGTGCCACCCGTACCCAGACCTGATCACCGGGAGACAGCATCGTGATAGCTGATGCTGCGCCCGTTGTCCAAAAGACGTCGTCTCCGCTCATGGCTGACCCAAACACCACACCGTTACGTACCAACTCTGTAGTTATCCATTGCTTATTATTAACCTTGACCATCCATGAAAACTGGTATACGCCGACCTCAACACAGGTAAAAACACCGCTGTTAGAGCTGTAATGGGCTCCGATATTGGTGATGATGTGGTCAAACGTAACGATATGTTCTCCAGCAGGATCACTTACAGTATGTGCGAGAATGGCATGGAATGCAATAATGCTGTCGTTTGTGGAATCTGTGAAATATAATATCCTTAAATAAAAGATGAAAAAAACCTATTCATGAATTACATGGGCACATATGATATAGCAGTAAAATGTCACATATCAAAAAATGACTACGCGCGACTTTGCTAAAGAGTATTGTGGTCAAAATGAGGTGAATAAAAGTAAATGGTATTTTGTTTTTGATGCAGTCGATAGAATAGCTTAATAATTAAAACTACGCGTCCATCTATTGAGTGAGAAACTAATAACAAATGAATATTTGTTTGAGAAAATGTTCTTTTGACATTCTTTTTCTTTTTTTTGGGGGGGGGGATATCATGATCGTTTCGAAACTACCTAGAAATAATAACCTAATCTCGTTTACAAATATAAGTTCATGGTATTGTTATCACTTCATAAAAACGGACACAAATAAATGCAGACAAGCATTGCTTACCAACACGAGGGTTTACTATCTTAACGGCTTCATCTGTAATCAGAAAAAGGTATCGATTTGTCAAGGAAGGGAATACAAGGAAAACACGTTCTAATAGTGTACGGACGTATAACACGTTGTTATCATAACATGAAACAATCTTTTATATCAACATCAAGAATGTGTGTAGGTCTTCATTTTCTCTTGTCTTCTGAAGAGCAAATAAGTACACATAAAAGAAAGGATTGGCTAGTATCACATTTCCTTTTTTAAGAAGCCCATGTTAAAAGTAAGCTCCATCTGAATTTTAAAACAGATCAGGTACACGTGTTGTACAGACAGTCTACATTGGTTTTCGCAACATAGCACTGTTGCCTGTTTATCAAGACCTATGAACTTGTTTTACCAATGCTAATTCATATCGGTATCCTCTCGTTTTAAAATGTGCCGTGCATTTACCGGTATCTTTATAGTTAAGGAAACAATGTAATTTCATACCAGAGTTTCTTTTTGTTGATTGGGACTTTCCGTCGGATATTGCCGAACCGTCTGGTATACCGAGTTTGTCTGGCCCTAGTTTGGTGTTTTTCACTCGGTCTGTTTTAGGCTTACGTTGTTCTTCAAATGTCGGTGTTTTATCTTCAAATGTCGGTGATTTATCTTCAGGTGAGGTGACTTTCTCTTCAAGTGTCATGATTTTCTTTTCAAGTGTCATGGTTTTCTCTTCAAGTCGTGCATTCTCCCTCTGTAGAGTTTCTGTGAAGGAAGATTGGAAAGTACTCGTGATTGCAATACTGATAATGGAAAGATCGGGTTTATCACTACTTGTAGACTTTTGACTCGGGATATTGAATATTACACTCATAGATACAACAATAAAATCAATTTGCTGTAAATTCAACATATCTTACAGGATTAAGCTTAATCCTACAGGATTTGTTTTACAATTATTTGATGACGATTTTTTGTCAATTTTGTTATCCTCATTTTGGAAAAATAAGTACGAAATTTTATATATGTTTTGCCGCAAGAATAGCACTACATTGCTAATGTTATTATGTTACATGTATACGCGACGTTAAATAAAGGTTCTTGACTCTTGACTATTGATGATACCCGCACTACATGTTTGACAGCAACAAGACATACACTTTAAGCAATAATATAAACATAAATGTTGAGCAGACAAACACGATACATACACTTGTATTACCTATTTGCGCTCCATACTTGTTTAAGAGAAGTCGAATTTCACGCATTTCTGTATCAGAAGTTTCATCACCAGTCACTGAGTGGCTGGATACCGGAAAGGACGCTTCCAATAGAAGGATGCATATGGCCAGAACTGACAGCAGCAATGCCATGTTTACAATCGTTTCAAAATCGAGGTCTGATCAAACGCGCAAACAATTTTATAGTGTGGCATGTATACATGTAGGTCAGATAAGACGTTAGTTCCACACGACCATGAACGAGATATAGGACGAAGTGTGTATACATTAAATATGTAGAAATGCTCGAAGCACACTTTCACATGAATACAAATATATACCCTCTTTCTGTACTGATAAATTCTGCAAACAGGAAGTAAAATGAACATTGGATTCATATAGAGGCACGTTAGTTAAGTGGTAGGAAGTCGGGCTCGTGACTGAAGGGTCGCGGGTTCGAATCACGACATGGCACTGTGTTGTATCCCTTAACAAGATCCTTTACTCCGTTTGTTCCAGCCTACTCAGCTGTAAATGAGTACGTGGTTGGGCAGGGCAGAAATATTGAATACTAGCCGTGAGCGTCTTAATGGCGAAAGATATTGGCTGGTTGGAAAGGCCCGATAACCACTGATAAGAATTTGTGAACCGCTTTGAGACGACCTAGGTTGTAATAAAGCGGTATATACGAACCTCAAATAATAATTATTATTAGCAATATGAATTTAAAATTTGATGTAAGGTAACATAAAAGTATCGAAGTTGTTTATCGTAGCATGATTACCTAAAACATCATACCATTACCTGTTTAGGTGAGCCGTCAATTCAGGCTTATTGTCTTTTGGCTAGGAGCACATATTAAAGACAGATATAGAAAAAAATAAGCTTTTTAATCTGTTTATTAAAACTGTAAAGCGGATAAGATCGTCTAGAATTCAAATAATTAGCCTACAAGTGTGAAATGCTTGTTTGTTTGTTTGTTTGTTCGGGGTTTAACGGCCTCACAAAAACCTACCAGTGTAAAACTTGCGTAAACAACAAAACAAATAAGAATCCATATTTTATCTATATCTTTCGCAGCGCCTTTCTAACACCACAATTGTTACAGTAAAAATTGATACCTTTTTCCTTACCTGAGATACATGTTTATCTATTGCGGCAAGGAAACAAATATGTTATTTTGTTGTTTAAGCTCAGTGAATCCGGAATCTGTTATACATCGCAGACATAGATTGGATGTCTGTCCCACTGCTATGGTCCTTTGCCATCCGTATTTACGTCTCATCATTGGGGGCCAAAACTCGTGGTAACTGAAACTGCGTCTGTTATCCAATAGTAATTTATCAATTCAGAGCTGCCCAAAACACCACATCTGTTACGAATCAAATATATAGTCATAAACAGGCTATCAAAAGGTACGCATGCGTTTACTGCATTAGAAGAGTAAATACACCAGTTGTTAATTAGGGTATATAAATTATGTCTAAAACGGATGATGTTGAGTGCGTACTCGGGTTGCCTAGGAACAGATACATTATTTCATTTATATTGAAGTAGTGAGAGCAAGATTTGGTGCTGCAGCTTGATTTGCAAAAAAGTTTTATGACGTTTTCGCCAAAAATCAGCTCAAGATATTCCGATTCCTTGTCATCGAGTAATCTACCCTGGAATGTGATGGCCGTGGATTGGCTAAATTCTCTTTGGTATAAGATTGAACAACCAGGTTCGATGTTTTCGTTTACATTTTCTTCATCAACAGTTGGCATTTTCTTGAGGAAAACACTGCTCTATTGACTGAAGTAAAAACAAACTCTAAGAAAATGTGAACATCAAAATATATATAAGCTACCAATATTTGGTCACAGTACTCGTTTGATAAGTCCCGTAGGAGTCATTCCCTGCCACGTGACCAGCTTCTACCAGCTTCTACCGTATCACATGTAAATGTATTGGTAAAGTTTTCGAAAGATTAGTCGCTAAATATTTACATAACTACCTTTTAGATAATTTTCATATCAGGTCATTCTACTGTACACCAGCTTATAGAAATATAGCATACTATGTGCGACAATCTTGAAAAAAAACAGCCAACTTGTCTAAGGCGTTTGATCGAGTGTGGCATAGGGGACTTGAAGTGAAACTAGCTAGCTATGGAATATCCGGAAAGTTATTGGACTGGTTAATTGATTATGTTACTAATAGATCTCAACAAGTTTTTATTGGAAATAGTAGATCTTCTGCTAAGAGAACAAATGCAGGAGTACCTCAGGGTTCGGTTCTTGGCCCATTGCTGTTTATACTTTATATTAATGACATAACAGATAATATAGAAAGTCTATCAAAACCATTTGCTGATGACACCTCTCTTTTGTATTCGGATAAATCACCACAAGTAACAAAAAATTAATAATGATCTAGTAAATATACAATTGTGGGCAGATAAGTGGCTTGCCAAATTCAATCCTGCAAAAAAAGATGCTTTACTTATTTCTAATATTGATCTTGATCACCTCATTGAAATTAACTTTAATAATGTAAGTATTGATTTTGTTGAAAACCATAAGCATATGGGAGTTATCATCAATGCTAACTGTAAATGGACCTATACATTGATAATATATGTAAAAAGGTAGTTAAACAATTAAGTGTCCTCTGTAAATTGAAATATACCCTGAACCGACGTACACTGAATAAAATATATAAAACATTTATAATTTCTATTCAAAAATATTGATGTGAGCTTTGGGATGGTTGTTCTATTACTGATTCAGACAAATTAGAAAAAATACAACTTGAAGCTGGACGCATTGTCACTGGTTTACTAGTAGACAATTTATATACAATGAAACTGGATGGGATTCTCTAGCCCATCGGAGATCCCGTCGAATTTTTTTATTTTTTTTATAATCCACAATAATATAGCTCCTTACTATCTCAACACTCTACTCCCTTCCCTTGTCGCACTCTCACTATAATCATCGAAACGTTGATAACTACATCCTACCTAACAACAGACTTAAATTATCCAACGTATCCTTTTTTCCTTCTACTGTTAGACTGTGGAACCAGTTACCTACTAGTATACGACGTAGTGCCACGTTCTCATCATTAAGAAACGCCATTCAAGACGTTTACTTGCCGCTTGTACCAAACCCCTTTTTCTATGGTGATAGGGAAAATATTATTTTGCATACAAAATTAAGAAACCGTTCTAGTACTTTGAAAAGTGACCTGTTTCGTGTTAACCTCATTGATTACCAACGTTGTATATATTGCTTCCCTATTGAAGACACACACCATTTCTTTTTTACCTGTGATATATATAACGAACAAAGAATTAAGCTTTATCTTGAACTGAATGAAAACATGCCTCTTAATTTAAATCTACTTTTATTTGGAGCTACATCTCTTTCGGACCAGGAAAACATAACAATGTTCATGCATACTCAGCAATACATTCGTGACTCTTACAGATTCTAGTACACCCTCTGTCTCTCTCTTATAATTTCAATTTATAAATTAAAGCATTTAAAAATGAAATAGTGCATATATGTATATTAATTCTGCCATCTTGTTGTACTTTTGTAAATATATGCTTGTAATTTGCTAGGAAAGGGCTTAATATAAGTTTGATAACTTGTGTCCAATCCATTTGCTTGGCAATAAGATATGTTTAAACTAAATATGTAAATGTGTTTTTTTCTGTAGTCAAATTTTCTTCTGTACGTTTGATATATTTTATCATTATCAACAGCCGACCGCAGCCTTATTGCATTTTATGCCATTCTCATACATACAAGCATCGGAGCATATCGTTCCGTCCTATTTCAGTTAAAAGTTCGACATATTTATCTGTGTTAAAGCTGTTGGCCACTTAATGAGAACAGAGTTAGTTCGTAACGATGTCTTGCTTGGTTCAGTTCTGAGTGGAGACGATACAAATTGGATAATGGGCACAGCATCAGTTGTCACGATGTTGACCCCAGACAATGAGTTATCGGTACGTGTACGAGTGGCGACGAGACATTTCAGCGGGGCAGACATACATCCTACGTTCAAAAGGTTTAACGGATTTCTAATTCAGTGAGTTAATCCATATCCATATAATATTCGTTTACGTTAAAGTACTTATCGTTTTAAACTTAGGTAAATACATGTCGTGAATCACGGTTCCTGGCACTCCCAAATGAAAATGCTAGGATTTTAGCCGCTGCAGGTTGTATGTTATTTAAGCAAAATATCAACAACTTTTATGCTTCTGTTTTCATTTCATCTTCATTTTAATTTAAATGTTTATTTAATAAAATGGATTTATTTGATTATTGAATCAAGTATAACGTATGTGAACATTTAAGATAAATTATGTAAATACATTTTATGAATAAATTTGATGAATAAGAAAATATACATATAATAATTAATGAATTCATAAATTCATAACATACAAATAAACATATTTAGATAGACTTATAGTGTATATAATTCATAAGAATGTGTTTTTACATACCCATAATGAATATATAATAAATATAAAGAAATTATTCGATATGTGAATCGATTATATAAACAAACTTATAAGGTAAATGTAATTACTTAATAAAAAAAAAACTTAATAAATAAGTAGACATACTTATAAACTGATAGCGTATTTAATTCATGAGTATGTGTTTTAAGTATACATAACACAATAGCGGTAAATAGAGTGTGTTTATTTGTGTTGCCGTTCATATATAGCCTAAACTGCGACCGTGTGTATATTTGTCTTTCTGCCGTGTATTTAATAAACATTACATGTATATCATATATAGCAACATGTCACGGCAAGTGCGTTCAATAATGGTCGAGTTACTCCCCCTTATATATGTATTCAAATCGAAAGAAGGAAGTAAACAGGTCATGCTGTCGTGTTTGAGGAGATCATACTTTCGAATTCCTGTACTATAGTAATTACCACGTGACACCGTTAATCAATCAGACCTTACTCGAACGAGGCGCTTCTTGCTGAAGATGGCAGGGTCCAGTGGTATTGTACTTTTTTGTTTAGCTGTGTTGTATTGCTTGAACATTGCTGTATCCGAGAATCCGGGATTTCAGACCAGAATCACAGCGGCAGGACTCAATTACGGTAAAGATACATAGTTTTAGCAGGTCTGTAAACTCACTTTACAAAATTCTGGTAAGCGTTATATATATATCATGCTGTTTAATCTATAAAGGTTTTAATCTGCGTAGATGTGTTTCGGAAACAATCAACGTAATATAAATAACATCTGACTAGTATATTTAATCAATGTGTAGAAATTACTGTGTTATTATGTAAATAAAGCCGTAAATAATATTAATGAATATTTAACTTTGGTAACTTTCTCGAACGTATTATATACTTACGTTAAACACTTATTCCAGAGAGCTGATAGCGTATAGTGGTTAATAGTTGATATTCTCTAACTCATAAAAACAACATACCAGCATTTAAGCAACCTTTTTTCTACACAAGTTCAGACCTGGTTATATTTCATCACAAAAGGACAAAATGTCTACAATAGTATTTTGATTGTGAGCTTTATATTCTTGTATTCAATTTATTTATTTACTTCCTGTACTTGTTGTTATCTACGATTTCCTTCCTTAACCGTTGGTACGTAGATAACATATTTGCCCAGTGACTCATTTGTATTTGAGTAAATGTGTCCCTCTCCACAGATAAAAAAGCAATATGAACCGTTCCTATGGTCAGTGTGAAAATGTTAATATATCATTATTGAAAGCTGTCTTATGGCAATAATCTATAAAAGTTACATGATTTAAGGGAAATAAAAACGTAGTATAAGATTCTATAATGTGAAATCAGAAACTTTCGTGGGGCCTAAATTTCGTGGTTTCAAGGCAAAACGTTATTTCGTGGGTACATGCATTCGTTAGTTACTAGTACCCCCTCAAACGGAGAATCATATTTTATAAAACTTGTAATCACTTTGTGGACTTTTAGAATTAGTGGATGGATATTACCATTGAAAAAAAAAAGAAATTGAAAGCCCCTCTAAAATTAGTGATTTCACAGTATATCACTTTGTTTTATCAGGTCACGTCCTATGCAAGTAACATGATAATAAGTAGTATCATTGTGTGTAGAAGCACTACAAAGGATATGAGTGTTATTACCCCACTAACATATGTTGCGCATAGAATATAATAAAAGGAAATAAACTGGTATGTACTCATGTTACGTTTGTTTTCGTTTGTCTGATTAACCATTTTTAAATTCAGTATAATCGTTAAAAATAGCACATATAAAGTGATATTTCCTTATCAATATTGATATCCTAGTTTCGTTTTGTTGTTTGACTTGCATCAAGTATTTGACTTAATTAATATTTATGGTTGAATTTGAATGTAAAATCATAATCTTCTTCCGCATTTTTAACCAACGTAAGGAATACATTTCACTTTAGGTTGCTTAATACAAAGGAGGAAATAAATTGTACTATTGGTTCGAGTCCTACTTTCATTTTCTTATATCACAACAAATAACGTAGATTCCGTATACATTTCAGCAAACCAAGAAGCCATTGTCCAGCTGTCGAAGAGTGTGAGGGGTCAGAAAATCAATATCCCGCCTGGAAAGTCTGGCTCTGTATCCTACTCCATCACTGAGTATGTGACACAGTTACTCGACTAATTTGATATTGAAGTAAAAGACACCCGAATTCTTATGATTTATTCTATTCCATTATTACGATTAAAAGTCACTTACAACAAGCTCACAAAAATTATAATTAAAGTAATATCATTTAGACAATTAACACTTGTATGACGCGGTTGAAACAAACCATCATATTTAATTGTTCAATTGACGATACAGGCATTGCAGATGCGAATAAATTATAGCATGCTCTCTTGATTTAAATACGTTGATTTGTGTCTCATCTTCTTTCAGTGCCGAAATAACCAAATTTGTACCACCATCCTCGAGCTCGCTGAAACCGATAGCAGGTAGTGGGCTGAAATGGTCTGCTTCAAACATAGATCTCGCCATGAGCGGTCACTTCAAATACACATTTAAGAAGGTGTAAGTTATACTTTAGTATGCAGAAAATGCCTTCTGCAATATTCCCAATCGGTTGTTTTGGGTGATTTATTGTATTTACATTTTGTCATTACACTTCAACGCTACTGACATCCTATTTTAAACATATCACTATGACAGCATTGATGTTTTCCTGCGGTGATTTGTACTTCATATCCATTACCTCATATATACAGTATATATAGTCTATGGTGTCGTGTCGACACGCTCATAGAATAATTCCTGAGGTTATAGAGCAGAAAATAACATAGTTACGGCAAATACTGTAAGCGTAATTATTCAAAATGTAGTCTTATATTAGCGCTTTTTGCGTTTGAAATAATGAACAAAATTATGAATGGTTTAAATGTAATTTATAGAGTTTTCTATGGAATATATGTTGGGTATGTTACAATATAAAGTTTAATAAATATGTGTTTTCACAGTATCAAGATTTCGGATCATGGCAGCTTTGATATATCCGTATCTGGAGTTTCCTTCAGTGTACAAGCCGATTTTGGTTAGTTCTCTTTCATATTTGTCATTCAAAAATACTCTGACTTAAATGCTAATTTGGATGTCTACCTGCATGACAGTCATCTTTAAGGGCAGGTTCAACATTTAACAGTCACTCATGTAGTGACCATATCATATTTGGACTTTTTATATGACTTCCAAGTACTAGTGCGAACACCCCAAACTTTAAATATATAAATTAGTCTTGCCAATTCAAAAATATTTACTTTCACTGTGATGTCTACCTACTGTAACTTTTCGGAATGTCAGAAATTAATCTTTTTTCTTCTTCTATAAATTATCATTTTTATGTAGCACAGCTGAATAAGAGAGTACATAACGTATGAGACCCGGGCCTTTACCTCTTCCTGAGCATTTTATTTATATCCTCAATGACCTATCAACGCTTTTGGTCAAGCCTCCGTCTTAAGGTTGATATATATTCACAGAATCAATACTATAATACATGTGATGAGAAGAAGTATTTATTCTAAAATATTTTAATATTATAAGTTTCAGTGTTCATCCATTTAACTAGACCACCTTTTAAGTATAAGTAATAGTTATTTCAGCGCCACAAGAAGTTAGATAGTCGTATGTAGGCATGAACGACATTAAAAACTTTCGGCTGCCTCGAAAGCATCAAATACTCCACAATGTTTTGAAATCGTTATACCAGGAAAGCCACGACCAGAATAGAAATGAAGATACGGCATTAGTGACAACCTAAATTGTTCTTATACAGCAAACCAATATTTAGGAAAAACCCAATGGAAGTTCAAAAGTAACCTGTCAGTAGAGATTGACTCTTTATAGAGCTGATTTCCTAAACAAAGATTATTGTTAAATTCGAGTGGTTTCTCTACCACTGTATTTAATAATTCTGTAGATGGGTAAATATGTGAATTTCACACCGGAACAAACATGATTTAAAGTATTGTATACAGATGCTTGTATATTAATATATCGTTTTAGTGATAATATGTATTACAATGTAGTATAAATGTGTATGTGCATATATCTTCTTGAATAAAAAAGGTTCTTTCTACATTGCCTTTCTCGATAATTAAAACAGAATCAGTATGACTAGCACATCCTCCTGACACTAGTACTTATAGTGACATTCTTATAAAGATAATGTATGTAATGTGTTTCCGGAAGGAATGGACACGACTGGACGCCCCAGCATCAGAGCAGGTCCATGCACAAGTGATATAGGAGGTGTGTCCATCAAGTTCCACGGCAGATGGGCATGGGCATACAATGCATTCAGAGGGCAATTAGCGAAAAAGATTAAAAGCCTACTCAAGGATAAGGTAAGGTTGCGCTTAATTTAGTCTTGGTTTTTTTTAAATTAAATGAACGTTGATAATACTTATAATTAATAGTTCACTTAAACACATGTGAGAGTTAACTCATTTTTCTTGTTTTTTTCTCCATATTACTCTGGTTCGAGAAAAAGTTACATTTGTATGTTGAAACGAATAGTGCATGGCATACACTACAACAGAGTAACTCTTATCTCAAAAGATGTCATCTATTTGTAAAGGGTAGCGGCAGTAACGTGTTTTTAATATCAGAGGTAAGGACTACGACAAAATAACTCCAATTTAAAACATGTCATTTAATTAATAAGGGTAACGGGAGTAACATTATCTTGTATAATAAGTAAGGCGTTGTCCTATTGTTCTGATTGTAAAATGTATATACTTGGTATACTTCTTCACTGGAATAATATTGACCAGTTATTTGTGTTTAGGGCAGCTGGCTTGTTCCACATGTTAAAAGTATAAGGCAATGTCTCACGCTGCGTGTACAGTATATCAGTAGACACTTGCTCTACATTCTGTCGTTGACTAAGAGCATAATATTGGTTATTTATTCAGACCCATAAAAGGGATATTTCTTTTCCCCTGGTGAGGAGATTATCATATCTAGCGATTTTTGTTTACCAGAATCAGCACAATGGATTTCTTTTTATATCGAACAATATTCATAAATTAATATCTGTTAATCTAATTATTGATCCAATCTTTTGATAAAGAAATGCATTTGCATTTTGGCTTTTATAAACAGATTTTATACACTGCCTAAAATCATATATGACTTCGATTCTTTGAGTATGCTTTATATATATTTTAATGTTGGTTAATCTTGATAATTACAGAGATGGATACCTGTTTTGAGTAGTAAGCTCATTCTACGTATTTAGAATACACTTTCAGATCTATCTTAATTCTTAAGAGTACAAATATGAACTTGTATTACCTTATCGTTTCAAGAAACTTCAGAACATATTTGGCCTTCATGGAGGAAAAGTAAGTGCGTCTCCAACGTGGCCATAGGTAACGGTTGGATGCCAGGTAAAGATTGACAAAACTTACATGATTACCAATCATTTACATGAGGTCAATATTTGATTTGTTACTTTTGGCATTTTCAGATGTGCGACCTGATCAGTCGCTCTCTCAACACAGATGCTGAAAAGTCTCTGTCATCGTTGAAAAGTAAGTTTTCGTTGAAGTTCTGAGATAAATGGTTTATAGTGGTTGCAATGCGTTGACTTGCCATACATTTATTAGTCTCTGGGTACACACTGTTTTTGTTTTTGAATTTTTTAGTTACTATGGGTATCGGAAAAATGTTGGAGCTGAGCTACAAACTCACTGGCCCACCAAAGTTTACCTCTGACTATATGGAGACCTACCACAAGGTGAAGACTTCCAATATATCATACAGATTAGGCAGTGCTGAAGGTTTTAGCATTTGCATAATTAAGCGTTCTTTTACCCGATATTCTTGCATTTTTTACATTCAGCAACAGTATCGCTTTAACGTACTTATACTAACATGTCAGTTTACATATATGTGTTAGGACTAAAACGTGTTGTAGTCTTAAACTAAATCGGTTCTAAATCATCAACTAATAACCTTTTTAATGACTTGATTATTCAATTTCAATTTATTTTATGAATATGAGTTTTTAAAGTTATTCTTCTCGATTTCAATAACATTTGTTTGATGGTATCTTTTATTTTAATATCGAGTAAACCGATTACTAGATGAACAATTTCTTTGTGCTCAACTAGAATGGAATGTAACGTTTTTATAACATAACTGATCTATTTTAGTATGTCAAACGGTCATGTCATAAATATGGTAATACACCGTGTGTAATAAAACCTGCTGCGATTGGTCGAAACTGTGAGAAAATATTCTTACGTCACTAAAGACAGTACTTTAGTTAACTATACCACATGATAATCTACTGTTATTCTAAAATACTTTTTAATGTTTATTCTGTTATTATTATTATTTGCATAGCATTTAAAAATCTCGAACTACTTTTCACTGAGTCGAACGACTATAATATGATCGGAGTACTCCACTTTGGTTTTTACCTATATATAGTCAGCTGTAACACAAAACTGTGTTAAAAGTGGATTTTTTTTTCAAATTACATTGTATGAATGTTATGTGATAAATAAATCTCACATTTTTGTTAATGTCATATAATGTTGATTTAACTCGTTAAATAATTTCAATATGGACACTCATGTAAGAGCCTCTATGTTATATACTATTGTTGAAGTACTCTTACACAAATATTAACGCCAAACCATATGCAATATACCTACTTCATACCAACCTCTTGGATTGTTTATTAAATATATTTCCAACCTTTCAGGGTGAAATTGACTGGAAATCTGCGCCTTCTCCGCCCCCTTTCCAGGCCCCAACCCTCCCCCAATGGAACGACACAAGTCGTATGATGTATTTGTGGGTGTCAGATTTTATGATTAACAGTTTGTTTTACCAGGCTCAGCAACATAACCTCCTCTCCTACAACCTCACTGCTCAGGACGTACGTTTTACAACATTTCTTATCCAAGAGTATTATATATGATTTGAACAACTAGATGTAACGTTAACCGTTCTACAATCAAAATATAGTCTAAAACCACAATTTATAATTACAAATGATATATATGTGTATATTTAGGTAGTAAAACCAGTAGTTATGATAAACTTTTTAACACATTTTTTTCTAGTGGATATTTACTACATTTATATCGGATATGCTAATATATGATATTTGTAAACCGTCGCATAAAAAACATTCTGCTACATCGATCTGATTTTGTAAAATAGTAAACTTCTGGTAACAAAACATGCCTCCGAATGGAAAATATTTGTAAAAAATTACCGTTATCCGTAACAGACTATTCCAATCGAGGTTTGGTTTGGTTTGGTTTGTTTGTGTTTTACGTCCTATTAACAACTATGGTAATTTAAGGACGTGCCAGGTTTTGGTGGTGGAGGAAATCTGGATCTCCAGGAGAAAAACCACCGGCGTACGGTCAGTACCTGGCGACTGCCCCATGTAGGTCTCGAACCCAGGACACAGTAGTGGAGGGCTAGTGGTAGCAGATTGTCAGAGGCCTTAACCACTTGGCCACCGCTATAGCCAATCAAGGCTATAAGTAGAATAGTGCTATGTTTGAATATATATATATACATATATATATGTATGTGCTTTTACACTTCATAAATGTGGAGCTAATACGAAGTTATTATGTTGTCATTTCAGCTACCGAAAAGCACACGTGGAGTTTTGAATACGACGTGTACCAGTTCACTGTGTATCGGCAACTTTATTCCACCGGTTTGTAGCTAATACTGGAAGATACAAAATACATTTCCATTAAAAATATCATTTCACTTTTCAACGGAAAATTTCATAATTCCATATTTTCACCGACTTAAACATGAAGAAATGCAAAAATATATCTTAACGAACTTTTCTCTAAGAGATCATTTCACATTTCACTGTAACCGTCGAAGACATGTTGAAGACAAATAGTTTCCTAATTTTCCTGTCTTTATCAAGAACCAAATGCGGCATCAAGATATACATAAATTAATAAAGAACATTCACGACAGCCAGTAGATACAGCATTTGTGTTTCTTATTGAATAGTTCGCTAGTAAAATTATATGGATGGTAGTACTTTTTTATTGAGGACCCGCAGAATCTTAAATTATTAATTATGATATTCGTTTCGACTGTTTACCCTTTCTTGTATTTGTAGCTTCAGCAGAAGTATCCAAATTGCCAGATAGAACTACGAATGAAAAGTACAAAGATGCCGCTGATTTCAGTTGTCAATGGTTCCATAGAAACCAAGATGGCCGGCTTAATAGCCTTGTATGTCCGACCTGTGAAAACTTCGTCAACTCTCTATTTCAAGCCGAGAAGAACAGAGAACGAGCTTGGAAGCAGACTAGAGAGTAACACCAGGACATCTGCCGACTACGTACTTACAATGGATGCGGTAAGTACATTTACTCAGCTATTTACAATACATGTACATCTCCAGCACACACACAGGCATACACACATGGGGAGATATTAGCCAGGTGGCATAGGACTAGTAGTCAGCGCCTGATAAGGCAGCTCCTGCGAATTCCTCAATATTGTATTGATTAATATATATATGTTTATGGTTTTGACTGTATACAATTGTATATCTATGTACTGTAAAGCGCTTTAGAGTAGCTTATGTTAGCTAGATAGGACGCTATATCAAATGTTGTATATTTGTTTTATTTATTTATTTACAAGTTTCCACTGACGTCATTCTCTTATTTGCTTAAGATTAAGAGCTTTGAACTTTCAACTGTATTTTTGTTTTTAATTTTTTAATTTATAACATGATTACCTTTTATGTACATTTTCTAACGTAGATCAGGGTGAATCCTAGAATAAGCATATTCTGTTTTAAGGTTTAAGATTTTTTAATTTTTTTTTACTGATTCTCAATATGTCTTAATTTACCATTATACACGCGGTGTGTATCGACGGATTAGTGTCCATTAGCAAATTAGTTTGCATTTGTGGATTCGTTTGACACACTGGAAGAGCGTATATTTTTTGATGATCATGATAATTGCCTTAAAATGGCTGTAGATATTGATGTACAAGTATATGAACTCACAAAATACTTGTATGTCCTTCGTTTAAGATCGCCGTAGCTGTACTAATAAATAAACATCAAAATATAGTGAAAGGTATGAAATACTCTTAATTGAAGTTAAAGGCATTGCTTTTTTCACAATTGCTTCATCGCCCCCGGCCTGAGGTCCAGGCCCATATTTATGAACCGGTTGTCTGTTTCGGCATAGCTTCTCTGCTCAGACGAAAGTCCCAATAACTCGCTCAAATCATGTGAAAAAAATGTCAAGTGTAAGCATTACAAACAGTTTTCTGCTTAAGTTTGTGCTTAATTCTACCAAATCATGAACAAATTTAAAATTATACTCGATTTATCACCGAAACAAGAAATGTTCCTTGAGCACGAAAGCTGTGTTGGAGCATGAATAAACACGGTTTCATGAATACGGGTGGGCCCTGGACGTCAAGTAATTATGCTTTACTAATAAACAGCGAGGAGGTTGAAGTTATCTTTCTGAAAATAAATATTAATGAATATGATTTATCATCATTTATAGAGTATATGTACAATAACTTTACATGTATAAACTCACAATAGGTGTGATAGGTATTACACTTGTTTACCATGTGGTAAACACAGATAAACCTGAATACAATTTCATAGCACAGCCATATGAGTATTGTTTAATACAAGATACACAATAAACTTTCCATATGGTTGGTTATGGTATCGTTCATATACAAGGAGTGCAATATATATTGTTTGCATAAATGATCTCGACGAGGAAGTCATTCGATGACATACTTCTTTTAGCGATAGAATAGCACGTGATTTATACAAATAGTATGAGTCTTTAAGTATATGTAACAAGAAGAAATGCATGTCCCAGATAGATACCATTTTGCCTATAATAAGGAAATTCAGTTTTCAATAAGGAAATCACGTGTTTTGTACATAAACAGCATTCCACACTTGAACTATAACATATAATGTTATAACGCGTCTTTACACCGATTGTCTCTATTTTGAAATATGTGCACCACAGTGATTCGGAAACATCATCCTGTCACACCCATCTACGTCAACCACTAATATTGTGATATTTCTATGACATTGTTATTGTGTTGTTTCAGAACATGACATTGACCGGCCAGATCAGTGTTGTGGAGCAGGTGATGCACTATAAGGTCACTAACATGACGTGAGTGTCCATGGCAAAAAAATCATGTTTTGTTATCAAGTTATATTTATAAATATACATATATTTGCTAACCTTCTTTTGCGAAAAAATATCTATTAAGTTAAATAGCTCTTGTGTTTCGTTATAGCACGGGTAAGTAGAAGACACCGGTGTAGCTGACTAAATTACCTTATTTTCGAAATAAATATAATTCATTCATTAAAAGTTGTTCTTTTTAATTGGCAGTGTTGACTGTACTAGATTAAACATACGACTGATATCTGTTTCAGTATCACTGTTTCCCTACGAAACTCGACAATCCCGAATATCACTGTAAGTACACTAAGCAATGCAGTGATCTTAGTTAAAATATTTAAATAAGTACACCTTATATCAACCTTGGTGTATGTCCACAATTTTAAAAGACTTTGTTCTTGCGCAATGCCATTTGCATAATTTCTGTCGCGGTTATACCGGTATCATGGCATGTTATGTTTAATTAAAAAGTTTGTTTTACTTCTGAACAGGAAAAGGCACTGAACTTCCTTATCAAGTATGCAGTGGAAAAGTTTATCCAGCCGAGTATTGATGGTATTTTGACTTAATAAACACATTTCTATAGTATAGCCATACAATGACATGTTTAGCATATTTATCTATTTCTATACCGTTACTCTATATAATACCAAAAAATATGTCAAATTTACCTAGTTCTATACCATTACTCTATACAATCAAAAGAATATGTCATATAATCCCAAAACTATTTCATTTTTATCTATTTCTCTACCGTTACTCTATAAAATCCCAAATGTATTTCATTTTACATATTTCTATAGCGTTACTCCATGTAATCCTCAAAATATGTACCCACTACTTTAAATTTACATTTGAATAATATATGCTGACAGTATGCTTATGGTTAACTTCGATTAGCATTGATTAGGATCAAATTTTAAGTGGTTGCACGCTAATAACAAAATTTCAATGTCCGATTTTTGAATTCTTTTTAATCAGATCTTGGAAAGAAGGGAATACTGCTACCACTCGGAAAGGTGTCATTGAAAAATGCCAAGTTAGTGCTACTGAAAGTAAGTGATGGCTAATACAGTGTATAACATCTTATCTAACCTATTTTGAATACATAGAAAAAAGTGATAGTTCGCTCATAACTAAACGTTCACAAAATCAGAAACAGAGTCATTATGCACGAAAAAATGTGTGTTTTCTCAGACAGTTAATATTTGAAAAGTTATAATCATGAATATACCTTTTGACAAACGTAATGTTTTTTATGTAAATCACATTTTAACAAGAAAATAATTATACAGGTTGGTTTGCTTTTATTTTGTTTAAGACCTATCAACGACTAATGTCCTTTTTATGACGTTTTTCCATGTGTGCTGTGTGTACGTGAATGCGTGTGTGTGCGCGCAGGAAGCAGGGCATGTTTGTGTATTTGCCTCCTTGTGATAGCGCCGATATGATGCCAACTTTATTGTGCTTTCTCACTGAAATAATATGCCGAAGGTACCCAGCCAAGCATTCCGCCCGGTCACATTATATTGACAACGCGTGAACTAGTAGTTGCCAATCCCCTTAATGCTGAACGTTTAAGGAGTTTGGTATGCCCCGGCCTAGGTACAGAACTCATTGCCTGTCACACCTGGGCGAACGGTCAACGTGATAGCCAAACGTGAGGTGTTGCCAAGCAAGGCGCTAGGAAATAAAAGATAGATATAATTAGAAAGACATATAAAGATACCAAATATTGAAATTGGGACAGCAGATTTATTTTGGTCGCTTTAGTGTCACTAATTATGAATATACATCTGTATGTAGCTGCATTATAAAAGTGGTATTAACTAAAGGAGTTAGGATATTTGACCGATCACTTTCAGACGTATTGATGATGATGATGATGATGATGATGATGATGATGATGATGATGATGATGATGATATGATGATATGATGATGATGATGATATGATGATCATGATGATGATGATGAAAATGTTTTTTTTGGAATATCAAGAATTTATGAACTTGGATTTCTTCGTTGATACCCATGTGGGTTTAGTCTACCCACACTTCATAAAGCATACCTTTACTGACACGGCTTATTTCGAATTGCCTATCAGGTTATTGTGACAAAAGTTTCTGAATAATAACCTGTGTTTCTTTGGACAAAATAAACTCAAACTCAATGCACCGTTTTTGTCACCAAAATATTTTTCTTAGTAATGTGTTAAAAGTCGAAAGGTAAGAGGTCAAGGGAAAATGGATTTAAAACACACGCCATGCACTGCTACCATACGTAAAGTGCATACTTTAGCATTACATTCGACACCACACAGAACGTCCCGGTATCAAAATTCAAACCAGGTCAACTTCAACACTTGTCGGGTGGAGTAGGTTACGCTAGTGTGTTTTTTTTGCCCTGCGAAATCTAAGATTTTTACCTGGGGTCTTAAACACGTATGTCAGTGTTTAGATCGTGTGTACCCTACATTGCTGCGATTTTAGATATTTTCTTTGTGTTTCAGGATGCATTCATCATCGCAACTGACCTGGTGTACCATCCCGACAATGAATACTGAATATGTGATATAATGATGTTAAGTCACGTGGGACACAAGGGCCGATGAATATTGGTCACAGAAAACAAACATTTGTATGTGTCGGGGATCAAGATCGTGACATGCAAGAGAAAAAGATGGAGTAGAGCGTCTAAAACAACCATTCAATTTTCACAAATTTCACATTTTTCCATTCAAGCTAGTCGACCTTTTAAATTGTTTTTGTATATGATTATCTTTTATATATTTTACATATAAAAATTTGATACATTATATAATTTTGTAATTGCGGTTAAAACTTTTTTTGGTATTGCTCTATTTTTTTCTGCTTCACCGTATACTCTCGCGTTTTCCTGTCTCAGCATTTACTTTGTGCTTCAAAAAATCTGATGGTAAAATTATATTGATCTTGTTTTGTCACTATTTCGAGACTTTGGGTTCTTTAAATATTAGTTCCTTTTTATGTTTCGTAGGATCTGTTTCAAATATTGAATTGTAGTTTGATAAAGCTTTTATGAATGTTTTTTGTATCATTATGAACTTACATCATAATAAAGGAAATCTTTGTTTGAATTTGGCGTCTGGTTTTATGAAGACTATAAATCATTTGTGCATGTTAATATACCAATTAAATGATATCAGATAAACGACTCACCACTTATGCTTCACAAATATGCCATGAGAGTACTTGAATATCAGCTGTACTAGCCCATAAAAGCAGATGAAGGCATTTATACGTCAATGGCATCTACGGCAACTAACCCGAATTTGCAAGTTCTTCCAAAAGGTAGCTACCGCAAAAGTGGATTTTTACAATGTAGAGTTGCAATGTTTGCGCTTTGTCGCTTTGAGTATAGTATGACTAAAATTTCAACCAGCGAATATCTATTTACAGATTATATAAATAAACATAATAGAATAAATTGATTTCGGAACCAATTGCAAATGCTCACCCAAAAACAATTCACAGCACTCATTTAAAAGAATCCCAACGTGAACTAACTATTTATTAAAAATAAATATCTGCTCTTCTGTAGCTGTTAAAAACAAAACCTTATATTGCAATGCACTAGATACAGGTCATGGCAACGTTCTCAAAGGATTTCTGAACAATTTATTTTTGTGTCGTTGTGGTTGCGAAGTGGGGTTTATTTGACAGTCATTTGCAGATTTTGCTACTTAGTTTCATCTTTTGTTCTTTGAATTAAAAACAATGTACTGTAGATGGCCAAGCCTGATTGCTCTACTTGTGGAATTCCAGTTGTCGTTATTGTAACTTGATAACGTTAACATTTCATTAATGCACTTTCAAACTTATCACTAGAGACGCTTCGTTTGAGTGTTTTTTTCTAATGGAGAATGAATTGAAAGGGAAGTATTTGTTGAATTATTTTGTATGGCACACATGAGCATGTATCGTTCTGATAATGTACAGCCTCTGACATTCGAAAACGAGTTTAATTGAATGACACGGGAAATTGAGTAGTTATACAAAATAAACTAGGATCACACATGAGAGTGTTACGTTGTACTTGTCAGTTGGAGTATCTAGGTGTCAGGGTAACAGAAACGATAAAATATATGCCCCTGTCTAACAGACAATATCTCTTTGAAGGCCAGTATGAGTTAGCCTAGCAACCACCTTTATGCTAAAATGCTATGGATCTATCACAACATACGTTGTTATCTGCATCTAATATTTGGTATCATTCAAAGGTCCTGGTGCTATTGTTTGACATACCTTGTTATATACTATTATCCTGATAAACCTCGTCATGGTGCGTGGTGTTGGTTTCACATTACATCCACCTAAGCTGTTAGCTGTTGAAAGTTGGTAGAATTGGAACGATATAATCATGTCCTTCCTCAACAAGCTTTCCGACAAAGAACGAAAGCTAAGAAACTTGACTTTCGTAGACTATTGATACCAAAATCAAAGCTGAGTTAAAGCAGTTTTGGTGACTCGCACTTTTGAAGTTTCACTGGAGACCAACGTCAACCTCTATAGGATCTTTGTAGCTCTGCAAGATGAAAAGCGACAGAGGGTTCCATACAATGCAGCTACAGAAGAGGAGGTGGTTGGTGTAATCGATCTTGCTTTCTGGGAAGCCAGAACATTTATATGAGCATCAGAGTCCTCTTTCAATACTGCTCCAGGTTGTCGAGCAAGAAAAATCATGTATTAATTGTCCCCTGACGACCTCTGCTTTCCTTTCGTTGATGATATTCGAAAAAGGACATTGTATTTATTGAAACGATTGTTCGTAGATTAGTGCTGAGGTGTATTACCATTACCGGCCGCAAAGGGTAACATACCAGGTAGGAATGTACGAATGACGTAACGAAATCATTGACGACTGTCGACCATCGGATAGTTAGGAAAATTCTGCCTTTAGGTTAAGGTTAGTTTGAATTGGTTTAGAGTCCAATTTACCGCCAGGGTAATTTGAATACGTCACCCAATGTGAATAATGTATGCGAGGATGTGTGTAATGTATGCTGAAGGCGGTATGTTGGTGTATCTGTCTACATTCGATAGCGCGGATCCGATGTCGACTTCATGGTAGAATTAAGACATAGAATAAAATAGTGTGTAATTGCCCCGGTTTATTAATTAAACACAACATTAACATTGATGCGATATTGTGAAGTTTGTCGTTTATGGTGAAAAAAGGTGTTATTTAAAATTGTCGATATGCAATCATTCAGTATACTTTGAAATTTGAAAAGTTGAGAAAAACATACATTAGTGCAAATGCAATGCATACTTGATGACCTTTCAACAGGTCGATTAAATCTCGTAACATGTCTAAAAGATTTCCAAGTTTTCTAAAACAATTGAGTGATTCAGCCTATACGTTGAAGAGGCTACTGACCTATAGGAATATTATTAATATAACGTTTTCTCAGTTACTAATCTGATAAACTGTTTCAAAAACAATAAAATTTGGTTTTTCAGTATAAGATGGCACTGCAAACTCTAACGAGACTGTGTTATGGTCAAACACGAAGAAAGCAGCGCCATGCGCTTCTGATTGGCCAAATTAAAGATATTGTGTGTACCTTGTAGGTGAATCATTGCATTACAAGCTCTATCTGATGCATAATTTACGACTATTGGGGTAGTTACGTAACCTCCCTTACAAATGAGACGTGTTATACAGCATTCTGTCCATTTTAACACACATGTGTTACATGTAGTTCCCATCGATGATTGTCTCTCGTAATCAATTAACTCTAAATATATCAAACTATGTCACTCAAGAAAAACACTGAACTTGTTTCCGTTGTTCCGTCTCCCCGTAGGCTATTCCTTGTTAAAAGGGGCTGTACATGGTTAATCACAATCATACGCTAGCTAAAACTTCGCCGATATTTCGTATCTATTAAGCTTTGTTCGTGGGCTATATTTTTTTTACTAGCAGGACTATTAAATGCATAGTTTGCTTTGAACACAAACAGTAATTGAAAACTTATTTTGCAAGTTTTCGAAAACGTCTGTTTCCTTTGTCAAGCAAAGCGTGTGGAACTATACCAGACGTAATATAATGTATATTATATTGCCCGTGAAGGTCAGGCGCCACTTCAAGCTTACTGTTGCGTGGTTAGGAGCAAGCACTAGGGCAACTGCTATATATATATGATATGGTATGATCGATAAAGAAAAGTAAGTAATTCAATTCGGTTATCAAAATGGGAATGCGTGTTACATTAAATGGAGTTCAAATATTGAACACACAAGAGTAAAACTTCCTTTCAGTACAAGAAAAAGATGTGTTAATATTTTTTTGTTTCCTTTGAGGAGCCCCTACATAAGAATGAAAGAGCTACAGTTCAACCTATATTCCTTATCTTAGATAAACCGACGTATTTGGCAACGGGCCTAGTACTTCAAGAAATAGCCATAGGATTGCCTTTATGGATTTCAAAATATTTAAATAAATAAACCGAATAGTAGTTTGTGCTCTATCCCTATACACATTCAAACGATACTAAAAACTTCAAATTTTTCAGCATATATTTATCAACTATAAATTCAGTTCAAGATGCTTTTTGAAGATAAAGAATAGCCATGTTATTGAAACAGTTTATTTTATTTACAAATAATTGTTGTGAGTACATGTATTATACATGTTTTTATATTGATGCACATAAATAAAACAGTTAAAACTTATTTTTGCAATATTTATACATCTCGGAAGATCCCGATTTTCATTAAAAATTATTTGAGTGAGTCAGCCTCGAAGTTTTTTTAAAGTAGCTGACATTCCAAACAGAAAGGTAGATAACAGTAGATTTTTATCAATCCTCCATACTCCAAGGGTGACATTCACTTTCGCTCTCTACACCCCTGGAATATTACATCGCAAAATCGAAGGCCCAGTGACTGTTTGCCACCCTGTGGATAAGACAAGAAGACTAGTTTGATCCTTTGATGAACATCACAAGCATATAGCAGTCACATGAGGGTAAAATTGACTGGCTTTAAAGTCGGGTGTCGATTCTTTGTATTCTTGAAAAGACAAGTATCAGCTTAGCGATTGGTCAGTGGGTTTTTTTTACACCCAAGACCAATCAAATAGCTAACCATACGCGTGTGCCTTCGATTTTGCTATGACATATGCAATGTATTCAAGGATGCTGGGAATGCAAGTAATTTAACCTCTGTAATATCAGAGATGTTTTTGATTGGATAACATGTCCTCGCAACAGCCATGGTCATATGTAGGCAGTAGATAATTCAGCTAAATATCTTACATATACATATAATTGGGATAAAACTTAAAAGCCAAACTGAAATTTATGTTTAAATTATTGAAAATAAAACAATTGTAAAAATAAAAAAATTCCTCAAATGGCGTATGAAATATATTTATACAAAAAAAACATATGTTAAACAAACAAAAATTTACAATGCTATCACAATCAATCAGCAATCATTCTTTGCATATTAATATTACATCATGCATGCATATTAATGATGAAAATTGAACTCTTGTCCTATTATTAGAGTCTAGCTGGTATTCCCCCAGTAACCATCACTGTTTCTCCAGTTATGTAAGAAGCATCTTCCGAGGAAAGAAACGACACAATACCAGCACACTCCGGAGGCTGTCCAAACCTGGAAATTCAATTTCACACTAGTTTATAATGTATAAACTTTATTTTACAACAATTATGTAACAAGTTAGTACAACTTGTATTAATGACTCTTGTGAGCCTGGATCTTAACACACCTGCATGGTCTTAGTGTGGGAAGAGTACCCCTAGAAACCCCATGTGATCGGACAGGTGACCCCCATACATTTCAGGTCTGATTTTGGAATAGGTGTCAAATGGAAAACACCAGCTGCCTTGGTGAAAGGTGAGTGCGTTATCCAATGCGCCACATGACCACCCACACATGACAGTCAAAGACAGGGTACTCAAATTAACATCATGGTACTAACTTCACAATGGAACACCTTTGTTGTTAATTACTCTTCAAGCTTACGAAAAATTATGAAATTATTCTTCAGCTTCAGCTCTAAACTGATTTATATCAAAGCTTTACTTAAAACGCAAACAATGAACTTATTAAACGTGTCACAACATTTCAAGACCGACTGGTCCCTCCCTTGGTCAAGCTATGACCGAGTGCACTTTTAAGACCGACTGGTCCCTTTGTCAAGCAATGACTGACTGAGTGAGTACACTCACTCATAGCTTGACAAAGGGACCAGTTGGTCTGGAAACATTGCCACACGTTAAATACGTACATTGTTTGTGTAGAAAGTAAAACTTTGATATTACATATTTCCAAACTGATGAATCTTATTGATGATATACTGATAAGTAAATTATCTGTATTGAGGGACCTCCCTGGGGAAGTTGATCAGCTTGACTTCTATTGTGGTTGGCCTCTTGAAACAAGTTAGTTAGCACGAAATATCTACAATTGGGAGTTCAAGTTCTAAAAGTGGTCTCCAAAGGTAGGTGGTATCTTAACTGAAATGGCATCTGGATCAGGTTTTTACTGTAGGAACAGCATAGCTATACGTCCATGTCAATTAAAATTTTTGCAGTTATATACATAATACATTATTTAACAATATGAGGAATAACAATCTGGAATATATGAAAACGAAATGTATATAAACAGTTCTTATTGTACTCATAGTTTAAAAGTTGATGATACAGACCACAATAAGCTAAACTCATCAAAATTTGTGACTGAACCCAAAATATTATCATTCAATATTCAGAGATGTCTTTTGATATGCAATATAGGTGATAAGAATCTGTCTACACTTGGTACACTATATAGGCCCTGAAACACAGTTCCTTACTGGGTCAGAGGTTAAAGTGATTTCCCAAACAAAATCTGAAGAAAGTATCAACCAAAATCTTACCTGTTCAAAGGAACCATTGATAAAATAGGCTTGGCAATTTCTTTGTTACTGGTCAACTGGAAGTAAAAAAGGGGAAGATAATCCATTGAGCAATGTAAGTAAACCAACCAACAAGAACTCAGCACAGGATAGAGTAACAAATTTGCTCAGACTAACTTCCTTGTTACTTCATTAAAGTTATGTGAGAAGTTGAACAAGAGTACCGCGGGGCGGGACAATATACGCCCATCAAATGTCATATAGTGTTATATACTTTCTTACATTGAAATAAGATCTGCATCATTCTAAGAGTGGTTAGCTGATCACATGCTATAAAAAATGTAGGAGAAAATCTCTGGACAAAAAAAATCAAATACTGAAATGAACAAAGGGCAATAGCTTTTATAAAAATTGTCGAAAAATCCTTTTAAGGGGCGACACAACAATATATCATGATTATTTAGCCTACTAAGTTTCAAAGAAATCGGTAAAAAAATGTAGGAGGAGATCTCCGGACAAAAAAAAATCAAAAACTTAAATGAACAAAGGGCAATAACTTTTGGAAATATTGTCGCATCAAAATTCTTTTATGGGAAACACAACTTTATATCATGATTACAATGTATACCAAGTTTCAAAGAGATTGGTCAAAATATGTAGGAGGAGATTGCCGGTCAAACAAAAGTTTACGCCGGCCGGCCGGCCGACCACATACCATAATACTTCCGTCAAATTTGACGAGCGTATAAAGAGTCAAACAAAACCACTGAAGTTGGTATTTAGTTTTAAGTCTCTCTTCAAAATGGCAAAATGGAAACTCCTATAAGCTTGTCACTGGACTAAGAAATTTGGCTCGGGCACAGAATCTGAGACTCAGCATGAGAGCAGTTTCATTAATATGGACCCAGAATAATATAAAGTGGGTATGAACGACATGTTAGTAATTAGTTTTATTATTTAACTCTATCACCCCTAAAGACACATTTAAACTCTTCCAATTCAAAGGTTGGAATAGTTCATTATGAAATTTCAGGGGTTATTGAGTAAATTTTAAATTATCTCTTTTACCCATATTTAACTTTAGAACCATGCATTGATGGGTTGAGTCCATTATGGTCTACAGTGGTGAAAGGGTTAAGACTTGATGTTATAATGTGATATTTAACAGGTTCTATATAAGAACATTAATTTTTGACGACATACTGCTTGGCTGAAGCTAGTGTCTATGATCCCTGGTGCGAGTCCATTGATACGGATGTTCATGGCGGCCAGTTGGGGAACCAGGGCCTTGATCAGTCCCAGAAGGGCCGTCTTACTGACGGAGTAGGGTCCCAGCATCTGTAACAGACAAGTATAATATTGAGTTAACACATGAAACCAAACTCAAGCAGAACTATCAGCCTTGGCGAACTATTTTTATGGTTTATAAGTTGATGGCTACAGTACCTTACCAGTAAATTAAACATAAACTGCTTCACCGAGCTCAAATTATGCAAAAAAAACTCATACCATAAGATATTGTCTTGTTTTGTGTTTAACATCCTATTAACAGGTATTGTCATTTAATAATGTGCCAGGTTTTGGAGGTGGAGGAAAGCTGGCGAACCTGAAGAAATACCACCGACCTACAGCTAGTACATGGCGACTGCCCCACGTAGGCCTTGAACCCAAGACTCAGTGGTGGCGGGCCGAGTGATTGTAGACAGTCAGACGCCTTAACCACTTGCCCCCTAGGCCTCCCACCCCAATATATATATATATATATAGATATATTATAATTAATCCCTATTGATTGGATATACCCTGGTACACTATTTGTACCAACACTGCCATATATTTCATCACTCCCAAATCATGGGGTTTATTTTTTAATGATATAAAAGTGTAAAATAAACTTACGCCTGATAATTTATCATCACTATTTGAGTATCCTCTTTATACATGTACTATCAACAAAACCAGCGGTGCTTGTCTTAGGCCACTACTGAATTATTCATTATTTCCCCTTGACCAGTCCAGGTTATGAAGTTAACAGAAAAAGTAAACTGGGTGGGGTTTTTTCATAGTGTTCTCATTAAAAGCTGGTTGCTGGCAAAAGTAGCCTGCTACTAATTGACTCAGAACCAGCTATTTCTTTTTAGAAAAACATATAACTCAACATTATAATACTTTTAAAACAACACTGAACCAGCTAATTTTCAAAATTTAGTGAGAATATTGTTATATTAAGACTGTCTTTTTTTATTAATTCAACAATATTGTAAGTTTGCCGGTTCTTAAGCTCAAGGAGAAGTATGGTAGACTAAGTACAAGCAAGGTTATATTACTAGAAATATCAATGGAATAATTTGGGTAGAAGGTATCTTTGTCCGTTTGTAGGAACTCCGGTTTGTAGGTACTCAAAGGGAAACAATTTATTTTACATTTACACTGATACACACACAGATACACAGATTTTATTCTGACTGTATAGGACTTAAATAATCCTCTGTTCTCCGCTCAATAGAGTTTGAGCAATTTCTGACATGAGCATGGACATACAAAGTATTATCTAAGTGATTATTTGAATAACATCAATCATTAATAGTTGAGGTGAAAAGTAAATGCATATATTCCTGATTAGAGTAATTACATGTGTTCATATTAAACATCTATTCGATGATTAGTTATCTGCAAGTATATTTAAATACAGGTGGAAAATTAAATTGGTTCTCTATAATTTTAGAGTATTGGTTGGTTTCTCAATTGATGGTCTAGGCAAGACTCTTGATGACATAATCTTTAATTATTAATAATATTTTAGGCCTTACCAGTTTCAGACTAGGGTTCGAGGAGCTTTAAGATAATAATAATAATAATTTGAGGTTCTTATACCGCTTTATCACAACCTAGTTTGTAGGCCATCTCAAAGTGGTTCACAAATTATTATCCGTGGTTATAGGGCCTTTGCAACCAGCCATTACCTTTCTCAACTCCCTGGGGAGCATTATACAGCCGGAGCTGCCATTTCGGCCCTAACAGCTAACATTCAACAATTCTAGCACTGCCCAACCACATACTCATTTACAGCCAAGTAGACTGGAAGAAGCGGAGTAAAGTATCTTGCTCAAAGATACAAAACAGTGTCGTGACTCGAACCCGCAACCCTTCATTCACGAGCCCGGCGTCCCACCACTTGACTACGGTGTCTCTGATGAAAACTTGATGTAAGAGTCACATAAAAATACTGTTTTCTTACTGGTGTAGTAATGAGTTTGAAAAAAGGAATTGTAACATATACAGGTGTAATTGCTAAATGTTGAGTATTTCCAAGGTGATTTAGATCAATATGTGTCAATATACATAAATCTAGTTTTAAAATTTTAACCTGTTCATAGAGTTTTAACTCCAGCATTTGCATAATTGGAATGTACAATGCATACATAATTATCTATATAAAAGTTCTTAAGGGTCCACAGCTCTAATGACAAATATATATATATACATTTAATATTTTGTTTATTTACCAGAATATTTTTATTAGAATTTAAGTTAAAATTTTGAATATTTCACAAATTGTACTGAGGGTATGACATTTTAAATCTTTTGCACATACATATGAGGATTCTTTTCTCATGTGAGCTAGCTTTCTGCTCATGTAAGCTTTTCTGCCCACATGAGCATTTTTTCTCACGTTAGTTTTACATTTACATGTGAAAAATGCACCTGAGAAAATGACCATGTCACCTTCTAAGATCACACGTGAGCACCCTCATGTGCTTCTCATGTGCTGATTGTTAGCAACTTTTTGTTTGGACTTTGAGGAAAACCAGTTGGTACTGATCAACTTACATACCGAGATTGGGTTGAAGGCAGCAATGGAGGACACCACTACAATGGACCCTCCCCTGAAATGAAGTCATATAAAATTATAAAATTATTCTCAATGTTTGTGAAGGTTATAAGCTGGTATGTTATTCTTTAAATGTAAACATTATTTATTTTACAACAGCTATGAAACAAGATCCATCAACTTATATGTTAATCACTTTTGTTGGCATAGATGGTAGTGCACAGGGGGTCTTAATGAGGGAGGAAACTGGAGTACCTGGAGAAAACCCATATGGTTGGGCGGGAGACCCAATACATCTGATCAGGGAGTCGAACCCTGACCACCTAATTAGTGAGAGGTGAGTGTATGTGCTATCTACTGTGCCACCTGACCATATAATCTTTGTATCTATGTGTATACCTTATATCTATTCATATGAACAACATACTTGTCAAATATCAAGACCCAAGGACCTTTGGTTATGAAGAAACACAAGTTAAAGGAAAAGTGGAAAGAAAGCTTAGGAAGTTTTTCTTTTTTTTAAATTGGAGGTGGTATATGACAAATTTACCGGTTCTCATTTTTTGGGGAATTCCTGATGTTGAAAGATAATATTGGTAGCCAACTTTTAATGGACTCGTTTTAGAAGTATGGAAATGAAGGTGTAAAAAATGGAAATTCTCTCATTAGTTATGAAAATTCACATACTTTTCTGCTTAAATTCTCAATAAAAAGAACCATTCTCTCTTGAAATAGTGTACTATTTGGTATCAAAATATTAGTTGGAATATGTTGCACAGAATGACGATATAATTTTACAGTAATTGTGTCATTTAAATGCTCTAGGAGGACATGTATTACCGCACCGTTAACATCCACACAGGTGTAAGTAAATAAGGTCCCATTTGTCATAAAATTGATTCTGAAATTACCCTTTCTGATTTAAGCTTCCAATACCTATACCTTTTTGTATTTATCTTGTTTTGAAACTCCAAGTCGGGGCCGACGTTAATGTTAAATCTCCATAGGCGTTGATCCTGCCTTTCTTTAAATTACCTTGAAAATGTACATTGTGACGTTACTGTATGACGATGCTGCTATGATTTTGTTGTTGATGATGATGACGATGATGATGATGATGATGATGACAAATTGTAACTTTAGGGTGCGCTTACAGAATAAAAAATACTTAAGTATTTTAGCTAGGAGCAATAATTTGTGTCAAGTACATTTATGTCATGTTTACAATTACCCTCTGTTCTGTAGATGTGGGGCCGTCTCCTTGATCAACATAAAGGTTGACTTCACATTCAAATCAAATATCTGCAACATAAAAATACTGGTTTAATTTAGTGGATCCCCATGTAACAAATTGGTAAAGTACAAACTCAATTCGGTACATATATAAAAAAAAATGTAACTTTTAAAAAATATTTTTCAAATAAACTTCATGCCTACCTTATCCCACTGGTCTTCTGAGCACTAAAAAATAAAAAAGAGACCACCTTTTATTCTGTTTACAAAACAAATTGTGTTTATTACAAAATAATGGGTAAAAAAATGCAGAAAATCATACTTTTTTACATGAAATATACTAGAAAGATTTGCTAACTGTGTTTGTTTCGTATTTCACTTCCTTGCAACAGCTGAGGCCATATGAAGGCTGACGGGAAAGAGCAGACTCTTACAACCGAGTCTGTGGCACAACACGTATGAACACTAGCTATAGAAACAACAAAAGTGAATTAAGCTTCCCTGACCCATTGCACTGTGGTTTTTCCTATATACAGTAACCTCCCTTTAACTTCTGTTTTGATATTCCAGGTACAAGTAGCTAAATCGGTTAGAGCGATAGTACAGTGGAACCCGCTTATTATGATATCCTATTTGGCAGAGAAAAATATCATCATAACCGATATATCATAATAAGCGACCAAGCTGTTTTCGATCGTTTTTATGTTGTCTGAACCGGAAGTGAGATGCCCTATATCAATCAGACATAGCTTGATGTGGAAACATGGAAAAATATAAATACAAAAAGATAATTAATAATTGAAATAATTTGTTCATTGTTTTTTATATCAGCATGTTGGAAAAATTTGTATAACAATCTGAAGTCCAGGGTACAAATCCCGGTCTAGCCCCACTAACAATCTTTTCACTCAAAACACTATTGTCAATTACACTTTGTTTATTTCATCCTTTTTGATCAAAAATCATTTATAAAAGCTATAATCATGCTGGAAACAGTTTCCAATTAACACTTCAGTTGTACTTGTTAGTAGTGGTATAGAGATCTTTAAATCAAACTAGAATCAAATTGGAATCCTCTTATAATCTGCTGTGCATAAAAAGTAAACAGTGAACATCATTTTTTAATTTTTTTAAACAAACCACCTATTTAACAGTTATGATGTCAAGCATTATGTACAGGAACTAGCTATATATATATATATAGTCACTTAAACATTTAGAAGATCATCATACTTAACTTGCCACCTTTTTGAAATTTTTATGGGGGATATTAAACAGGCTCAGAATTAAAAGCATAAATTAAATATACATTGTATGTATGTACACTTAGATAAAAAAAAAAAAAAATCTTTTGCACATGAAATCATTAGCACTTAGAAAATATGAATAGTTAAGCAAATTCACTGGTTAAAAATACTCAATCTTAATGTCTAAAATTGGGATTCTCATTTCTAAATAGAGCAGGATGGCAAGTACACATGATATCAGTTAAAGCTTACATCTAACATTTGACCAAAGAATGGGTTTACTGCAGCGTTGGATACCACTATATCAATACCACCGTACTGGTCCAGGGTCTGAAAAAGTCAAAATACATAGAAACAGGGATTAATTACAACAAACATGCTTATTGTGAACATGCATGCTTCAAGACACTTATTTTGAACATACTTACAGTAAACACTTATTGAGTATTCAAGCATACCAGGTTTAAAACAAACTGTGAACATGCTAGAACTTGCTAACAGTGAAAATGCTTGAATACACTTATTTCGAACAAGCATGAACATAATTGTTGTAAACACAACTGGAAATTATTTTGAATATTTCTGAATGAGAACATTTATTGTGAATGTCCTTGAACTCACTTTTTGTGAAAATTCATGAACATACATGTACATATACATATAATTATTGTTTAAATATGGTAGGCTAAACAAAGTTTTCAATAGTGTCTCTTGGTTTCAGTCTGTTTATAATAGGGGTCTGTCAGACTGTGTTGATACCTTAACTCATTCACCCCTGAACTTACATAATGAACTATTCCAACCTTTATATTGGAAGAGTTCAAATGTGTCTACAGGGGTGAATGCGTTAGATATACACACACGTAAATTTACTTGTTTTAAATTTCTCTCGTAATAATGACCTGTTGTATAAGACTTGCTCGATCTTCTTTTTTTCCAACATGGCATACAGTACCATACACGTCGAGGTTTTTGGCCCGTAATTTCTCAATTGCTGCATCCACGTTTTTCTGTTTGCGGCTGCTGACCATCACTTTGGCTCCATCTTGTCCAAGTCTTTCAGCAATGGCGTAGCCGATCCTATAGCACACAACATAATGTGACGATTGGTAAATGTGATCAGTTAAACTGTATATAAGATAACAGTTGCCTTCTAGCTTCAGGCATAGCTTGTTTCGGTATTACAGTTACATTGTTATCACAGATTTTTTCAATTTTTCTGCATTTTCCCCTATATATTTTCCATGCAAGAAATGGAGAAATCTTTTTTTTTGCAGATTCCCGCATTTTCTCCATATTTCTCCAATAGAACAAATATAGAAAATTTGAATGCAGAGTTACACATAAGGTTCTACCTCCCTGTTACCACAGGAAGGGACACAGACACCATTTGTAACAGGAAGGAGAGTAGTATGCTTCCATCCAGGATCAAACGGAACCCGCAATCCCAGACTTCCTATAGTCGGACGCTCTACCAGTCTAGCGTGAAGGTACATACTTGTATGTAGAAGGTGACAGTAATCCTATCAGTGTTCTCCCCAGGCTGTTTTTGCAGCATGGCACCATGCTCCTATAATTTCTTGCCATGCTGCTATCCTAGATCTTCTCTGCTATGTATTCATAGTAAATCTAAAGTTACCATGAAGCTTTGATTTTACATAGAGTGCTGCTTTAATAGAAATATTGAAATACCATGCTTCTTTCAAAACATTCTGGGGAGAACACTGCCTAGATGTACAATAAGAATTAAAATCTGCTACAGGGGTGAACGAAGTAAAGAACTACAGTATTGGTGTATAATTACCAGGAAAAGAATAACACAGTCATTTGGCATTATGGGTCGGCATGCATGCACAGGGGCCTGCATCTGGTATGTAAATAGTCAATGTGAAAATATAAAATAGCCTGCCTATCCTACTATTGTAAAAATACTGTACGGTAAGCAGGCTATTGTGTATTTTCACATAATTATTTACATACCAGATATTAGGGGTGTCACAATATGCCAAGAATGTATCACCATATATTGCAATACAAAATGTATACATACATGTACGTTGTGATATGTATTCCAATATTTTGTAATAGGAAAGATGTGTTCAAAGCTATAATAAGCTATTGTCAGAATGTTATCAAACTTCATCATATACAAGAGGCCCAGATGGCCTGTATCGCTCACCTGGATATCTAAGCAATCATGGCAAAATATTATCCAAATGAGATCCAAGGGAATATGTCAGACCCCAAGGCCAATCCTTGTAGCATATCTGTATTAGATTGTTCATGCCCAGCAATTTTATGTATGGTTATAGGGTGGGGATCTCAACTGTTTCCAAGCTGTGACTCAGGAACTAGGTCGCTATGGTTGTGGCCAGACCCCAGGATCAATTCTAATATCATGACTGCATGCGTCTCTTTTTGCCCAGCATTTGTATTTATAGTTTTGGGGTGGGGATCTTAACAATTTTGAAGTTATTACCCAGGGGTTAAGTCTGCAAGGATGGGGAAGACCCAAGGCCATCCTGGAAGCATATGTGCATTCATCTCTTTATACTCAGCAATTGTATATATATGGTTAAAGGGTGGGTATGTCAACTGTTTCCAAGCTGTGACTAAGAAACTAGGTCCTTAGGGGTTCGTTCAGACCCCAGGGTCTATTCTAATATCATGTCTGCATTCGTCACTGTATGCCAAGCAATTTGTATATATAGTTCTGAGGTTGGGATCTCAACTGTTTCAAAGTTATGATCCAGGGGTTAAGTCTGCAAGGGTGGGGCCAGACCCTAAAGCCATCCTGGAAGCAAATGTGCATTCTTCTCTTTAGACTCAGCAGTTTTATATATGGTTATACGGTGGGGATCTCAACCATTTCCAAGTAATACACTTTTTTGGCCCTACCCCTAAATATTGCGGGGGGTCAGCCCCACCATTTGTACAATTTTGAATCCCTGCATAGCATGAATGCTTCCGACCAAATATGATTGATATCCAGTGCATAGTTCAACAGAAGAAGTGGTTTGTAGCAATATAGCCAATTTGCCCCCTTTTGGCCCCACCCCTCAGCCCCACCATTTGGACACTTTTTAATCTCTTCTACCTAGGGATACTTCCAGTCAAATATGGTTGATATCCATCGCTTAGATCCAGAGAAGAAGTCGTTTGTAGCAATATAGCCAAATTGCCCCCTTTTGGCCCCTCCCCTGAGCCCCCTGGGGAGTCAACCCCACCATTTGTACAATTTTGAATCCCCACCATCTAGGGATGCGTCCAGCCAAATTTAGTTCAATTCCAATCTGCGGTTTAAAGAAGAAGAAGTTGTTTAAAGAAACAGATGCCACTGTATGGCATAAGCTCACATTGGTCCTTCGGACCCGGTGAGCTAATAATATGGATCACATAGATATATTTTTTTTGTCAAATCAACCATCAATTACAAATGTAACACTGGGTTATATAATATGAAATATATATATATATATATATATATGGTGTGTGTATACAACGAGTGCTGTCAACTGTCTGTATACACGTGTGTTGTCCTGTCTCGTAAACAGTGTCTGTGACGTCATCGATTCGGAATGCATGTACCTGTGTTGTTATGTTCCGTTTCAACATTCTGACTGAATTGTGCTTACGACATAAACCTTGGACCTGCCCCTTGCACGAATAAAGCACCCTATATTCCCGCCACTATATTCTGGCTACTGGGTAGATACTTACTGTCCAGTGGTCATTCTTACAATCCGACATGTGAGAGACGGATCAGATTACTGATAGAGCCGAGCAATTGATCATATAGAGGGCGTACAGATACATTGCCGCCAGCATGTATTAGCGGGCTAGGAACATCATACCCTGTATGTATAACCGTATTATATAATAACTATCGTGTGGTTAGAACATTTAGTTATTAGAATTACTATATTTATAGCGGTCTCTATTCAGAGGTCCGGTACCTCGGTCAGCGCGGAAGTTGTGTAGTATTTATTGTATGTATATGAGAGGGTGAATGTATTTATTGTATTAATATTGTCCTGTATTGTAGGTTTCTCAGAGATTATAAAGAAAAGAGATATACTTGAAACAACTTGTCCGAGTTATTGTATAAAACTGAGCAACCGGTGACACAAAATTTGAACTATTGAAAGCCTGTTTTATGCTAATTGGCATAGTGTTAGAATTTGGAGTAATTTGCAAAGTTGAAACACCAAGCAGATACTTAAAAATAAGGTTTTAAAAGATCATTTCGATACAGCAATATTTCATCTCTGTATTGTTGTACGATACGATATACCTGTGTATTATTATTGCGATATACGTATGCCTGTGTACCGATTTATTATGACAGTCCTACCAGATATAATACAAATAGGATATATAGGCAGGCTATTTTATGTTTTCACATATTTACATACCAGATGCTAGTACTAATAGTAATACCCGAGCTCCTCTGACGACGCAAAATATAAAACAAATCCCTCGTCGTCAGAAAGCTACGTTATCGCAGCTACCGTGGCATGCAGCGGTACTATCAAAACTTCTCAAAATGATCTCCTCCAATTAGCAAATAACAACACGGACGTGCGCAGAAATCAAGTAAAGAAAACATCGTCAACCGGCGACGAGTATGTGTACACTACTAGACCAAATGTGTTAACATGGAAAAATAATATTGTTGTATACCCCGCAATGTAATTAAAATTAGACCATTTTTGTTTCATTTCACTATTCTTATTTATTTCTAAAATTAAATTCAATATATGTTATAATGTGTGTCGGCGTGAAGAAAATAACGTAATCAGTTTTTTGCTTTACAATGTACATAATTAAAAACAACACAAACACATATTTTTTTTTAATAAAACTGATTTTAATGATATGAAAGACTAAGTGGACTTAATTTGTTACTTAAAACAAACAAAAATGAAAAGAAAATTCCAAACAATGTTTCGCCCTAAACATTTTGTTTTAGGGCGAAACAACCTGGCGCGAAACAACCTTGGGCGAACGGGATTTGGGGCGAAACAACCCGGAACCCATGCAGCCATGGCCGGTAGCAGTTTGTCTGACTTACCCGTCCGTCGATGCTGTTACAATAGCGACTTTTCCAGATAATTTCTGAGTTGCAGTTGATGCCATTCTGGTACTTAGTTGTCGCCTGACGTTACTGCCGAAAAAGAATCGTCTCAACATAGTGTTATGGTGATCAGAGTCCACCTAACATGTACGCGAATCTAGTGGACGCTTTGGTAAGATAGTCTTTCGAAGCAAACATAGGATCGAGACAGAATCTACTTTCATTTTGAAGAAGTAATTGAATTCCGGATTTTTAAGGTTGGAAAATAAAACACCGATAAATCACATTACTTGTTTCCGAGATTTCGAGTAAAAAAAACAAAAAGAAATTTGTATGCAATTATGCTTAGACGTCACGCCTATGCATATGTACAGTGTATGACTGTCCACACTACATGTCGCGGCGCGTCGATGTGACACAACCCAATACTACCCAACAACCCAATATATATATATATATATATATACTACCCAATATAAATTAAGTGTCGATTTACCCAACACTACAGTGGCGGATCCAGAGTTTTTTTGGGGGGCTTCAGGACACACACATACTCTCATATCGATGGAGCTTGCATGTATAAATTAAGATATTACTTACATGTATAAATTGAGAACTATTTAGTAATTTTTGTAATAAAATATGAAGATTTACAAGATCTAATATATTATGCACAGAGAGCATGTGATGCCTAAAATTCCTAGAAAGAGGACATTTCTATGAACAGGAACTCAAGCAGTAACAAACGGATACACAATAGTAAAATGCTTTTCTAACCAAGCGATATGTTTTAATGTCTAATAATAGTGCCATGATGCGAACAATATATTGTATCTATTTACAAGTAAACGATATCTGGACCGAGTATTGATTCCTTTTGTAAAGCCGATAGAAATCATGAAGTTACACATTTGTACATTTAGACAACAGTGTAGTGATTCAGTCCAAGTGTGATGGGACCAGTTTCACACCTGACCACTGACAGGTGATGCTTGCTACAAATAACCATAACTTCTGTATTTCTTTGATTTCATTCCGAATTACTGTACATCATTCCCATGATAGTTTACTTCATAAATAATGAAATATATCTCACTATTATCTTAATAACGATAAATGATTGTATCTTTCCCGTGAAAATCAATTTCATAAATAATGAATATACACATATGAGTACGCCTGATTAACATCTACATATATTTGACTCTAATTGTATATCAGTTGTATTGGGTGTTTACTTTCTGTATTGGGTAAATCGACGTTTGCATTGGAAAGTATTGGGTTGTATTGTGTAAATCGACGTTTGTATTGGGTTGTATTGGATAGTATTGGGTTGTATTGGGTATATCGACGTTTGTATTGGGAAGTATTGGGTTGTATTGTGTAAATCGGCGTTTGTATTGGGTAGTATTGGGTTGTATTGGGTAAATCGGCGTTTGTATTGGGTAGTATTGGGTTGTATTGTGTAAATCGACGTTTGTATTGGGTAAATTGACGGACCCACTTTGGGTGCGCCTCTCGAGAGGTGGGAGGGGGCGGTGCGGAAGGGAGCGGTGACGGGGGAGAGCGGCGACGGGAGGGGCGGGGACGGGAGGGGGCTGGGAGGAGATAGAATAAGCTCTGTTTGTCTCAAGCCAGGACACAAGTGAGGATGTGTACTATATGTAACAACGAGCAATGGATGCTTATTTATTTTATGTTGTCTGATATTGAGATATACGTAATCAATCTTTAACGCCGAGAGTAAATCTAGATTTTTCAGTGACATAATAAACATGTAAAAAAGAAGAAGAAAGAAAACGGTTGAAAAGGGAAAGGTTGAGGGGTGCTATTTGCCCCTACCATTTTTTTTCTTCAAATTATTCATCATTGTTGCCGATGTAACCAACCAATTCAGTATATCGGATATATAATCTGACGTCTTGTGTTTATCTTTTTAGATATCGAAATGTACCTGCTAGCTATATTATATAGGTACTTCACTGATAACACATGTTGAGGCATACACACACACCCGTATACGCATGCTTTCCGCCGGTTATACCTGTTAACAGGTAAACGTCTATGTATCTGCATGCCTTTATCTTTGTCGTCAAATGACCTACTTATCTTTCGCGTCCTACCTTTTAACCTTCATTTTTCGTTTCGCACAAAATGGCTCAGAAGCTAGCAGGGAAAATTGCAGTGGTGACAGCGTCGACAGATGGGTAACATTTCTTTCGCCATAAATATAGTTCTGGTCGTCATGCATCACTTTTAAAGATGGTTAATTTGAAGGAATGCATGTGGCTGTATTTGTACAGTCATATATGTACTAGAGGCAATATTTAGTACACTACGTACGTTTAGAGTAGTATACTATATCTATCATGTTTAAGAAGGGTACTGGATAGCTAGCTACAGTGTACATTGTAAGTTTAGACTAGTATATTGCACTGCGGTTAGGCAGCAGTGTTATATGTTTAGGCTAGAAGTACATCCCGTTAAGACTACTTAATTAGTGCTTTACGTCCAGACTACTACTTAAGATACACTACGTTGAGACCTAGTAGTACACGTGCACTGTGGTTAGATACGTTTAGAACAGTACTAGAGGTACATAGAGGTATATACTAGTAGTGCCCTGTAGACGTTTAGACTAGAAATAGAGGTACTCTACGTATATACTAGTAGTGCCCTGTAGACGTTTAGACAAGAACTAGAGGTAGACCGCTTTTAGACTGGTAGCTAGTGCCCTGTAGACGTTTAGACTAGAACTAGAGGTAGACCGCGTTTAGACTGGTAGTGACCTATAGACGTTTAGACTAGAACTAGAGGTAGACCGCGTTTAGACTAGTAGTGCCCTGTAGACGTCTAGACTAGAACTAGAGGTAGACCGCGTTTAGACTAGAATAGAGGTAGACCACGTTTAGACTAGTAATGCTCTGTAGACGTTTAGACTAGAACTAGAGGTAGATCGCTTTTAGACTAGTAGTGCCCTGTAGACGTTTAGACTAGAACTAGAGGTAGACCACGTTTAGACTGGTAATGCCCTGTAGACGTTTAGACTAGAACTAGCGGTAGACCGCGTTTAGACTAGTAATGCTCTGTAGACGTTTAGACTAGAACTAGAGGTAGACCGCGTTTAGACTAGTAATGCTCTGTAGACGTTTAGACTAGAACTAGAGGTAGACCGCGTTTAGACTAGAACTAGAGGTAGACTGCGTTTAGACTAGTAGTGCTCTGTAGACGTTTAGACTAGAACTAGAGGTAGACTGCGTTTAGACTAGTAGTGCTCTGTAGACGTTTAGACTAGAACTAGAGGTAGACTGCGTTTAGACTAGTAGTGCTCTGTAGACGTTTAGACTAGAACTAGAGGTAGACCGCGTTTAGACTAGTAGTGCTCTGTAGACGTTTAGACTAGAACTAGAGGTAGACCGCGTTTAGACTAGAACTAGAGGTAGACTGCGTTTAGACTAGTAGTGCTCTGTAGACGTTTAGACTAGAACTAGAGGTAGACTGCGTTTAGACTAGTAGTGCTCTGTAGACGTTTAGACTAGAACTAGAGGTAGACTGCGTTTAGACTAGTAGTGCTCTGTAGACGTTTAGACTAGAACTAGAGGTAGACCGCGTTTAGACTAGTAGTGCTCTGTAGACGTTTAGACTAGAACTAGAGGTAGACCGCGTTTAGACTAGAACTAGAGGTAGACTGCGTTTAGACTAGTAGTGCTCTGTAGACGTTTAGACTAGAACTAGAGGTAGACTGCGTTTAGACTAGTAGTGCTCTGTAGACGTTTAGACTAGAACTAGAGGTAGACCGCGTTTAGACTAGTAGTGCTCTGTAGACGTTTAGACTAGAACTAGAGGTAGACCGCGTTTAGACTAGTAGTGCTCTGTAGACGTTTAGACTAGAACTAGAGGTAGACCGCGTTTAGACTAGTAGTGCTCTGTAGACGTTTAGACTAGAACTAGAGGTAGACCGCGTTTAGACTAGTAGTGCTCTGTAGACGTTTAGACTAGAACTAGAGGTAGACCGCGTTTAGACTAGTAGTGCTCTGTAGACGTTTAGACTAGAACTAGAGGTAGACCGCGTTTAGACTAGTAGTGCTCTGTAGACGTTTAGACTAGAACTAGAGGTAGACCGCGTTTAGACTAGTAGTGCTCTGTAGACGTTTAGACTAGAACTAGAGGTAGACCGCGTTTAGACTAGAACTAGAGGTAGACTGCGTTTAGACTAGTAGTGCTCTGTAGACGTTTAGACTAGAACTAGAGGTAGACCGCGTTTAGACTAGTAGTGCTCTGTAGACGTTTAGACTAGAACTAGAGGTAGACCGCGTTTAGACTAGAACTAGAGGTAGACTGCGTTTAGACTAGTAGTGCTCTGTAGACGTTTAGACTAGAACTAGAGGTAGACCGCGTTTAGACTAGTAGTGCTCTGTAGACGTTTAGACTAGAACTAGAGGTAGACCGCGTTTAGACTAGTAGTGCTCTGTAGACGTTTAGACTAGAACTAGAGGTAGACCGCGTTTAGACTAGTAGTGCTCTGTAGACGTTTAGACTAGAACTAGAGGTAGACCGCGTTTAGACTAGTAGTGCTCTGTAGACGTTTAGACTAGAACTAGAGGTAGACCGCGTTTAGACTAGTAGTGCTCTGTAGACGTTTAGACTAGAACTAGAGGTAGACCGCGTTTAGACTGGTAGTGCTCTGTAGACGTTGAGACTAGAACTAGAGTTAGACCGCGTTTAGACTAGTTGTGCCCTGTTGACGTTTAGACTAGAACTAGAGGTTGACCGCTTTTAGACTAGTAGTGCTCTGTAGACGTTTAGACTAGAACTAGAGGTAGACCGCGTTTAGACTGGTAGTGCTCTGTAGACGTTGAGACTAGAACTAGAGTTAGACCGCGTTTAGACTAGTTGTGCCCTGTAGACGTTTAGACTAGAACTAGAGGTAGACCGCGTTTAGACTAGAACTAGAGGTAGACTGCGTTTAGACTAGTAGTGCTCTGTAGACGTTTAGACTAGAACTAGAGGTAGACCGCGTTTAGACTAGTAGTGCTCTGTAGACGTTTAGACTAGAACTAGAGGCAGACCGCGTTAAGACTGGTAGTGCTCTGTAGACGTTGAGACTAGAACTAGAGTTAGACCGCGTTTAGACTAGTTGTGCCCTGTAGACGTTTAGACTAGAACTAGAGGTAGACCGCGTTTAGACTAGTAGTGCCCTGTAGACGTTTAGACTAGTACTAGAGTTAGACCGCGTTAAGACTAGTAGTGCTCTGTAGACGTGTAGACTAGAACTAGAGGTAGACTGCGTTTAGACTAGTAGTGCTCTGTAGTAGAGGTAGACCACGTTTAGACTAGAACTAGAGGTAGACCGCGTTTAGACTGGAAGTGCCCTGTAGACGTTTAGACTAGAACTAGAGGTGGACCGCGTTTAGACTAGTAGTGCTTTGTAGACGTTTAGACTAGAACTAGAGGTGGACCGCGTTTAGACTAGTAGTGCTTTGTAGACGTTTAGACTAGAACTAGAGTTAGACCGCGTTTAGACTAGAACTAGAGGTAGACCGCTTTTAGACTGGTAGTAGACGTTTAGACTAGAACTAGAGGTGGACCGCGTTTAGACTAGTAGTGCTTTGTAGACGTTTAGACTAGAACTAGAGGTAGACCGCTTTTAGACTGGTATACCGCACCCGAGAAAGGCAGCAGTGTTATATGTTTAGACTAGAAGTACACCCCGTTAATACTACTTAATTAGTGCTTTACGTCCAGACTACTACTTAAGATACACTACGTTGAGACCTAGTAGTACACGTGCACTGTGGTTAGATACGTTTAGAACAGTACTAGAGGTACTCTTCGTATTTACTAGTATTGCCATGTAGACGTTTAGACAAGAACTAGAGGTAGACCGCTTTTAGACTAGAACTAGAGGTATACCGCGTTTAGACTAGAACTAGAGGTAGACAACGTTTAGACTAGTAGTGCCCTGTAGACGTTTAGACTAGAACTAGAGGTAGACCGCGTTTAGACTAGTTGTGCCCTCTAGACGTTTAGACTAGAAATAGAGGTAGACCGCGTTTAGACTAGAACTAGAGGTAGACCGCGTTTAGACTGGTAATGCCCTGTAGACGTTTAGACTAGAACTAGAGGTAGACCGCGTTTAGACTAGCAGTGCTCTGTAGACGTTTAGACTAGAACTAGATGTAGACCGCTTTTAGACTAGTAGTGCCCTGTAGACGTCTAGACTAGAACTAGAGGTAGACCGCGTTTAGACTAGAACTAGAGGTAGACCGCGTTTAGACTAGCAGTGCTCTGTAGACGTTTAGACTAGAACTAGAGGTAGACCGCGTTTAGACTGGTAGTGCCCTGTAGACGTTTAGACTAGAACTAGAGGTAGACCGCGTTTAGACTAGTAGTGCCCTGTAGACGTTTAGACTAGAACTAGAGGTAGACCTTGTTTAGACTGGTATACCGCACTCGGGGAAGGCAGCAGTGTTATATGTTTCGACTAGAAGTACACCCCGTTAAGACTTCTTAATTAGTGCTTTACGTCCAGACTCCTACTTAAGATACACTACGTTGAGACCTAGTAGTACACGTGCACTGTGGTTAGATACGTTTAGAACAGAGTTAGAGGTACACTACATATATACTAGTTGTGTTTTGTAGACGTTTAGACTAGAACTAGAGGTAGACCGCGTTTATACTGGTTGTGCTCTGTAGACGTTTAGACTAGAACTAGAGGGAGACCGCGTTTAGACTAGAACTAGAGGTAGATTGCGTTTAGACTTGTTGTGCCCTGTAGTCGTTTAGACTAGAACTAGAGGTAGACTGCGTTTAGACTAGTAGTGCTCTGTAGACGTTTAGACTAGAACTAGAGGTAGACTGCGTTTAGACTAGTTGTGCCCTGTAGTCGTTTAGACTAGAACTAGAGGTAGACCGCGTTTAGACTAGTAGTGCCCTGTAGACGTTTAGACTAGAACTAGAGGTAGACCGCGTTTAGACTAGTATACCGCACTCGGGGAAGGCAGCAGTGTTATATGTTTCGACTAGAAGTACACCCCGTTAAGACTTCTTAATTAGTGCTTTACGTCCAGACTCCTACTTAAGATACACTACGTTGAGACCTAGTAGTACACGTGCACTGTGGTTAGATACGTTTAGAACAGAGCTAGAGGTACACTACATATATACTAGTAGTGTTTTGTAGACGTTTAGACTAGAACTAGAGGTAGACCGCGTTTAGACTGGTATACCGCACTCGGGGAAGGTAGCAGTGTTATATGTTTAGACAAGAAGTACATCATGGTTAGAATAGAAGTGCTCCAAGTGTAGACCAGTAGTACCAGTACTGTTCCTGTGCACAGTGGCAAGACAGTAGTTTGATAGGTTAAGACTAGAAGTACAGTACGTTAAAACTATCACTAGCAAGTGCTAGATACGTTTAAACTAGTACTAGAGGTACGTATACACTACGTATAGACTAGTAGCCAGTAGTGCTCTTCGTTTAGATTAGTACTAGAGGTACGTACACTACGTATAGACTAGTAGTCAGTAGTGCTCTTCGTTTAAACTAGTACTAGAGGTACGTACACTACGTATAGACTAGTAGCCAGTAGTGCTCTTCGTTTAGATTAGTACTAGTGGTACGTACACTACGTATAGACTAGTAGCCAGTAGTGCTCTTCGTTTAGAATAGTACTAGAGGTACGTACACTACGTATAGACTAGTAGCCAGTAGTGCTCTTCGTTTAGAATAGTACTAGAGGTACGTACACTACGTATAGACTAGTAGCCAGTAGTGCTCTTCGTTTAGAATAGTACTAGAGGTACGTACACTACGTATAGACTAGTAGCCAGTAGTGCTCTTCGTTTAGAATAGTACTAGAGGTACGTACACTACGTATAGACTAGTAGCCAGTAGTGCTCTTCGTTTAGAATAGTACTAGAGGTACGTACACTACGTATAGACTAGTAGCCAGTAGTGCTCTTCGTTTAGAATAGTACTAGAGGTACGTACACTACGTATAGACTAGTAGCCAGTAGTGCTCTTCGTTTAGAATAGTACTAGAGGTACGTACACTACGTATAGACTAGTAGCCAGTAGTGCTCTTCGTTTAGAATAGTACTAGAGGTACGTACACTACGTATAGACTAGTAGCCAGTAGTGCTCTTCGTTTAGAATAGTACTAGAGGTACGTACACTACGTATAGACTAGTAGCCAGTAGTGCTCTTCGTTTAGAATAGTACTAGAGGTACGTACACTACGTATAGACTAGTAGCCAGTAGTGCTCTTCGTTTAGAATAGTACTAGAGGTACGTACACTACGTATAGACTAGTAGCCAGTAGTGCTCTTCGTTTAGAATAGTACTAGAGGTACGTACACTACGTATAGACTAGTAGCCAGTAGTGCTCTTCGTTTAGAATAGTACTAGAGGTACGTACACTACGTATAGACTAGTAGCCAGTAGTGCTCTTCGTTTAAACTAGTATTAGAGGTACGTACACTACGTATAGACTAGTAGCCAGTAGTGCTCTTCGTTTAGAATAGTACTAGAGGTTGTACGTACACTACGCGTATACTAGAAGTGCTCTACGTATAGACACGGACTTAATCTAATTCCGTGGTATAGACTAGTAGTTCAATGCGGTTAGGCAGTAGCTGTAGTGGGGTATATGTTTCGACTAGAAATACATCATGTTGAGAGACAAGTAGTGCAATGTTGCATGACAACACAGAACACACTAAGTAAATATGCTGTAGATAATGCAATGGAAAATCCTGGTGCAAAATGTGCTAAAACTACAAAAACACTACATAAACAACTTTCAAATAAGACGCATTATTTTCTTTTTCTCTAGTATCGGGTACGCCATTGCGGAGAGGCTTGCCCAGGATGGTGCGAAAGTAGTTATAAGCAGTCGGAAGCAGACTAACGTCGACGCCGCGGTAAAGAAGCTCAAGTCTCAAAAACTCGACGTTGTAGGCGTGGTTTGTCACGTGGGGAAGAAGGAGGACAGAGAAAATCTCGTGGCCACGGTAAGGGAGATAATCTATGCATAATATAAGGTACTGTAAACGTACAAATTTTAGTGGTATTGTAATTTTAGCACATTTTGCGCTTTAAATATCATGCTAAATTATGATTGCACCAATAACAGTTTCTGTAGATACATTCCTATTGCACACATTGTGAGCGGCAAATTCATCGATACGCTAATGTTAAAATTCCGTAATACAACTAAATAAAACGCTAAAATTTGGGTCCGCTAAAATAACTCCTTTAACAGTCTATCTATGATTGTAGAAAGATGTGCATCATATCAATGCAGCATATTAACGAACACCTCTACATTTTGTTTGTATTTTTTTTTCTGCGTCCTCGGTTAATAAATCTTTTCTCGGGTAGATAAATCCAGGTATCGACCTCAGCCAACGGCTATAATTGAATAGTAGTGATTTTGCAGTGTTATGTTATCTCGTGAATTTGTATGGTCATCTTGTTATATTTTTTGTTTGTTTGAGGTTAACGTCCTCACAAGAGTCAAGTTCATACGAAGACGGAATTGTATATTAACTAAGGTTATATTTTAAGTATCTCTGTGTTTCAGGCTATAGAAAAGTATGGTGGGATCGACATATTTGTGTCAAACGCAGCCGTGAATCCGTTCTTTGGTCCTATCCTCGATGTGAGTATGCTTCGTTTATTAGTTTTTCTCTTGCAGCTGCCATTTATTGTATTTCGCCCGTTGCCGATACAATCCTCATTCGTCAAGTGTAAGTTCTCTACATTTAATTGCTATGTACTTGACTGTCCGTTTTAATGATAGAATGGAGACTGAAAAAGGCGAAATATAAAGTGTGCCGAACATTTCCCGTTATACTGTTTACTACAAATGTATTTGTGTTGTAGTTGTAATATCGCTATTCATCGTTTTCTTAGAAAGTTACATATCAGTATAACAAGATGAATATCAATTTTAATTATATATCGAAACTTGATATAATGTTCATTTTTTGTCACAGTGTACGGAGTCTGCTTGGGACAAGGTAAGTAAATAAAGACAAGTTTCCATGGAAACAGTTGAACTGTTATTACAACAAGTAAATGAGTCTAACATAAGTAATTACTGATTAATTTGATGTAGTAGAGGTCACAATTTGTGTAATGCCTCCGCTGTGAGTCAAATCCCGGACCTCTGTTTACTGGTCTTACACTCTACCGAAAAAGCTGAACAGAAATTCTCCCTAGCCGAGTCTGTAGAAAGCGACTAGAATTTTGAACAAGGCTGACATACATTGTACCCGCCCTCCAGGAAGAACTCGTCCGACTTTCCAAGGGTCATAGCGATTCTTCTGAAAGTATCTGTAATTATTATTGTCAAAATTTCCCGGGTCCCTACATGGGTGTCATTGGAACAGAGTTCATTATGTTTCAATGTCCCTGGTAGGGGTCGAACTCGAGACCCTTGGCTCAGTGATCGAACGCAGTACCGAATTATCTTAAAGAGATCATTCCCATATGTCTAACTGAGTCTATAAGAAGTGGCTTGTATTTTGTATCAAGGTGACAATAATTGCATCATTTACTGCAATTGCAGTAAGTGTGACTAGCTGTAACGATTTATAGTGTGATGCCATTGAATAACTGATGAAAACAATATTTACTAGTGTAAAAAAACACTGTTTTCCTTTAGGTTAACCAATAACTGTCAAATATATAGAATTTTTTTCAAGTACAAAGTATGGGTGACAATTTGGGTCTTCTGGTGTATCATCGGTAACCATTATTTATCTTTTAGCAGAGTGCCATTCATATTTTTAATGTACACTTACAAATATTTTATAGCTAGTTTCTTAGACTACTTTTTCACCAGTAGCACGTAATCAAATTGATCAAATGTGCATATCAATGTGTTTGATTTCTACCACTGTTTTGTTTTTACTTTCGTGTATCTTTCCTGGCACCAGATCACTAACTGATGTGTTTATTATGTATTTCAGATTTTTGACATTAACGTGAAAACAGCATTTTTGCTGTGTAAGGATATTGTTCCTCATATGCAGAAGCGTGGGTATGTATCTATTTATTTACATGAATTTGTTAAAATAAACGCAAACTGATATACGTTAAAACAATGCTCATACGAGAATGTCGACAACAAACAAAGAAAAAGAAAATATATACAGTAAAACCTCATTGTAATGCCCCTTGTTTCATTTGCCACCTCGCTTACTGCCAGCATATTTCAATGTCCTCTTTTTCATAACAATTCCTTTATATATTTACATTCTGTATGCTTAGACCCATTGACAAAAATTACATTCATAAATGCATAACACAGGTGTTCATAGAATCCCAGCACGTGGGAACTGATAGTAACCTGATCACACTGCGTAGTAATACACTACAAAAACTACTCACTCGGAACGACCGACCTAGATGCTTAATTCTTACATCTTAAAATATTATTGAACTGTGCTTTGTGAGATATCCACGTATTCACGTGTCCTGTGCTACAAATAAACATTGAATATGGAACTACATTTTGTTGTGTTATTGTTGTTGACGGTTGCTAAGATCTCTCACGATAGTGTCACATTTCCCCGCGAAAAAACACTGTTCTCGCCACTGCGTTGCACCCGTGTATAAGCAGGAACAAACCCTGTTTATTTGTTTTATTCGTTGTTATATCGATCCACTGAAAGGATTCGTCAATGTAAATATAAGGAATGATATCTATTTTTTCAACATTTATGAGGACATAACAACAATGGGTTTTTGGACATATTTTACATGAATCGCTAACGCGATTCATTCAATATGTCCATAAACCCATTGTTGTTATGACCTCATAAATGTTGAAAAAATAAAAATCATTCCTTAAATACTTCTCTCAATTTTTTGCCAAACCCCTTTATAACGACAAAAATTCACCCGAACACGAGGTGGCAGTGTAACGAAGGTTTATTGTACATTTTACGATGTATTGGTAATTCTTTTAATTTTCCTTTTCGTTGATACAAATATTAAGCATCAAGTACGTCAAACTTCGATACAATGCCCTTCTTTCCATTGGCCACCTCGCTTACCGTCAGCATATTCGACGTTCATTTTGGTCTTTTGTTTGTTTGTCGGCTGTGTCACATATTCTCATGTTCCTTTCCCAGTTAATTAGATATATGTAATTTATACTCATGTTGCTTTCCCTGTTTATTGATTATGTTACCTATACCCATGTTGCTTTCCCTGTTTATTCGATGCATTGTCTATTGTCATGTTGCTTTCCCTGTTTATCGGATATGGTTCTGCCCTCATGTTGCTTTCTATGTATATTGGATGCGTTGCTTATGCTCATGTTGTTTTCCCTGTTTATTTGATGTGTTTCGTATTCTCGCGTGACCTCCTCTTCAATGTGCTAACTCGTTTTGTTCACGTTGTCTCTCTTGCCTGTCTATCTTTGAGTTACTTATATCGTGTTGCCTTTCCGGTATTTTGAATGCTGTTTTACCGGTATTTATGTTGCCTTCAGTTTATTATTGATACATCATGGGTGTTTTATATTTGTATGTCTAGAACAGTTTTTTTTGCTTGTTTGAAATCGGGTCGATTTTGTTGTCGTGTTTGACCTGCTGTCTATCTAATGTTGTAGAGGAGGTTCTATAATACTCGTTTCGTCAATTGGAGGATATGAGCCTAGTGCGGTAAGAATGATATATATTTTCTCATTCCAAACCACTTGAAAATAATATATACATGTACAATACGTTCTTTTTTCACGTGCGCTTTATATTTGAAACGTGCTGTTGTAAAAGTAAAACGTACTCCTTCCCCATTTCAGAAAAATTGAAAATGTTTTTGAATTTGCGGAGGGTTACTCCCCCTTTTTGTCAGGAAATGAATATTCGCACAGTTTAAGATTGGCGAAAGAGGCAGGTCTGCGTTATTTTAACACAATGACACGTTTGAACCAATTATCATGTATTTATTCCTATAGTAATACTACACTTATTGTTAATATATCACATGGAAATACCGCTGTGGTTTAAAACGAAGAAATTTAACCCTTTGCTGTGTCTGTATCAACATTTTAACTGTCAACCGTAAATGAAATTAATTGTTTATCAAATGTGATCCTTGAGATCTTGGGTATATTTGTCACTGAAGCGAAATATATGGTGTACTTTTAGTTAGTTTAGAACTTAAGTCTAAATCTATTTAGATCCTACAATAATAACAGGAACTTAAAATTTTCACGGTATTGTGAATTCACGGTTAATTCCTTTCGCGAAAAGCGTGAGAATACCAATGCCGCAAAAGTTCCTGTTATACAGTAGATATACCATTCACTTTTGACTGATTGTGTGTACCACTTGATTTCTTAACAGTTGATGGGTCCTTATAGTGTCAGCAAAACGGCTGTCCTCGGTTTGAAGAAAGCCTTAGTTCACCAGCTATCACCGATGAATATCCGGGTTAACTGCCTCGCTCCCGGTCTAATCAAAACGAGGTTTAGCGAAGCTGTACGTTTATGAGTTCAATTTATATTCTTGTATACATATATTTTCTTTGTAATCAAATTGTTTACACGACCATCACAAAAAAACACTCTGATTTAATATAATAGACGGGAAAAATAATATGTAGATAAAATAATGACAGTTATCTGCAGTAAAATATTTGTTGCTCCGTAGATAGGCCTGTCTTTAATGTTTGTGCACTTGAAATGCTTGTGTAAATATCTATATATTTATTAATATTTAACACAAAGCTCAATAATAATGATTTTACAGTTGTTAGACTCCATGTAATCTTCATATTCACCGTTATATATCTATAGCTGTGGAAAGATCCGGACAACATGAAGCTTGCAACACAGAATATTAAGCTTGGAAGGTAAGTATACATAGAATATTTCAGGTATACATGAAAAGGAAGTGGGTTATCTTCTCCTGATAAATGTTTCTAAATGATGCATAGCAGTAATTGAACAACCAACGTATCTGTATTCTGTTCACAGTTTTGTACATTTCACATTTTGGCTGTCACTATACTATGGCAAGATACACAAACTGTAATAGCGTAAAGCAAGTTCAAGCGAATTTCCCTATAATACCACTGGTCCTAGGAGAGTTGATTTATTTTCCCTAGCAAATTAATCAGCAAAGTTTATTAGACACAAGAAAATTCTTACTACCGTACTTGCCAACCCTTTTGATATTTCCATGGGAAACGCAATCTCAAATTTTCAATGAAATCTTTTGAAATGTTCTTTCAGTAACATCATTTATATATTTGAATCGGTTGCTGTGACCGGGACGATCATATTTAAGAGTCCAAAATCGGCATTATGTCTCCCGCCAAGACGGAAAGATTTGTCAAGTATGTAGTACTTGCATGCAATAGTACAACAATAGTACTAGCTATCGACAGCTAATGGGATCGCAGTCGGTGTATACGACAATTTGAGGGTTCCAGGCGATGTGTTTCTAAAAACCTCACCTTTTTTAAAATTATATGTCTTGTTATTAGGAGTTCTTGTTTAATTAAGTTACTGAAACATCTGCTTACTGTATTCATTTGTTAAAGTCAGCGATTAGCCATTTTTTTAATAATATTATTACAGAATTGGCAAGCCGGAAGAGTGTGCTGGGATTGTATCTTTCCTGTCCTCAGACGATGCATCATTCATTACAGATGAAACAATCAAGGTATCCGGTGGGGCCAGCAGTCAACTGTAGGTGCTCGATAACAGCATAACGAGAGAGTACGAGAGTTTGTTACGTGGTATTATGTGTTAAGAATACCCGTACCACTGCCAAAATCGGAAACTACACATTAGAAACTATTTTTTGTCCGTAATTACCATAGCTTTGATAAATCATTTCCTCATAGAAAACCAAAACTTGCTGGACTCTCATGAAACAAACAAAAACATATTGAAGGTGAAATAACCAAAATATAATCAGCAGTGTTCTGAGTGTAGGAATCCAGCAGAGTTAGACCGAGGATCGAACCGCGGACCTCAGATTGTTATTCCGTCGTTCTACCTAGTCAGCAGAAGAGTTCCCAAAACGAAATTAAGGGAAGGTTACTGTTCAAAAAAAAAAAAACCACAGTGCAGGGGGACAGGGGTCCTAAAGATGTGTCAATTTAATTGTGATTTATAACGAACGATCAAACGTACATACCAAAGGTATATTTAAGAACATAACTTGTATTCTAGTCGAATGAAAATATATCTTTTAATTGTAATATTGTTGTATTGTTTTTCTGTCAATCAAACCATTAAATATTTAATTGAAAGCTTTTAATGCAGTTTATGGGTTTTTTTTCTGACCAGACAGCCAGACTGTTTCCTCCTCATTGTCATTGGCAATGATCTTTGCGGAGGATCCAATAAAAGATATGCTTGCCGAAAACCCAGTCAAAAATTGTCTCGTTATCCCTTCCTAAAGATACAATAATACTTGTTCTTGCTTTCATTATTAACAGGTCTCAAAAATCATTTATGTATATACAAACTGTGACGTCATTGTAATGTTTGTGGCAACCGATTTCTGACGTCATATTTGACATTTCGACTAATTAGATGCAGAACAATCCTTGCCAAATATGACTATGCTTTTACCTGCAGCGGTCCAGTTTTTAATTTCCGACCGGTCAATGTTTTACTCGCTGGAAGAAAATGTAGGCTAAATGTTGCATTATTTTGATAAATGAAGGGGAAGTACTTTAAAAGGGTAAAACAAATCATCATAAACCCCAGAACGATAGTTCGGTATCTGAATTGCCTGTGTAATGCACAATACAAAAACACAATATGCAAAAAATGTACTTTTATTACTGGCTCCATTTGTTACATGTAGCAAAAAACAAACAGATAAATATCATTGCGTTATGCTGCTGACAACCTGGGAGAGTAAATGGTATTAAATGTTTCACAACACCATTGCAAAAAACCCGTTTGATAAAGAACACCGAGATAAGTGTTTAACTTCTCTCTTACAAAATATTGTGATTTCAAAACAATCTTTAATCTAATTGTTGATAAATGAGATTTATCAACTCCCAATGCTGTTTAACACAATATTTTTCGTTAGTACAAATACTTTTGAATACAATGAATACAAAGATGCATTGTGGTACCTTGTCTATTGACCTGCATTGTTTTGTGGGGGGTTTTCGTCAGTAAAATTGCATTATGTTACTTTAACAGACTAAACAAATGCTAATGAAACGTTGATACATGTAATACAGAAAGAAACCCATACATAATAGATTTGTATTAAATTGTAATGGAGTAAGAAAATTTTCGAACACATGGTAATTGATTGTCTTCATCACTGAATATAAAAATATATTACCTAAAAACACACTTTCATGTATAATTTATCAAGAACTTGAAAAAAGACCCATCTTCTTTCTGTTAAAATGCGCTGCTTGAAGGAGTGCGCACGCATATTGCAATACACAACACGCCTATATATATATAAGAAAAATTCATAGATTCTTCATGACCAATTTCACTTGCCTGATCTGGAATTTCAATGAATTAAAAAAGGGGAGATAAATCGGTATTACCCTGAATATTAAACTAGTTCCCTGTTGTATCCTCAATGCGCTGTTTTGTACTGGAGTTAACTCAGGTTATCTTTTTAACCGAGTGACAGAGCTGAACCATGTTATTTTCTGACTATAAAGTAAACGATTTCATATTACATGAAATAGTTATAAATATGTAAACGAACGGCGTCAGAGTAACACCGTCTATTTTCTATGGATTGGGTTGCTGAACGGACGATGCACGCATGTGTATTGCGCTACAAAACATGCTTTTTATTCTGATTGATTTTTCCTACCAATGCTTTTAAACACAACAACAAAATATGTTCAAGTGTTTCAAAGGTAAACCAATATCGTCCTTTATCATAAACTGCTATCAATGACGTCATTAAAAGTGCTGCCAGCATGGGACATAGCCAGTAACGGTTAAGTCAACGTTCAAAGGAGAAAGGACAAAAATACAAAGATATTATACAAATTCATCCAAATGGCTTTGGGGCACGATTTATAAAAAGAATACTGATATGGAAATTTACAATTAACGAGGATTCAAATTTGAATTTTTAATTTGAAGTTGACAGGGTGCATAATATATGGAATATCAGATTAAGAGACCCATGATTGATCTGTTCCCCCCTTTTTAAGGGGGGGGGGGGGGTTGTCGTTAGGTTTTCTTTTTCTTTTATAATTTCTTTTAATTTTATAATAGTTACTTTTACAATATTTTCAAATCGATTTTAATATTTAGTTTGTGCTTTTGTAAACAATTGTAGATATTTGTTTTCGATTTTCCTCCTCTGTTTTGAAAATCTACGAGATTTAAAATTTGTTTAAAATCTGTTGTTAATAGAGTAGTATGACAAAAACTTTGATATACGTTTTAACTTTATCATTAAATGCTCGAATATTACATCTTTGGAATATATTGATTGCCCATACAACCAAATGTGTGATGAACACATTAATATGAACGTGAGTTATCAGTAATACATTCCTTTGGGAGGAATGCACGCCTGAATGTTGAATAAACGTACACTGCATACATTTTAAATTATACATGATATGGGATGGTACAGTGTATAGACGATGTATTAAAAAGAATATAATGTACGTCACGAATGCAATGTACAAGTAACGACTTCATACAGTTAAAATATATAGGATATTTAGGTACGAGTGAATTGTACGGATGCTATAAATTCACTAGTACAAATGTAATGTATACATTGGAACAAAACAATGTGTAAGTAATATGTTGGTACAAGTGTACAGTATAAGTGGTATAAACGCTGCCAATACTTGAAATTAAAAACATAAACTTTTTATGTTATTTGCGGCGCATTTGAATAAGAATCCCTAAAACCGAATGTAAGAAATTTTACGATATCCAAAAATTCGTGTCACTTGTTTTGTGGTTTGTTACATTATTTACATTCAGGGTAAATTCAGATATTATATACGAGTGACATTTTGGTAGCAGATCCGCCATTTTATAATACATGAGAACGCGTGCAATGGGTGACTCACTAATACAACAGAAATTAATGATTGTAACATATTGATACAAACACAATCAAACACAAGCTAACAGTAACAGTTACAAAGGAAATTGATCGATGTACATGGTTTTACATACAAACTAACAGTGACCAGTCACAACAAACAATGACCCCTGTTTTTACATACAAACTATCAGTGATCCCTGTTTCTATATACAAACTATCAGTGACCAGTCACAACAAAAAGTGATCCCTGTTTTTACATACAAACTATCAGTGATCCCTGTTTCTATATACAAACTATCAGTGACCAGTCACAACAAAAATGATCCCTGTTTCTATATACAAACTAACAGTGACCAGTCACAACAAAAAATGATCCCTGTTTTTATATACAAACTATCAGTGACCAGTCACAACAAAAAATTATCCCTGTTTCTATATACAAACTAACAGTGACCAGTCACAACAAAAAATGATCCCTGTTTTTATATACAAACTATCAGTGACCAGTCACAACAAAAAGTGATCACTGTTTTTTTTATATACAAACTTACAGTGACCAGTCACAACAAAAATGATCACTGTTTTTATATACAAACTAACAGTGACCAGTCACAAAAAAAAGACCCCAGTTTTTATATACAAACTAACAGTGACCAGTCAAAACAAAAAATGATCACTGTTTTTACATACAAACTAACAGTGACCAGTCACAACAAAAAATGACCCCAGTTTTCACATACAAACTAACAGTGACCAGTTACAACAAAAAATGATCACTGTTTTTATATTCAAACTAACAGTGACCAGTCACAACAAAAAAGTATCACTGTTTTTATAAACAAAGTAACTGTGACCAGTCACAACAACAAAAATGATCACTGTTTTAACATACAAACAAACAGTGACCAGTTTCAAAAAACATTATCCATGTTTTTACATACAAGCAAACAGTGACCAATAACAACAAAACATGATCACTGTTTTTATATACAAACTCAAGGTGACCAGTCAAAACAAAAAAACAATCACTATTTTCACAAAATCATATTGACACGTCACAACAATATGTGATCACTGTTCTACATGCAATGACTTGTCAAAACATAGGCGATCAGGGTTTTTTCACAGACAAAGCAGCAGTGAAACGTCACAACAAATAATGGTCAGTTTTCATATACAAACTAACAGTGACGTGTCGCAACGAAAGGCGATAACTATTCTACATTAAAACCAACAGTGACTTTCCAAAAAATGGCGATTACTTATTTACATACAAACAAACGGTGATACCTCAAAACGACACGTATTCACTGTTCTGATATACAAGCTAACAGTGACACGTCTTTACAATAGGCGCTCAATGTCCAGCATACAAACTTACAGTGACCCCTCACGAAAGTAGGCGATCACTGCTTTTATATACAAACTAACAGTGACCCCTCACAAAAGCAGGCGATCGCTGTTTTTATATGCAAACTAACAGGGACCCCTCACAAAAGGAGGCCATCCCTGCTTTATATACAAACTAACAGGGACCCCTCACAAAAGCAGGCGATCGCTGTTTTTATATGCAAACTAACAGTGACCGCTCACAAAAGTAGGCAATCACTGCTTTATATACAAACTAACAGTGACCCCTCACAAAAGTAGGCAATCACTGCTTTATATACAAACTTACAGTGACACGTCACAAAAAAAAGGTGATTACAACAGTTTTTTTTTTCTATTTTCCGTTATACAAGACAACCGTAATCGTTCATAAGATTTGCCAATTAATGTTCCTTTATACAAGTGTATACGCAAGCTGCCCCTATATTTACACTGTGAATCTCAAATATAAACGCAAACACATAGCAAGTTGTTTTATCAAAACTGTCACAATAACACTGTGAGTGTAAAGAGAAACAGCTGTCTTTGTTGTCATTATCAACAAAACGAGTTGGCTTGGACGTCTTGCCTCAGTTGCTCAAGGTTTGGTTAGAGTCATCAAGTGGTTAAGACAACTTTAGAAATATGAAAACAACAAACTCAAAACTACCAGATATCATTTCACTGCTTATCACTTCTTATTGTCAGCAATCTGATTTTTTCACTAACGTTAACGTTGTCCAACCTTTGCGTAACTTGGCCCTAATTCGTAGACCTTCACACAGACGTGACGTAAACATCAAGCGATCGAGTTTTTGGAGGCAATGTGTTGCTTTTCTGTGGCACAGGGATTTGTATCATCTTTTTCCTCTGTTCTTCGGGGGTTAGCATTTTCTTGTCCAGGTTTCTGCTGGGATAGTATGGCAATGTCTGACTAGAACCTGCTTGCCTGTTGAGGAGGGCCTTTTTCATTGCGGTGTCCCTTTTCATATTCCGAATTTCCGTCGGTGTGAGTCCTGGGACTGTGTCGTACATTGACGTGATATCACATCTAGAGCGTTTATCAAATGCGGATGATCGTTCTGGAATCTTGTCGTACATGGTAATTCTGTCCTTGCTGAGGCAACGTCTTCCGACGTTAGACTTCTCTCTCAAAGGTATAAATGGTACATCACCGGTGTTGCTTTCACAATCCGAGCAGAAGCAGGATGTTCCGCAACTGCTCCTATCACACGAAAACACAGAATCCGCATCATTCAACATCTTCATGGACTCTATTCGCTCCAAGGTAGTAACGGAGAGGTTTCTGGACGTCGTGAAAGCTAGTTGACCCAAGGACCCACTCCGTAATGGGATTCTACCAATCCGGTACAAACCGCTAGGAGTCGCCCTGCGGTGTTTTGGTGGCTGATGTAAGGAATCATATCCAGAATCTGCTTCTACTGCTTTACCGTTCAATCTACATATACACACACATTACAAGACATTAAGAATATATCATAAGTATTATTAATTTATACTAATAAAAGATATATGTTCTTGGGTGAACATCTATAATGTTCGGCAAAGCTTACTATTCTCTCTACCATATGCATAGCTTGACCACTCCAATCAAGAATAAAGTTCTATATTTTTATTTTGAACGGCAATACCCTAAATAAAGAGGTTCATTTATGAGAGTTTAACTGCTGCTATTTGCAGTTTAGTTAGTGCTTAGTGCAGATCCTCGGCATATTTCAAACGTTCCTCGTCGCTTCAATCGGTGTTAATTTAATATGATTATTCTATTTGTTTCAATTTAATTTCTTGAAATTCAAAACAAATGAATCACACGTGATAGTTTTGTTTCATATTTCGTTTTTGAGCGGGACATATTATTTGGTGTCAGTTGTTCCTCAGTTGCTGTTCTATGTATTGACCTGGTCTTGGGATGTTTTAAATTGTAGCAAAAAAGCACTAATACTAATTGCATTTTTATATAGAAACGAATGTATGCTATTTAATAACGGTACGTCACAATGAAAGTGCAATGAATAAAAACTAATATTTGACGATATTTTGTTTCCCGGTGTTTTTTAGGAGATATTTGGCTAATTTGCAACAACATCCGCCACTAAAAACATCACGTTGAAAGAATTCGTTGAAAAGTGGGAAGAATTATTTCCGTCAATGGAGAACATGTTTTATAATAAACTCTCATAGACATCTGTTCAACGATTCTCGATGATTCATTTGTGTTTAATAATGTTGCAAAACCCCTAATCAAATGAAATACAACTATACCTGTCGTGCAGCAGACGGAAAACATCGTCAATATCTGGCCTCTGTGTCCTATCACGATCCCAGCACTTCTGCATGATCTCATAGAGCCATCCGGGGCATAGTGTGGGTTTACCAGGAGTTTCTCCTTTGTATAAATGTTCCAGCAGCTAAAAGAAATTACGTTATTCTATACTTTCATTGTATTGTTTTTTTAAACTTGGGAGTATGACAGAAAAATCTCAAACAAAAGGCTAAGATTCCTAAATGTCTAGCCCGAGGCTTTGTCGAGGCCCAGACATTTAGGAGTTTTACCCTGATGGTTGAGATTTTTCAGTCATACTCGTAAAGTAGGGAATAATTATTTTTCTCCCACATGAAATACAAGTAGAATTTTCATGAAGTAATAACGTTGATTTCATAATTTGCAGCAAAGAGGAGTTACTTTATGTGCTCTGGTTTTGTTGACGTGACTTCATACAATTGTAAGGACATGGAGATGGAGACCGTCTTTACCATAGGGTAAAGAAATATATGTCCCTAACCGGAAGTGTGGATATCACCGTCTAATGGGGGATAAGATATACCGTTCATATATATATAAATATTGTTATTAAATAATTTGATTAAAGAAGAACATACTATGTTTACTATTTTCAACATTATACTTCACATTACAATGTAAAACATTAACGCTATAATTACAATCGATCAAATTCGGATTCCAAAAAGCAAATTAAGTTCATATTTGATAAGTCAACCACAAATTATCACAATCTTTTTATCACTCACTGAATCAATGTGCCGCGGGTGCAAATAAATACCCAGATATAATTATACATTGTGAATCAAATTATCCAACACATACAACTGGTAAACAATTAAAATGTCCCTTTCACGTTTTTGACATAACACTCACCAGACTTGTCTTGACTGTTGCGAACGGGACAGTTTTGAGGGTGTTGGCATTTGGATCTTTAGTTAATGCGTCCAAAGCCGTAAAGAATTCGAACATTGTCATGGCAAACGCGTACATATCGCTCTGTTTGGAGTACTGGGCGCTTTGTAGGACTTCGATTGGCAACCTGTAAAAAAATGATATAGAAATTACGCAATGTAATATTTGGAACACTTTCAGTGGAAATATCAATTATGCAAAAAGAAATAAAAAAATAGGTGACACAAATTTCGTTGTTATTAGGGGTGTAAATGATTTTTTTTACTGCTGTTCGGCCCATTGACAATTTGAGATATCAAGGGAAATAACACTTAGACTAGACGTTCAGGGGAGAAATATATTATGTACATCGAACTGAAACTAAAAGGTTGAACTGTTTAACGGATGCAAAAGCCATCAAAAGGAAACGAATTGGAGAAATAAAAATTTATATATATATTTGAACAAATTTATTGAATATACATAACCATACATTAATTGCAAAGAAACTGTATCAAACCCATTTCTATGCTTATAAATACTTTATTAGTATAATGTAAATGGACCATGTTATGTTCCATATACAATGTTTGGAAGTACATAATGTTAACCAGCTGGCTGGCCTCGAAAATAAATCATGAACGAACTAGTCGCTTAAAGGTAGTAGTTAATGATAACATTACAACAATTTTTTTATTGAAAATGGGAAAGTAATTTATATTTTAGTTAAACCACAAAGAGACGAAAAAGACTTTTAAAGTCGCGCGGTGGTTGGTTTTGCGATCACCTTACTTACCAGCGGTTCCTGTTAGGAGGCTTGTCTGCCAGAATGCTGTCATCCAAAGTACAGTTCGAGCCAAGGTGTAGCATCCGACCAAGACGTGGAATAAAGACCTATAGAAAAGAGAAAAAATCTTTATTAAACAACCTACTGGAAAAACAACTTGGTCAACTGTACACATTCTCTGGATGATGCAAGTACTTATTTAATCTTAATAATGATATTTTCTATGGTTCAAAAGCTTCTTTTTTGGACAAGACATCGTTGGAATTTTGTTCTTATTTGAATCGCCTATATTACGAGAATCTACCTCTATGAAATATCACAAACAGTATCAGAATGAATATAGGTAATATCATTACATTCTGAACGGCCAATCAACACAGGAGAGAGGGACAACAAAAGATCGATAAATAATAATAATATACAACATTTGATATAGCGCCCTATCTAGCTAACATAAGCCACTCTGAAGCGCTTTACAGTACATAGATATACAATTAACACAATTAGGATATACAATATTTGAGGAATTCGCAGGAGCTGCCTTATCAGGCGCCAACTACTAGTCATATGCCAACTGGATAATATATCCCTATGTCTGTATGCCTGCGTGTGTGCTGGATATGTATTGTGTTCTGTTTGTAGTGGGACCGTGCTTCCAATGGCATCTTTTATAATGCCACTTCACTTGAATGTTAAATCCCAGATACCGCAACATCCATCCCATCCCATTTTATACTCCACATGGAGTTGTTGGAGTTGCATGGAGTACACGTTAAAGGCAATGGCTATCGAACTTATATTGTCGACAGTGATGTTAGCACCAATATTTCATTACTGAAAGGATAAGGAAACGTAGGGTAACAAAATGTGTATCAAGTATTTAACTGCGAGCACGTCATCCTTACGTTGGTCTTTCTCACACTCATGAACGTCGCGCGCGTCGTATGGCTTTGTTTGGGGCACATGTTCCCAAAATATTTCCAATGAGGTGATGGAGACGGGTCTTTTTAAAAGATGAGTCCCGGTTCACTCCGGACGGTCGATGTTGCGAGGGGGTATACGATATTCTGACGAGTCAGTCGATGTCACTTTGCGATATTGGGTGTTACATGTACCGTCAAATGTGTTTCAATTACTCAAGCATTATCAGTCAAAATATGATGAATTTTTGGTTTATTATCAGCAAATATATTTTGTTTTATACTTCTGTAAAATATTGTATTCATTCAACATTCAAATGCATAACATTAAATCACCTTAAATGTAAACGCTGCGTTTCTTTATCCTTTCAGTATATTCATAAGTGTGTGCCCTACCTTGTCCGATGCTTCACAGTAGAACGTGTTAGCAGCACACAGGTCCCGTAGGATAAAGTCTTTGGCGTGCATGCTACTTATCAGGCCTGCGAGACTCTGAACAATTCCGTAGTACTTTGCCATGTTCTCGGGTACAGATGGGCTGCCGAGCCTATTGGCCAAAGCAAGGTCTAAAATGTTTTCTCCTTGGTCACAACCGTACACCTGCAAAGGACGAATCAGTGTCAAGCATATGGAGTCCGTAGGTGTTTATGATATGCTTTAATATTTTGCTCACGGTGTTTTGACCTTGCAATAGCCAAGGTCATAAGAAGACGGGTGCCTAGGAAGGCACTGCCGGAAAAAGTGAGTAATAAGAAAAGAAAGTTTGAAGCAGGAAAGATAACTAATACAAATTTATTGTATATTATTATTCAACGACAAGATCCCGACAATGTTTTAATATTGAAATATTTATTGTTTCACAGCGTTATGAACTTAATCATGAACTTTTTGATTCATAACATCTGCGAAATAAAATTACTTGTCACGTTGTGTGTATAAATGTTATTCGGTCCACTAGGTTATTACATTGATAAAAGAAGCAATACATTTACTCACTACGTTGAAGCAATGATGAAATCTATCTTTATCTAGAAATTTGATTTACTTATTTATTTATTTTTAATCGGGGTTTGGTCTTTGAAATGTCCTCTTGGAAGAGAACATAAAAGCAATACTCCAATTCTGCAGCGTGAATCAGATTCATCGCCTCTTTCGTTACACATGCAATGGACAACAGCAGGTCTATTCTTGCTTTCTCCCAAAGAGAAAACATGGCAATGAACACCCCCGATTCTGTAGGAGACCCGCATTTGTCGCCTCTTACGAAATTGGAAATAAAGCAGGCAGGCATTTTCTCTACCCGAACCAATTCGGGCTGGAATGTTGAAGTTGATCATAACATTCCTAGTAAATAATCTTGAAAGACCTTCGAAAAAATAATTGATGTCATAAGATAAAATAAAACATAAAAAAGAGTGTCATTAAAGTAAGCGATATGTCAAACATTGATTTTTAGCTAGGTTCCTTACCAGAGAACAGTTGAAATCCAAAGCTCCAGTACTCGCATGATCCTGCACAACGACTGGCCAGTGTCGAATATGTAACCATTTCATCACAAGACCGGTCAGTAGAGGGTATACGTTCTCTACGAAGGCTTGGGTAACGGGCTCTGTTACTTCAATGAAGCAATCCTGTTAGGAAAGGAAATCACATTTTGAAATATTACAATAACGTCTTCTGTGCATTTTGTGCGTGTTTTCATACTGACATAGGGCTCAAATTTTTGCGTAATATCGACTAGAAACAGATTCCCTATTGACGAATTAGCGAACTTACACTTAAATCAGGAGAAAACGTATTCAATAAAGTTCATCTAGCACAATATAATATAGCGCTATATTTGAAGCGTGAAGGCGCTAACATAAGAATTTCGCTAAAACGTGTGAATTAACAGTATCCGAAGACCTTGAAAACCAATTGTTATTGTCAACTGAAATACAGCAAAGTTTCTAACCTTGGTTGAATACCTAGGTTGATCTGGCGACAAAAGATCCTGATGGGTAGCTTCGAGAATTACGCTCACCATGCGCTGTAGACGGCGTTCATTCATGTACATATATGAACAACGAGGCCCTGTAATTGACACATATATTCGGGCATCACAACAAAGCAACAAAGCATAACTACATATGTTACACCACATACGTTTGTTTTAGTGACAGTACTGTCTAAATAAAGCATAATAAACGTGATACGTAAACTCATTACGTTCCTTTATAATATATAACGTGTAATTATAAATAATAATGTGCTCAGCTTGACAGTTGTTCGCGCTGCACCGAAATGTTAATGCGTATAAATATGATCGATTGCATTTTACATTTAGACTGTCTATTTTGAGTAAGTGTATATCAAGTAAACATCAAGTATTGATACAGCTGTTCAAATATTTATTCTTTTTTCTTCATTTTTTATGTACTTATGTACATTTGTATTACCTTTTTTATATTTGTTAATAAAAATCAAACATTTTTATATAATTAATCCCTTAAAGTATATTCTGGTAAAATTTACTTACCTAACTTGCCTTTCCGGAGGCTAAGAAAAAATCGAGGTATCCCCTGTTAATACAAAGTATAAATATAATTTTATATAAGTTGTCGGATAGTGAAACATTATTTGAAATAATAATATAAAAGATACATTCAATAGGCTAATATTTGAAGTTCCATACGTGACGAATGTATAGTTGTACTATATGTTGAGCCATATTTTGTTGCTGATATATTAGTATCCAGGTGGTGTTAGTTTGTAGATAACAGCTTAGAACGTACCTTCATATGTGTAATGAACGCGAGCGTGAGAGGTAGCATGTTGGTGTATTGTCTTCCTTGTGATAGCGCGGATCAGATGCCACCTTCAGAGCGCTACCTCACTAAAATACCACGAGGAACGCCCTTAGCACTGTACACGTACTAGTAACCGGGCTATCTTAGCACTGTACACGTACTAGTAACCGGACTATCTTAGCACTGTATGCGTACTAGTAACCGGACTATCTTAGCACTGTATGCGTACTAGTAACCTGACTATCTTAGCACTGTACACGTACTAGTAACCGGGCTATTCATTCTTATGATTGCTCTAAATGGTAAAAGTTTAGTACGATGCAGTGTTGCCTTCATCCTTGATACCAGGGGTTACGTATACGCTTACTTTCGCTCTCTACACCCCTGGAATATGTCATGGCAAAATTGAAGGCACGGAGATAGCTATTTGATTGGTCCCGGGAAAAAATAACTGACCAATCGCTTGACTGATACCTGTCCTTTGAAGATTACAAAGGAGAGACGCCCGGTTTCAAAGCCTGTCAATTTTTACCGTTACGCGACCGCGATATTCTTTTGATGTACATCAAATGATCGAACTTATCTTCTTGTCTCATCAACAAGGTTGCGCACACCGAGCCTTCAATTTTGCCATGACATATTCCAGGGGTGTAGAGAGCGAAAGTGAGCGTATACATAACCCCTGGATATCGAGGATGTGTTGCCTTCTGCATAGTATTTCACTGTCAAGTCGACATCAGGTCGCTTAGAGGAGCAGATAAGAACATACTGCTTCAAACATACATACAAGCATGCTTCACGTACATGAAGACATGACTTTAAATGGCCTAAGATGTTAATAGGACCATAAACTCAATAACACCAAGCGCTAGTTTAGATGGTTATAACAACTACGTTTTAAAATACTTTGGTACGTCACGGCTTGGCGCAAAACCAATTGCCTTCTACTTAGGGGAACGTACGTTGATGAGAAAGATATAGTGCTGCTGTTTGTTGATGAAATACATTGTAACTATAGTGTGTTGCTGAGATAGGTATGTATAGTGTGCCAAGATACTGCGCATTTCATTACATACACAATCCTTTCAATAGGTACATGTAGTATACCGTGCTTACCCGTTCAATGGCCATGGTCTGACTGTGATTGGAGGGAAGATCCGGGTACAATCTGTCCTCATCACAGGCACGGCTTACAGGCAATCGGGGCTCTGTCAAACAGCAAATCCAGTTTTATTTATATATTTGCTGCAGGCCTTACATATTGTACCTATACCTTTATATGACGTGTACAAAACTATTTTTAAACAGACAACAAAATAAAGGATGCGTTTAGTATAGGGGCGAATAAGTATATCGATTGAACAAAGAATTGGCATCTACAATTCACCAGGCATGCACAAAAACGGCTGCATCACTATTGTAAGTTTTATTTGCAACAGCATGCACATGTGCTTTTTGATAAAAACATTGCTGTACTTATATTGGCAGATCATTTATCATACTATATTTATTTGGTAATGTTTTTAACGTGAACATTAACCTCTCGCGAAAGTTAAAAGTGTTTGCAAGATGCCGACACTATGTTGATGCAAGACTTTATATCAAATATTATGTACACACTCACGTGCATTAGCTGGGGAGTGTCTGTATGACAGAAACACGTGCCTAGCAGACAACAGATCAACTCGTTCGTCTGCTTCCGTATGGACGCATTTTAGTATGACGTCATGCACTTTACGTGGAATACACGGCCATTGTTTTGGCATCAGCTTTTGGAACACAACCTGCGAATCAAAATGTCAGTACAATAAGAACTTTTGTGAGTATATCTAGGTATCCATAAAACTATCCTCCACGCTGAAACGTAATGGAAATTGATTTGCATTGTATGTTATTTCATTACAGTAATAAAAGTGAAAACCTATTAGAACAGCCATTTATTTTCCATTTGAAATTCGTTGCTTCTCTATTTTTGTATTCACGTTATATATAAGTTAAGTTTAAAAGCCCACTGGAGCGAGGAGTTTACTTTCATCGTTCGCTGATTAAGTTATTTTAGAAATGTCATATATATTTTAAACTTACCCATTCCATAACCTTTTCTGTGGAAATGGTGTAAAGCTCGACGAACGGCTGACACCCGTGTGTGTAAATCTCGTACAGGAGTTGTCCGACCATCCATGTGTCTGTCCGTACGTCGAACCTTCCCTCAAGCAAGGATTCTGGGGCCGTCCAGCGTGTTGGAACGCCCGTCCCCTCCAGGTCTGAACACAGAGTTTCGATAATTGATCAGAACTTTTTTCAACACTGCATAAGCTCATTACATGCGATATAAAAAATAAATGTCGCGATATTAGATTTTCGTTAATTTTCTTCTATTGGCATAGTCGCAGGGGTTTCAATTTACGGCTGCTAAATTCGTTTCGTTTGATCGAGCACAACATGAAATCCCGAGATATACGAATTTTCAATTGTCTCTCTTCACAAATTTTCTTCAAAACGGATTTCTCGCAAAATATATTTGATCAACATTATCTACTTACCCTGCACAGATACTTCAGAGGCGTCCACGTGTTTCGCAATGCTGAAATCTGTCAGGACTATCCTTTTGTTATGGTCCAGTGCAAAGCTAGACGCGGTGAGGTTTCTATGAAGAACCTTCTTCGAGTGAAGGAAGTCAACGGCGCTGAGAATATCATACGCAATACTTGCGAGAGCAGATAAATTTATCCAGTTGTTATCCTTCCGACGCTGGTGAAGGTAAGAAAACAAATCCGCCCCTTTATATCTGTCTACAACGAAGAATAGCGGAAGTGGTCTACATTGGTATGCATGCAACGACAAGATGCTCTGGTGATTGCCCTCAGCCTGAATGATCCGGAGTATTTCAAGAGTATTGATTTCATATTTTGTGTCCACCTTGTCAGCCTTGACCTTATAATCAGCCATAGAGCCACCCAGAAGGCATTGCATACTCGGCAGAAGGCAGTGCAGTGTGACATCTCGAGGCCCAGTGGCAGTCCCGTGTAGCGTACACCAAGCAGGAGAGAAAGCAATGCTTGGGACGTAGTCTGCTCTGAGAATTCGAAAATTTAGCGGTTGTAGCAGTTGTTCTATGTGATCGAGCGTTTTGTTCTGTAACTGCTGGGACTGCATGCCGCTCATGTTATGCCAATACCACACATTGTGTACAAGATCTTTATCTTTGAGGAACAACAAACACTCGACCTCCGACAGTAGGTGCGTTCGCATCACCTGTCCGCATTTCCGGTTGTCAAAATACAAAGTCATCACATCAAGGAGTTTCATGATGTCTAGCTCTTCACTGATGCCCTGTTCATTTCCTGTTTAGCAATAAAGAAAACAAAGGTATGCATCATGATCACTGTCAAATGTGCTACACTTAAATTTATTGGGAACAAGTAGATTAATAGAATCTCTCCCTACCTTGAGGGTGTGACAGAAAATCTCCAGCCCGAGGGTTGATGTTTTTTAGTTGTCTTACCCGAAGCTCTGCCGAGGGTTAGACAACTAAAACAATCACCCCGAGGGTTAGAGATTTTTCTGTTACACCCTCAAGGTAGGGGATGGTTATTTTTTCCCCTCCTATTATTTCATATACAGCTCCACCGACAGTAATCTGCCATGTTTGTAAACAAAAACACATGTGGGATATACATATCGTCATTCACTTTTGATGACGTCACAATTACCAATGACGCATTTTAATGACGTCACAATTGAACACGTGCTAATTGGCACGAAGATATGTCCCTCTAGGGTGTGACAAGCTGATCTTTCCCGAGACACACATGTGAAGGGTGGGATAAATTCATATCTCCCTTTTCTTTTTCCTCTGCCATTTAGTTTTGAGCACAGAGTCGAGACTATAACAAAGAAAATGATATATTCGGTATGTTGTAAAAATAAAGTTAATACCGCTGAGAACTTACGTGCAAAAGCGCCCTTTATGAGCGTTACAATGCCTTGAGTAACACACATCAAGATGGCATGAGTGAGCGGTTCGGTCTTCGTTTGCTTTTGGTGTTTGTCAAGGAGGCAGTGGACCATGTATTTCAGTGCGTCAACGTCTTCAGAAATATACTTCTGCTTCAGCTTGAGAGTGGGAATAAATCAGAAAGAAAGTGTCAATTTATTAATGTTTTGACACGTATACATTCATTTATGATAATATGGATATATAATGTGATATGTTAAACGGGAATGAATGGGGTTTGTATAATCTCTACAGAACATTGTAAAGTATTTAAATCGGGAAAAAAGGCTGGAATGTAGTTTTCACATAAAATGCACTTACTGAGATGCATATGTGTTTAGCAACACATGTTGAAGGTGTGATACAGTCCAGGTCAAATAATGTACCTACCCGTTGCAAAATATCCAGAAACAGTGAGTACATATCCAGGAAGGACATTTTGGAAATATATTTTTGCAGCTTCTTGTTTGAAACAGCATCCTTGTACTTCGACTTCTGTAGTTTGGAGTTGCTACGGAGCTGGTGAACCATACAAGTCAGAATCTCTGTGATAGGGTACATGCAGTTTGCCGCAATATGCCCCTTGCCTCTGATCCCTGATGCAGTGGTAAGTGCCTGATTGCATTGTGATAGCACATACGGAATCGTCTCGCCGTCAGATTCCTTTACCACCATACAGGCGAGCAGAAGAGAGACGGTGTTCAGAAAAAGTGGTGTAAACTTCTCTACCAAATCAGTGTCAGAGTAAGTGCTTTGACAAATATCGACAAACGAGTTTAGTCCAGTAAGGAGATGCTCAATGTTACATGACCTATCCTTGGTGTTCAACTGGATCTCAAAAGCTACTTCCGCGAGCAGCTTCTGTAGGCTGGAGTCGCCTCCCTTCATTAAATGAATCAGTGGCACGAATTCATTTTTCTCCCTGCATTGCGGTATCCACGAGTTGGTGATGACTCTGGTTTGGTACTGTGCGTCAGTTTCGTCTGAGGATAAGAACTTCTCCAGAAATACATCAAAAGTCTCACCATTGTAATCTGCAACAACAATAGAAATCGATATTTGTTTGTTTTTTATTGGGTTGTTTTTAAGGATAAAAAATAAGACTGCAGTCTTGGACTCTGTAGTAAACTTATTCATAAATATAAATTATTGATATATTCCAATTTACCAAATTATGCCGTATTTGAAACAAAAATCTAGAAACGACGAAATTAGATCAAATTTAAAAAAAAAAAAAATCTGTATCTTTTATAAAATAAATATTCTTGATTGATAACTCCAGGAGAGAAAACGCTGAATGCAAGAGCGACATTGTGTTTATTCAATAATATTCACTGAAGTATTGATAATATATTCATTTTAAGCGAGGATTGCATATATAATAGACATAGTTATTAGTCGATTGGGGTCACGAGGGAAATAAGAATGTTCGTGGTATAACAGCAGCTTCTGATCTGAATTTGAGACTTCAGACATCTTTTCTTTTCGTCGTCAATTTAATGCGTACATTTCAATTTCGATGGTTTCTGGAACTGGGTCCTGGCTACCACAAAATGAATAAAGAAAGCAACCAACATTCCGCATGCAGCACGCATGCATGCATACATTACACACACGGATAAACGTCCTTAAATGGCATAAGCTGTTACTAGAACGTTAAACCATATACAACCACACCGATCGGGACAAAATAGTAGAATTATGTGCAAAATAAAATATATAAAATCCACTCGTTAGTGAACAATAAAAAACAAATCCTGTAAGCACTCATCTGATGATGGAAAAATTGAATAAATGGCGAGTCGATTAACGAAACATAACCCTATAATAGTAAGGTTATTATATATAAAGTGGTAATATTTCCTAACCTACAAGCTATTTGCAATTAAAGAGTCTTCCAAATAAAATGAGTGCATGGATTCGTTTGATTTGTTCAGTTAAGCATCCTATCAACAGCAATAGTCATTTAAGGAAGTGCTTCCATGCGTGTACTGTATATGAGTGGGTGCGCGCGCGCTTTGGGTCGTATGGTGTTGAGTGAGCGAATCTAGTGATATCTTAGATATAACAATAATATGACACTCCTAAATACAACTTTCACATACAGACAAAGAGGAGAAACAACTTTTATATGCAGTATTTCCTTACAATCGATAGTATTACAAATACAACTTTTATAAGCAGATGTCTAATAAAAACAACTATCACAGAAGCAAATTGTAATCATTAAAATAATAAAGATTACGAACGAGGAACTGTTTTGTCCAATCGGCAATATAACCTATTTAGGGTCAGACAAGACTGAAAAAAAAAGGATGACATCAAAAGGTCTAAGACACAAGTAACAACAAAAACGCAAAAACTGTTCCAAACAAAAAAAAGGAAAAACAAAATAAACAAAAACAGAAAGCATGTGTAATGTAAAACATATCTACGCTGATGTAAAGATCAATTAAATGTAAACAATCATATATCAATTACACAGAAATGTATCAGAAAATTTCTCAGTACATTACATGTACAGAAGGACAATATATGTTTTGGGCCTTTTGATCCACAAAATTCTTTCTAAAATCGAAACCAGAACTTTCAAACATTTGGAATGGTTATTTTGGATAAGATCACAAATTTGATCATGTATTTTTTCAATAATTGTTGCTTAGGTTCCTAGTTGCAATACTCAGTTAAAGTTTTCGGGGTTTTTTCTTTGAGCTAAAGAAGTGCACTTTTGAACGCATTTAATTATTTTCCTAAAGGTGTAATAACAGTGCTTACACATTCTCTTTTGATATTAAGTTTGTTCAAGCACGTAATCTATAATGACCAAGATAAAAAAAATTATGCAACTGCGTGACAAATATGACTAATATTCCTTTTCTACTTTATGCAATAATTGTCCAAAATACAAATGACTGGTTTATAATAGTATCGTGGAAAATTTTCAAATTGAAAGATAGAGTCGTTTGCAAGTTTAATGAATCTATGTCACGCATGTGTTTAAAATGGGCACAAAGGAAGTACAGGACACGCAACAATGAAATTTGTTTTATGAAATCCTTATATGAATTGATAATTTCATTCAAATAAAATTTACCACCATAACAATACCGGATAAAAAATAGTAATAAATGTTAAATGCAAGAGGTAAAATGAATATCTCCACCCGCCAATAAATATGTGGTCTAGACATAAATGATTCACAACCTCCTCAATGCTTAAAACACAGGAGTTGCTGTGAGGAAAAGAAAACACATTTTATGCATCAAAGTATCGATCTTTAAACTGATCTTGAAAGAATGAAATACTGGAAAGTATTTTTCGTACCGTTTCGTGATTAACACAAAGCAAATGAACGAGTACCTTGAAACCAAATAGTAAATAATACTTTTAAATACAACATATATTTAGCTTTGATAAATCATATATGGAAAGTAAGCGATAATTTTCCGAACGTCTAGTAAAAAAAAGCAGAGATGAAATAAATGTGTAATATGTATATAAACAAGTGTTCTGAGTGTGTGTTAGAAGGCAATAGGACCATCGAACCCTGGACCGCTCACTCTTATCAACAGGTAGTGAGATCTGGTCAACGGTAGAATCCTGTTCAAGATGAACTACAATTACATCCTAAACAAAAGTAAGGGAAAATTACCAACGTTTGAATTCGTTAGTGTGGGACAGGGATCCGTAGAGAAGTAAAAAACGTCAATGAAATATATAAACAGCAACAGTGATAAAACAACTATACCATTTACTACATGTAGCCATGGGTACAGGAATCTTTTCATATGCAAGTATGCGAAAGGGAATGTAATACCTCAATTACGTCAGAAGGTAAAGCATTCGGTCGTAGGTACAAAATAGTTTCAATGACAAGAGCAGACGCAATGAATTTAATATACAAACACATTGATGTTTATTTCAATAAGTTCTGAGAAAAATTGTTAATTTTGTTATCATGTACACAATGAAGTAAAATCGACTTTTAAAATAGGGGTTTAGCGTCCTATTAGCAGTAGTCTTCAAGATTTCATAAAGTTAGTATATGGAACGATAAAATAAAACCACTTGCAGACCCTAGTAGTTCGTAGGAAATATCGTTAGGTGTAGGTCAAACAACCGATCACACAAAAAACCAAAAACACTGATAATTTATACTCTACTGATAGTCTACTGAAACCTTAAAACTGTTTAATTGGCAGTGTGGGAACTTTCAACCTTCACAACACTTGGCAACCGAAGAAAATGTATACCGAAACCTTAATTAAAATAATGTAAACTTATTTGGTCTGTGAACATTTGACTAAAATTTTGGTGAATTTAAGCGCCTACCTTCTCCAGTGTATGTCCGCTGTCGCACAAAGACTCCTCTGAGTCCTTCCTCAGGACATCCGCTTTTTGTATTTACAAAGATGTCCCCGAAAACGTCACTTCTTGTTCGATCGGCCTTTTTTCTGTATAAACCTGTGCTCACGACTGCACCAGTTGGATCAAATGCACGAGATTGCGTTTGTGTTTCGTGTACATTTTCTATCAAAGAACTTTCTGAGAGTGGCCTAAATAAAGCCTGTTGTGATGATACCTCATCATTATATTCGGACGAGCTGCCCTGTTTTGTTTCATGAAAGACATTGTTGGTATACAAATGCGATTGTCGATTTCTAGTCTTCGACAGCATGATATTCACAAGTTGTTGGGAAACCCAATTGTGTGTTAAAACCATGATTTCAAATCCTTTGAACAGTCCACTGGTGTCCGGACGAGAGGCAACCAAAACGAGATTATTCACGTGTTCCTGTGATATTCCTTCGCAGGCCGCCTTTAATATCATCTTATTGTGGTCACACAGCACTACTACCGTTGGGATATTTAGGGTCAACTGTGACGTCATGCGGGTCACATCCTTTGGTGATTTTACAATGCTTGGCTTCATCTCACCTTTCTTAAGTTCAGAAATTACATCGCAGTTCCGGTCAGTCCAGCAAAGCGTCTTCGGACAGCACAGGACACGGACTTCGAGCACCATATCGTTGTGATAAGTCTCGGAATCAGAGGATATCCGAGGAGAAGTAGTCATATTGCTGTAAACAATAAAAACAAACTACATTATAGTTACGCATCAGCGATTCATTTTGCTTTTTTTTCAATTAGCCTTTATTGGTATACATGTTTAATTTGTTTGACCGATACTGGCCATTTACCAATCTTCCCACAGCTAACTTAATTGATTCCCACAGCTAACTTGATTGATTCCCATAGCTAACTTAATAGAGCATACAGCTAACTTAATCGATTCCCACATCTAACTTACTCGATTCCCACATCTAACTTACTCGATTCCCACATCTAACTTACTCGATTCCCACAGCTAACTTACTCGATTCCAACAGCTAACTTACTCGATTCCCACAGCTAACTTACTCGATTCCCACAGCTAAACTGATCGAGTTCGAATTACTGTTTTTGTTAGCACGATGGTATTTTTGCAGTTTAAGTGTAAGTGCGTAATTGTCGTTCTTGTTTACAAACATTAATTTTCGAATAAGTTTTCGAACACTGTAGAATTTAGCAGTGAACCTAACACAATATTACAAAAGCGTGTTATCAGGAAATTGTGAGTAATGTGGTCTGATATTTATCAATATTGTAAAAGTCCTGCAGAGCGCGTGTTTCCCTTATCATCGAGTAAGGAAGCTTATTTACATGGATTACGATCCTGTTAAGATATACAAGCGAGTCATATTATGTTTTAATTAGAAACAGCGAAAAAGTCAATGAAATGCCCCTTATGGATTTACATATTTATAGTTTATTTTATAAGTTGTAGTTAGATGCAAGTGTATGTACTATTTGCAGAGCGGAAGTCACAAACACACAGGCACTACAGTAACATTAGTTCAATTTTCTTTTTATTATGTTTAGTCATCCTCATTGTCTTTGAAATATAAGTATCCCTGTTTTTAACAATTTCCCGTTTTTCCATGGGATTGTAGTTATTTTTCGTTTCGTATCTTTTATTTCTAAATTTGATATTTGAGATGATCGTACGTAAAATGAAAGTATCTAAATCTCAAGTAAAGAATGGTAGTAAGTTGGCATTCAGCTCACAAGTTAAAAAGAACATTTTTCTAATTAAGGTTTTTGTTTGTTTTTAAGGAGTTTCACGTCATCACCATAGCTGGGGGTCATATGAAGATTGGGTGAGTATGAGGACACCATTGAACGAAAATAAGAGGAAAGTCCCAATTATTTCAAAGAGGTAGCATATGCTTTGCTTTCAATGTAAATGTAACAAAAGCAGCAGAAACAGAAGAACCCACCAACACTACCTCCCGATTCTACAATAGGCTAAGATTAGTCCCCACTAACGATAGCATGCAGAGGGACAAAATAGGCAGAAAGATACTTTCTTTGAACTTACAGTGAAGGTGCTCATCTACGTTAAACACCTAATACCCTCATTAGATCACAAGGTATGGATACACTATCTTGTAATGGGCAGTGTGACATAAGAAAACTCCATTTATAGATATGCATTGCCCGACATGCAATGTAAACAAAAAGTTAACAAAAGACATTTTGATAGTTGGGCCGCGGTGGACAAGTGGTTAAGGCGTCTGATATTCTACTACCACTAGCCCTTCACCACCGGGTCGTGGGTTCGAGACCTACGTGGGGCAGTCGCCAGGTACTGGGCCCACTTGTATAAAACATCTCAACTCTTGAGATTTCCTCAAATCTAAGATTTCCCATAGACAATACATTGCTTGAGATTTTCTTTAACTTTGAGATGTTTTATACAAGTGGGTCCTGGCCGTTGAACGGTGGTTGTTTCCCCGGGAACTCTGGCGTTCCTCCACCATCAAAACGTGGTACGATAGCTGTTAATAGGACGAAAAACACAAACAAACCAAACCAGACCAATTTGGGTTTTGCTAATACGCATTTGTATTCTGCCTTCAGTACAACGATAGTGGTGTCCGAGAATGACTTTCAGTTTGTAAGGAAATACCCGAATACGTGGCAGATAGCGATCTAGAACATACACGGAAGACTTTCCACTAAACAAGACTTTCCTTTACAGGGACGGAAATAAAAGAATTGTATTACAATTAATGCATTACAAACTCTTCTCATTAAGGAAGGAGAGTATGGTTAGTTTAATTTCTTTTTATAAAATTGTAGAAATCTGACAATAAACTGTATATCATTTTAATTCGTTATTCTGTTTATTCAAAACCACCAAATTTTCATCACAAAAATATCTTGAATTATTTTAAATCACTTTCTACCTCTATGTTTAAAGCAGACAATATTGCTTACACTATTTACAAAAAAATACAGCTATATTTGTAGCTCTGTTAACCTATTTATTGTACATGTGTATGAATATTTTTACAAGTAAACACGCTTTCCCTACTGAAAATCAAAAACAATTTGGAAATATTTGTAATGTTGCTTTTCCACATATGAACTAAATACTTACATGCTTGAAGAAGACTGTGTTGATTAATGGCTAGATTTATCCTTTGGCTACTCACCAGGATTATATATACACTAATGTGTAACCATACTAGCAAGATACATCCATAGCTACCGATCACTCCTCCAGAAATAAGATAATATATCCAGCGATATTACCTTTGTGTAAAACTTCCGGGTAAAAATGTGAGAAATCCCCACCTACCACCAATTCATGAAACGAAATTGCAATTTCATGTCTCGAGTGAAACATGATACTAATGGGGGAATAATTTTGATAAAGACAACTATCCAGGAAGTTCAACAGAGCAGTATCTCTGAACACCTTATCGCCGTCTATTTTGTTATTATACAAGGCAAACTAGCCTGCTTTGTGGCACAACCTTTGTGTAACAATTGTTAACAGCAGGGCTGCAACATAAGTTTTTGTTAGGTACAGTATATTGTTACATATATATATATATTGATTTTCAGGTTAACTTTTGTTAAAATACATTCTTGGTTTTTTTTCGGCATAGCTTTACACCAAATATTCCTTTTAAAAATAATACAAAACAAACTATTTTTCTTGTGATTTACAAAATAAAAACGGCAACTGCATTATGAACACCGCTTTTTCTCGGTAACAACGTGGCACATTCGCTATAATAGAGTTGGGTAGCATTAAGAAAGAGTTTTCGTTTGTTCCTACATGTACATAACCCGTCCTCGTGTTTTCAACCGCAACCTTTATAGTTATATTTGTCCGTTTAGCTTACTTCAGTGGTGTATTTAGGTTATTTGCCCTAGTTTGACACTGCTGCGAAGAACGTAGCACGGTTGCACATTGTAAGTATATCTTAAATTGTTAAGGTCGACTGCACACAACCACTTTCTCATGATAATATACCGACGATAAAGAAAAACCATATATAAATAGAAAATGTAACTCCAGGGTGATTTAAGCAGAGAGATATTTCAACTCAGTTATAATATAATGGAGGTTTAGCAGGAAGCTGTGTTATCAATGTTTCTGTCTTAAACACGCAAGAGTGATTGATTTATTTTTCTCCCATACTTTTCTTCCATGTAAATCCTGTTATAATATTGAAACCATATTGCCGCGATATCATAAATGACACATTCACTTTGTGACAGAATTGATAACGCCGTCTGTAATTACTAATATAATTATGTTTAGTGGTGACGTTTTCAGAATAAAGGCGTTGGTGTCTCGACGTACTATAAAGCATGCTATCGCACCTCAGTCAGGGATACCCACGTGATACCAAGTTCTAATGTATTCTATATCGTGCGATTTCTCTGGCACCTCTACGCGACTGAATTTTCACACAGCCATGTATTTATCCGCGTGCTAATGCAAATGATTCACGCTTGACATTTTTAAAATTCTGTTTTGTAGTTATATGTATTTGACTTTATTGTGTAAATAATATATAATCTAAACTGAGAAAAAAAAAATCTGTCTTGTAAGGATGGACTTCATTCTTTACGCGAAAATATTCGAACGTAGCTTTATAAGTGAAGACGCCATATTTGTTGAGGCCCCGGGCGGGATACATGTAGATTAAAGCAAAATTGCGTACTTTTTCGAACTAAAATGTGCGAGCAAAGGAAAGTACCTGTAACTAAGCAAGACGGGTTATCTCAGCCTCGAACTAAGATTCTGTAACATCTCAACCTCGGCTTACGCCTCGGTAAAGATTATGTTACATAATCTTAGTCCTCGACTGAGATAAATTATCTTGCTTAGTACATTTATTGTAATAGATTTTATGAGTTAGGTCTGCTCCGGTTCCATGAGTCTTATCTGGTCTCATTTTCCCTCGTCTCTGATCATGTTCTGAGTTTTCCTGATTTTGATCGCCTATTTGATTTGTTTTTGTGTGTTGTACCCTTTCAACTTGGCAATCTTGGCATTATCCCAATCGACGATATGATGTTAGGTGTTAGCGTGATCAGCCGATTTATTATACTGGGTGGCGGGTGTTTTGCGCATGGATCTGGTGAAAGTGATATTGCTCATGCAAGATTTCAAAATCAGGAAAACATGAACAAAGACGAGGGGGCACCGACTTAGTATGAAGCAATACTGACATGACAGGGGAGGGGGCTAGATTTATACCCTACCTGAAACCTATCTGATGCAGTTCGTATGCGCTCCCTATCGATAGACGAAACGTCTCGGGTCGAGTGACATGTTAAATATACAATTTTGTCACATCGTTGTACAGATGAAAAAATAAAAAATCTCTCACTCATTCATAGCTTGACAAAGGGACCAGTCGGGCTTGACACATTGTGACACGATTAATACGTACATCGTTTGTGTAGAAAGTAACGCTTTGATAAAGATATTTCTATATAATCATTTTAGAAAAATATCAACCAATTAATCGATAAATTGAACCAAAAATTATAAGTTGAAATTGCTGTTCAGTATGTACCATATCAAGTTATAAATGCAGACATACAATATTAAAGAACCATTTGGACTTGGCCTATTTGGACCAAACCATACCCACATTTTAGACCAGACCAACGACCCGACAGCCAGACCACACAAAACGCTGTGACCAGCCGGCCCAATGTGTTTTGCTACATGTATGTCACCTGGGTAAAGACATATTTATCTCTTCTTTTTATCTTTAAAGTGTTGACGACAGTCACACTAGCAGGTTTCCCCTATGATTGCATAACATGCTGTTTTGTATCGTCATTTAAGGAAGCGTATTTCCTTACAGTTTTAACTATTGTGTATTTGTCTTACTTTAAGTAGCATCACATATCAAAAAACCTTCTAGTGACGTTGGAATTGTGGAGTTTTGGAGGAAAAATTTAATCGTTAATGTTCATATATTTGATTGAATATTGAGTGAAATATTTCATTGATTAAAATTTCTGTTTAATTAACGATATTTTCAAGATTTCAGTTTATGTACAAGATTAAAACAAGTGAATACGGTGTGTTAGAGGTTTTCCTGTCACTTCAGTATCAGCCGTCTATATACGGGTGGTCATACTTGTCTGTTGCACAATTAAATATTCGAACATGGATGATCAATTTCGTCTCTTCGCCATTATACATTTGTACATGGGGTATCATACTTGTCTGTTGCACAATTAAATATTCGAACATGGATGATCAATTTCGTCTCTTCGCCATTATACATTTGTACATGGGTTATCATACTTTTATCTTTTCCGTTAGACATTTGTACATGGGTGATCATAATTATATCTTTACCGTTAGACATTTGTACATGGGTGATCATAATTATATCTTTACCGTTAGACATTTGTACATGGGTTATCATACTTATATCTTTTCCGTTAGACGTTTGTACATGGGTGATCATAATTATATCTTTGCCGTTAGACATTTGCACATGGGTGAAAATGCTGGGTTCTCTGCGTGAGATATTTATACACGGGTGATCAAACTTGTCTCTACCATTTTACATTTGTACACGTATATCATGCTTGTCTCTTCACCATTAGACATTTGTACATGTATATCATATTTTTCTCTTCACGATTAGCCATTTGTAAATGAGTTGTCGTACATGTCTCTTTACCATAAGACATTTGTGCATGGGTTATCAAACCTGTCTTGTACACAATTTAACATTTGTACATGTGCTATCATACATGTCTCTTTACCATAAGACATTTGTACATGTGCTATCATACATGTCTCTTTACAATTAGACAGTTGTACATGTGCTATCATACTTGTCTCTTTACCATTAGACATTTGTACATGTGCTATCATACATGTCTCTTTACAATTAGACAGTTGTACATGTGCTATCTACTTGTCTCTTTACCATTAGACAGTTGTACATGTGCTATCATACATGTCTCTTTACCATTATACATGTGTGCATGTGCTATCATACTTGTCTCTTTACCATTAGACAGTTGTACATGCGCTATCATACTTGTCTCTTTACCATTATACATTTGTAAATGTGTTATCATACCTGTCTCTTTACCATAAGACATTTGTACATGGGTTTTCATACTTGCCTATGCACATTCAGACATTTATACATGGGTTACCATACTTGCCTATACACATTCAGACATTTGTACATGGGCTATTATACATGCCTATACACATTCAGACATTTGTACATGGGTTACCATACTTGCCTATACACATTCAGACATGTGTACAAGGGTTATCATACATGCCTATACACATTCAGACATTTGTACATGGGTTATCATACTTGCCTATACACATTCAGACATTTGTACATGGGTTTTCATACTTGCCAATACACATTCAGACATTTGTACATGGGTTATCATACTTGCCTATAAACATTCAGACATGTGTACATGGGTTATCATACATGCCTATACACATTCAGACATGTGTATATGGGTTACCATACTTGCCTGTACACATTCCGACATGTGCACATGGGTTATCATACTTGCCTATATACATTCCGACTTTTGTACATGGGTTATCATACTAGCCTATACACATTAAGACATTTGTACTTGGTTTATCATACTCGCCTATACACATTCAGCCATTTGTCCATGGGTTATCATACTTGCCAATACACATTCAGACATGTGTACATGGGTTATCATACTTGCCTATATACATTCAGACTTTTGTACATGGGTTATCATACTTGCCTATACACATTAAGACATTTGTACATGGTTTATCATACTCGCCTATACACATTCAGACATTTGTACATGGGTTATCATACTTTTATCTTTTCCGTTAGACGTTTGTACATGGGTGATCATAATTATATCTTTACCGTTAGACATTTGTACATGGGGTATCATACTTGCCAATACAGATTCAGACATTTGTAAATTGGCTATAATACATGCCTATACACAATTAGACAGTTGTATATGTGCTATCTACTTGTCTCTTGACCATTAGACAGTTGTACATGTGCTATCTACTTGTCTCTTGACCATTAGACAGTTGTACATTTGCTATCATACATGTATCTTTACAATTAGACAGTTGTATATGTGCTATCTACTTGTCTCTTGACCATTAGACAGTTGTACATTTGCTATCATACATGTATCTTTACAATTAGACAGTTGTATATGTGCTATCTACTTGTCTCTTTACCATTAGACAGTTGTACATGTGCTATCTACTTGTCTCTTGACCATTAGACAGTTGTACATGTGCTATCATACATGTATCTTTACAATTAGACAGTTGTACATGTGCTATCTACTTGTCTCTTTACCATTAGACATTTGTACATGGATTATAATACTTGCCAATACAGATTCA